CTTTCGACAAGTTCTTGGCTGAAAACGTCGCCAAGGGCGATGCTGAGCTCTTGAAGGCTGGTCTAGCTCCTCTTCTGGACGTCATCCGCCGCTACTCTGAAGGTCTCAAGGCACACGAGTACAGCGTGGTGCTCACATACCTCGAGCAGTACTGGGCTACTGAGCGCCTCTTCTCTTCTCGCAACTCCCGAGACGAGGAAGTCATTCTCAAGCTCCGTGACGAGAACCGCGATAACATCGCCAGCGTCGTACACACTGTTCTGTCCCACACTCGCGTCAGTGCGAAGAACAACCTTGTCATCGCTATTCTCGACCTCTACCGTCCCAACAAGCCCGGTGTTGGCAACATTGCCAAGTACTTCAAGGACACCCTCAAGAAGCTCACGGAACTCGAGTCAAGGCAAACCGCCAAGGTGTCGCTGAAGGCTCGTGAGGTCCTTATCCAGTGCGCCATGCCTTCTCTCGAGGAGCGTACTTCGCAGATGGAGCACATTCTGCGCTCTGCTGTCGTCGAGTCGCGCTACGGCGAGAGCGGTTGGGACCACCGTGAGCCCAACTTCGAGGTCATCAAGGAGGTTGTCGACTCCAGGTACACTGTCTTCGACGTCCTCACCCAGTTCTTCGTTCACCAGGATCCCTGGGTCGCACTCGCTGCTCTGGAGGTGTACACGCGTCGTGCTTACCGTGCGTACCAGCTCCAGAACATCAACTACCACAACGAGGGCGAGCAGCAGTGCCTGTTGTCTTGGGACTTTGTGCTTCGCAAGGTTGGCGAGGCTGAGTACGGTCTTGCTGTTGAGCCCTCTGAGCCCGGCACACCTAGCACTCCTGGCTTCGAGCGCCCTCCTCGCATTCACTCCATGAGCGACTTGTCCTCGTGGAACACCCGCTTCGACAACGAGCCCACTAGGAAGGGTGTTGTTGTTCCTGTCGAGTACCTCGACGATGCGGATGAGTCCCTCGCCAAGGCTCTCGAGCTGTTCCCCTCTGCCGGTGCCTATAAGAAGGGTGGCGTCAGCCTGAAGGATGGCCTGTCGCTGAAGCGTACCCCTACTAGCGGCGTCAATGCTCCCAAGCAAACTACCGATGAGCTCACCGGTGTTCTGAACGTTGCTGTCCGTGACATTGAGGGCGTCCACGACGAGGAGATCCTCGAGCGTATCCTGCCTATTGTCGAGGAGTACAAGGAGGAGCTCCTTGCCCGCCACATCCGCCGTCTCACTTTCATCTGCGGCCACAAGGACGGTACGTACCCCGGCTACTACACTTTCCGTGGACCCAGCTACGAGGAGGATGCCAGCATTCGTCACGTCGAGCCTGCTCTTGCCTTCCAGCTTGAGCTTGGGAGACTGTCCAAGTTCAACATCAAGCCAGTCTTCACTGAGAACCGCAACATCCACATCTACGAGGCTGTTGGCAAGGGCGCTGAGAGCGACAAGCGCTACTTCTTGCGTGCTGTCGTCCGTTCTGGGCGTCTTCGGGAAGAGATTCCTACCGCCGAGTACATGGTCTCCGAGACTGACAGGTTGATGACGGACATTCTGGATGCTTTGGAGATTGTCGGCACTTCGCAGGCTGACATGAACCACATCTTTATCAACTTCTCTCACGTCTTCCCGCTCAACCCTGCGGAGGTCGAGGAAGCTATTGGTGGCTTCTTGGAGCGCTTCGGTCGCCGCCTCTGGCGCCTCCGTGTTACTGGTGCTGAGATTCGCATCATCGTCACGGACCCTCAGACCGGCATTCCCTACCCTCTCCGTGTCATCATCACCAACACCTCTGGATACGTCATTCAAGTTGAGATGTACGCGGAGCGGAAGTCGGAGAAGGCTGGCAAGTGGCTCTTCCACAGCATCGGTGGAACGACCAAGATCGGTGCTCTCCACCTTCAGCCAGTCACCACTCCTTACCCGACTAAGGGTGCACTACAGCCCAAGAGGTATAAGGCTCATCTCATGGGAACTCAGTACGTCTACGATTTCCCCGAGCTCTTCCGCCAGGCCACCGAGAACAGCTGGACTGCAGCAATTGCCAAGCACCCTTACCTGCGCGACAAGCAGCCGCCCAAGGGTGACTGCCTCGAGTACTTCGAGTTGGTGCTCGATGACAACGACAACCTGGCTGAAGTGAACCGCGACCCTGGTAACAACAACATTGGTATGGTTGGTTGGATCGTCACAGCCAAGACGCCCGAGTACCCTCGCGGCCGCCGCTTCATCATCATCGCCAACGACATCACCTTCAAGATCGGTTCCTTCGGTCCTCAGGAAGACAACTTCTTCCACAAGTGCTCTGAGCTGGCACGCAAGCTCGGCATCCCGCGAATCTACCTTTCGGCCAACTCCGGCGCTCGCATTGGTCTTGCCGAGGAACTCATCCCCCACTTCTCGGTTGCCTGGAAGGATGCCAACAGGCCTGAGGCTGGCTTCGATTACCTCTACCTCACCCCCGAGAAGTACGAGCACTTTGTTGATGGCAAGCGCAACGATGTCATTTGCGAGAAGGTCGATGAGGCTGGCGAGACACGTTACAAGATCACCACTGTCATTGGTCAAGAGGATGGCCTTGGTGTTGAGTCGCTCCGTGGCTCTGGTCTCATTGCTGGCGAGACTTCGAGGGCTTATGAGGACATTTTCACCATCACTTTGGTGACGTGCCGCTCAGTTGGTATGTACCTCACACATTCATGTTCTACAGCACCCATGCTAACTCTTTGCAGGTATTGGTGCTTACCTTGTCCGTCTCGGACAGCGTGCCATCCAGATCGAGGGCCAGCCCATCATCCTCACTGGTGCTCAGGCTATCAACAAGCTGCTCGGTCGTGAGGTCTACACTTCTAACCTCCAGCTTGGTGGCACTCAGATCATGTACAGGAACGGTGTATCTCACATGACCGCCGATGATGACTTCGAGGGTGTCTCTAAGATTGTCAAGTGGATGTCGTATGTGCCTGACAAGAAGGGCAGCCCTGTTCCTATCTCGCCCACAGCGGACGACTGGGATCGCGATGTCACCTACTACCCACCTGGCAAGGCTGCCTACGACGTCAGGCATCTCATCGCCGGAAAGGAAGACGCAGATGGCTTCCAGTCTGGTCTCTTCGATCGCGGCTCTTTCGAGGAGAGTCTCGGTGGTTGGGCCAAGACTGTCGTTGTCGGTCGAGCTCGCCTCGGTGGCATCCCTGTGGGTGTCATTGGTGTCGAGACTCGCTCCGTCGAGAACGTCACACCTGCCGATCCTGCCAACCCCGACTCCATCGAGCAAGTCACTTCTGAGGCTGGTGGTGTCTGGTACCCCAACTCGGCCTTCAAGACTGCCCAGGCCATCAAGGACTTCAACAACGGCGAGCAGCTACCCCTGATGATCCTCGCCAACTGGCGCGGTTTCTCTGGTGGCCAGCGCGACATGTACAACGAGGTCCTCAAGTACGGTTCGTACATCGTCGACGCCCTCGTCAAATTCGAGCAGCCCATCTTTGTCTACATCCCACCTTATGGCGAGCTCCGTGGTGGCTCCTGGGTCGTCGTCGACCCCACCATCAACCCCCAGTACATGGAGATGTACGCCGACGAAGACTCGCGCGGCGGCGTCCTCGAGCCCGAAGGCATCGTCGGCATCAAATACCGCCGCGAGCGCCAGCTCGAAACCATGGCCCGCAACGACCCCACCTATGGCGCTCTCAAGCGCAAGCTGACCGACCCGCAAACACCTCAGGACCAGCTGCAGTCCATCAAGGCCGAGATGACAAAGCGCGAAGAACTCCTGCTCCCCATCTACGGCCAGATCGCCATCCAGTTCGCCGACCTGCACGACCGCTCCGGCCGCATGCAGGCCAAGGGCGTCATCCGGCAGGCGCTGCGCTGGCAAAACGCGCGCCGCTTCTTCTACTGGCGTCTCCGCCGCAGACTCAATGAAGAGTACATTCTCAAGAAGCTCGCGTCCGCCGCAGCGCCCTCGCAAGAGGCGCCCAAGCACGACGCCGTCACCCGCGCGCGCAGCATCGAGATGCTCAAGGCGTGGAGCCAAGTGCCGCAATTCGAAAACGACGATATGAGCGTCGCCACGTGGTACGAGGAGAACAGGAAGATAGTGCATGAACGCGTGGAGAAGCTCAAGAGCGATGGGATTGCGCTCGAGATTGCGAACTTGATGCGCAAGGACCGTGAGGGTGGGCTTAAGGGCGTTATGTCGCTGCTGAGCACGCTGCCGACGGGCGAGAAGGAGGAGGTTATCAAGATGTTGACCAAGGCTTAGGCGAAGTTTGGAGGAGAGAAGACATGTAAATTAGGGAGGAGGATACTGAAGGATGGGGATGTTGCTGCATGTTGCTGCATGTTGCTGGCGTGTACCGTCGGTTCTACGTTCTACGATTTACGGGGGCTGGGCTGGCGCGACTGCCTATTAGCGTTGTTGTAATCTCTTCATACATAGTATACAGCCGTCGAAGGGTGCAATGTGTTGGGAGGCACGGAACATACCTGAAGCTGCAATGTATCACTTTTCAAAAGGAACTCATCCGAACGACACGAACATCACCGAGTCTCGCTTTGATTTCCAACCCTACTGGCGGTAAAAGCTACCGTGGACAAAACGATACTGACTCCGTCCTCCAATCCTGTCACAGCAGTACCTTCCAACACAGCAACATCTTCAAAGCCCGTTGAGAGCTGAGGTGTACTTACCAGCCAGTAAGAATCCAGCAAGAATCCAGCAAGTGCCTCCATGCCAAACATCTGCCACACACTCGGAACTCGGACCACAGCAGCATCTGCGCTCGGATACGCTGGGGTTCGAGTCGTCCTCCGACAAAGAGCATGGCTACAGTTCCCGAACTTTGTTCTGGATTGCCAACAAGAGACATGATTCGGTGGAATGAGTGAAAGCTTGTTGGGGACGAATGACGATACCAAATCGCGCTAGCGCTGGCGGCTTGGCGGGAAGGCGCGTCGCGAATTGGGTGGCAGGCGCGTCGCGGGCAGTGAGGGCAAGCAACGTCAACACTCACTCTCAACCCCACCCAGCCATGTCCTGAGCGACGTCGACGTGATCGCATTGCCCTACCGTCTGCGACACCATTGACAACTATTGCATCGAGGCTGCGCGCAGTGACCGCGCCCCACCGCCGCCATGGGTTACATCAAGCAGATCACCATTCAGGGTTTCAAGAGGTGAGTGACGGGCATGTGTAGGTGTCGAACGAGGCTGACATAACCGCAGTTACAAGGACCAGATGCAAATCGAGCCTTTCTCGCCCAACTGCAACGTCATCGTCGGTCGCAATGGTTCTGGCAAGAGCAACTTCTTCGCCGCCGTGCGCTTCGTCCTCGGCGACGATTACAACTTCCTTAATCGCCAGGAGCGCCAGGCCTTGTTGCACGAAGGCTCTGGCTCGGCTGTCATGTCTGCATACGTCGAGGTCTGCTTCGACAACACCGAGGACCGTTTCCAGACTGGCAAGCCTGAGTTCTACCTGCGTCGGACAATTGGCGCAAAGAAGGACGAATACTCAGTTAACCGCAAAAACGCCACCAAGGCTGAAGTCATCCAAATTCTCGAGTCGGCCGGTTTCTCGCGATCGAACCCATACTACATTGTCCCACAAGGTCGTGTGACGGCTCTCACGAACATGAAGGACAAGGCCCGTCTCGAAATGCTGAAAGAGATCTCAGGTTCAAACGTATACGAGACGCGCCGTGCCGACAGTCTGAAGCTGCTGAATGACACGGACAACAAGTGCACCAATATCGACAGCGTGGTCGAGTCGATCAACGAGCGTCTGGGCGAATTGGAGGGCGAGAAGGAGGAGCTTGAAGCCTGGAGCAAGAACGACAGGGAGCGAAGATCCTTGTTATACACTCTACACTCGCGGGAAGAGGCTGAGCTTGAGGCAAAAATCGAACACATCGACTCCCTCGAGCACCACGGTCGCGAGATGCGCGAAGACAATGAAGCAACATTCCGGCAGAACGAAGACGACATTACGAGACTCGAGTCGGAAGTCAATCAGCGGAAAAGCGATCTCGACATACTCAGACAGGACCGTGTACAATACGAGGGCGAACGCAAGGCTGCAACGCTCGAGAAGGCCAAGATTGAGTTGGACTTGAAGGCACTACAGGACAGCCAATCATCTGCTCAGCAAACCAAGAGCAGACGTGACGCACAAGTCACGGCGCTGCAGCAACAGATCAGGTCTCGACAGGCTGAGCTCGAACAGCTGCTACCCCAGTTCGAGGCAAAGAAGGAGGAAGAAGAGGCTGTTCGTGCACAGCTTCTTGACGCGGAAGGTCAATACAAACGTCTCCAGGATAAGCAGGGTCGAACGGCGCACTACAGCAACAAGCGAGAGCGTGATGTTGCTCTACGCGCACAGATCGACGAGACGAACGGAGACCTCAGCCGTCGCAAGGCTGTGCTCATGCAAACCAACGAAGAGATTGCCGAGCTTCACAACGAGATTAAGCGTATCGAGAGCGAGATCGCTGAGTTGAGGCAGGCAATTGACAATGAGGGTGATGCCGCTGTGGATCTTGCGGCGCAGCTCGAGAAGGCCAGAGATGCGAAGAAGGCTGTCCTCGATAAACAGACTAGCCTTTGGCGCGACCAGAACAGGCTCAGCAGTCAGCTTGGAAACGTGCAGAAAGATCTGCAGATGGCGGAGCACACATTCTCTCGTCTACTGGACCATGGTACCAGTCGCGGACTCGAGTCGTTACGGAGATATCGCAGAGATGGGCTACAGGGCGTTCACGGCACGATCGCTGAGTTGCTTCAAGTACCCGAAAATTACCGATCAGTCACAGAAAGCGCTGCAGAAGCCGCTCTGTTCCACGTCGTTGTCGAAGACGATAACGTAGCATCCAAGATCATGGATCGTCTTACCAAGGACAAGGGCGGTCGTCTCACATTTATTCCTCTGAACCGAATCAGCGTACCGGACATCCAGCTCAGGCCGACAGAAAACATGCAACCTCTGCTCCCAAAGCTTGTCTATGAGGAACGCTTTGAAGCTGCGTTTAGGCATGTCTTTGGTAAGATTGTTGTGTGCCCAACTCTGGACGAGTGCAAGCGTGTCGCCAAACAGTACAACGTCCGCGCATACAACCCAGATGGAGACAACGCCACTAGAAAGGGACAGTACCGGGGTGGTTTCCACGATCCATCTAGGTCAAAAATCATGGCTTTCAGCGTTGTTGCTGAGAAGCGTGCACTGCTCGACGACTTACAGCAAAAGAATCGCGAAGTCGACGAGCAGCTAAACTCCATCAAACATCAACTCACAGCAGCACAGAGCGAGCTACTTAGGCGGCAAAACGACCAAAGGAGAGGAGAGACTAGCTATGCACCAATGCGAGAAGAGGTTCGCGTGAAGCAGAGCCTGCTGCAAGATGCACGGGATACGCTGGCGAAGAAGCAGAGAACTGCTGCGGACCTCGAAGCGGCCATCAATCTGCTTGGAGCACAGCAGAGTGACTGGGAAGCAGAGATTGCTTCGAAATTCACCAAAGCACTGTCCAACGATGAAGAGCAGATGCTCGTCACTTTGACCAGCACAGTGAAGGACCTCAAGAAGCAGTATGCGCAGATCAAGCAAGAAAGCGCCACGCTCGAGACCCAGAAGATTGAGGCCGAGCTCGAGTTAAACCAGAGCTTGCAGCCTGCCCTGGATGACTTGCTCGCACAGCAAGGAGGCGCTGGAGGTTCTGCAGCTCAATCAACGGGTCTGCGAGAAGCTAAGCGTGCGCTTGACACCATCAACAAGACCGTCGCCAATCTCGATCAGCAAATCGAGGAGACTGACACTCAGATTGATGAGATACGGGCTCAGATTGAGCTGTTGGAATCTTCGAGAAATGAGAAGGAACAAAGCAATCGTGCGCTTGCTGCTGCAATGGAAAAGCAGGAGAAGTCACTGTCGAGGAAAGACGCAGACCGTAGCACCTACACAGCCCAGCTCAGCAGAGTGAGGAAAGAGATTCGAGATTTGGGCACACTGCCCGAAGATGTCGGTCGCAAGTACAGCAAGTGGAACACGGAAAAGGTCGGATACAGTGGCTCTTCCCTTGATGACAACTGCTAACGGTAATGATCAGATCGGCAGGGAGCTCACCAAGGCCACCCAGGCCCAGAAGCAATTTGCACACGTCAACAAGAAGGCCTACGAACAGTACGAGAACTTCACTCGACAGCGCAAAACTCTCATAGACCGCCGCGCCGAGCTCGACTCGTCACGCAAATCTATCGAAAACCTCATCGACGTGCTCGACCAGCGCAAAGACGAGGCCATCGCCCGTACCTTCAAGCAAGTGTCCGTCGCCTTCAAGAGCGTATTCCAAGAACTGGTCCCCATCGGTACAGGTCGTCTCATCATCAACCGCAGATCAGATGGCGCACAAGGCGACGACGACAGCGAAGACGAGACCCCCACACAAGCAGCCCGGAAGAAGGGATCCAAGATCGAGGAATACGTCAGCGTCAGCATTGCCGTGTCCTTCAACTCAAAGCACGACGAGCAGCAAAAAATCGGCCAGTTGTCCGGTGGACAAAAGTCCCTTTGCGCACTTGCACTCATCTTTGCGATCCAGCAGTGCGACCCTGCGCCGTTCTATCTCTTCGATGAGATCGACGCGAATCTCGATGCGCAGTACCGTACTGCTGTCGCCAATATGCTGCAGAAACTCAGCGGACAAGGTGGGCAGGATGGAAAGGGCGGCGGACAATTTATCTGCACAACCTTTAGGCCGGAGATGGTGCTTGTGGCGGATCGATGCTATGGCGTGACATACACGAACAAGACGAGTAGCATCGACGTAGTGGATCGCGAGGATGCGTTAGGGTTCGTCGAAGGGATGCAGAAGTGATCATGTAGTGTAAGATGCGAGTGTGATGGGGTTCGAAGTACCTGCGTGTCTTTCGTCGCGATCAGAGGCGCTGGCGTTATGATAATACCAATGCGTTTCATCTGTTCACTCATCTTTTTACTCGCTATGTTGGCGCGTTATTCGCTCGTGTACTTGCCTTGCCTTACTCACCTCACCACGTACCCGCTGTCACCAACTCCCACTCCAGCCCTACCCACGCACTCAAGACTTCGAATCTCGATGCCGTCGCCAATGGCATTGAAGAACTTTCCTACTCAAGTCGCAGAGGGACGTTCGAGACCGCCGCCGTGCAGAAGTCAGGATGCTGTTCTGACACGAAGCGATCGCACATTGTACATCAGGCGAGGGTCTGGAACGCCGCGGTGCAGGACTGGTGGGGGGTTAGCGAACTGGAGGTCAGGGGATAGCAATAAGAGAGAGACTAGAGTCATTGCTGATATCGGTGATGATGGCGATGCGGTGCAGGAGATGGTTACATGTGTTAGAGGCCTGAGAGACGCCTGAAGCCGACCCGAGTTGCAGGATGCAACAGGTGCCTCCTGCTGCTAAAAGTAGAAAGTGCCCCGGTTCTGAGCTTCGCGATTGGGGGCTGCAGAGCTCAATGCTTAACTTTCAAACACATCCACATTGATTGGCACGAACGATCTTGCATCCAACTCGTTAATTTGAGAGGCGCATCTTGTCGAGGTTTGCACTTGAAAGATGCCTGCGTGTGCTCACCTGGCATATATATGCTGCGTGGATTTGTGCTCAGGTGCCTTCCACGAAGAACATTGAGGTTTCGGTAGGCACAGCGAAGTCCGATCGATTTCGCACCCTGAACAAGTTTGCCAATTGGCAGATCCGAATCGCCGCGGGATCACGATACAGCCACCCACAGATACTGAAAGTTTCCCAGAACAGTAACTATGGGCCACTCTCAGCAAAGCTCTAGGTGTTTGAGCCTCATACAATGGTATTTCGAAATGCCATGTCTTGCATTCTAGGAAGGCGTGACGACAGTCGCTCCGGTAAATTTGGCCAATCATAGGCATCAAACTTTGCACTAGCCGTTAGCGTAAAGTCTGTGCCCTGACAGATCACGATCGAGTCTGCCCACCGCAATTATATCTTCGTTCTCGAGAATTGTCATTACCCTCCCATAATGCCCCCAAGGACGAGGGCATGTTCAGTATGTCGGAAGAAGCGTATCAAATGCGATGGCACTTTGCCGCACTGCCAAATGTGCTCCAGGACTGGGAAATTGTGTCCTGGACCGCTCGAAGGACCTTTGATTGTAGACATGACGGCGAGCGCAAAGAATGGCATGCGAAAACAGCGTACACAAAGGCAGACGCCCATGAACCGGACACATAGCATTCAACTGAATCGTATCGACATGCGAGATTCAGTAAAAGCCGTCATCACCAAAGCTTTCTACGAAAACTTTTTGACTCACTTCACGGCAGAAGGCGAAGGGAAAGACATTCAAAACCAGCTAACATGGCTACAACGCCTCCCAACTCTAGCCGTGGACAAATCAGACAACGCGCTGGTGCTGGCCTTAGAAGCCACAGCGACAGCATACGGCGCCATTATGATTTCGAACGCAGCGTTGACCTGGCACGCACGGGACCTGTATGGCACAGCCCTTCGCGTGCATCACAACGTACTGCAAAAATCTGGCTCCACTTTCGACATCACGATACACATGGTGTCCACAAGCGTGCTTCTTAGCTTCTTCGAGGCTATGCAGGCGACCACCGCTGACGCATACCGCGCCCACATCTACGGTGCAGCGAAATTGCTGGAGATCACTGGACCAGGACAGTGCGCACATGGTGTACTGTGTCAATTGTTTTATCATGTCAGAACACAGATACTGTTCGTTCAACTGGCATCAGACCAGCATAGTGTTCCATTTCCCGCGAAGAAGATCCTGTATGATACGCTGCTCTACAAGGACCCGCCACTCATCCAGAGGCTGATGTGTTGCATTGCAGCTCTGAGAGAGTTGCACGCTCAGACTTACGACAAGGAACACCTAGACCAGGAAACTTATGGGTGCTTGAACCTTGAGGTCAATCAGCTTTGGGACGAGTTCAGCAGACAAAAGCCCACGAAGAATCCTAATTGGCAAGACACCACCGCAGAAATTGTCTTGTTCAATGATGCTTTTACGGCGCTTACGGCAGCATACTTCAGTTCAGCGCACATCCTCCTCGCGATTCTGAGACCTGATACCACGGACTTCCCAGACTTGCTGCACCACTCCCGCATGATTCTGGACGTCGCAGCATTTCTTGATATAACTCATAACGCAATCGCATACATGCGCATGGCAACACCATTACTTTTGGTCGCATTGCATGCACAGTCTTTTGGACATCGAAACAGCGTGGTGGGCATATTCGAGATCTGGTCGAGGGAGAGTATGAGAGGTATCAGTGCACTTGCCTTGGATGCTGTGCATCGTCAAGAAGGAAAGAGCACACAACGTGCGGGGTCGTGACAGGGTTTCCCAACTTCCCACGCCACATTGAGTAGAGAGCGACAAACCGGCAGGTATTTACCCGATGCCCCCTGGGTCTGAACTTCTCTTCCACCAGCAGCGCCAGACAACCAAGGGTACGTCAGGACGCTCCTAAGATTTTGCTGCCGTTCGTACCGGTGCAGATGCAAGTATTCTTCCACGTATCGCGAACCCAAACATCTACGATGCCAAGCTCGGTTCGAGTACAAGACATTTGTACAGCTCCTAGCATATCTGGGGTGTCTAATCCTAGGAAACTTTTTTACATCATATGAAGGACGGACATCAATGCACCTCAGAATCATAGGCCTCTACTTCTCAGCGTTGGCTGTCGGATTGGTAGCATCAACTCCAAAGCACCATGATGTACCTTCACGACCAAACGTCAAGCCCGCACCTTACGACGCCGGAGAAGCTCTGCCATACTCGCCTCCTCGCCACCCCAAACGTCGTTGCTTTGTCGAGCAAGGGGCCGCCACAGACCGGAATGATGCGCATGACATCCACCGCGCCTTCGTGGATTGCAACAACGGTGGTACAGTCATCCTGGACAAAACATATCGCATTGGCTCTCCGCTGGATTTGACATTTCTCAAACATGTTGATGTCGTGCTCACCGGCGAGATCCACTTTGACGACAGCGACGTGTACTACTGGGCGGAGAATAGCTTCAAATATGAATTTCAGAATCAGTCCGTGTTCTGGAAGTGGGGTGGTGAAGATGTGAACATCTATGGGGACCTGAGCAAAGGTAAAAGCCTCATTGATGGGCATGGGCAGGCATACTGGGAGGAGATACGCACGAATAAGAGTCTTTTCCGACCCATGCTCTTCGCTTTTGACGGAATGAAGGGTGCACGCATGTCACACTTGCGGATGCGCAACCCTCCGCATTGGTTCAATATCATCGCCAACTCATCCGATATCCTGATCAGCAATATGGATCTCCAGGCTAAGAGCCTCAACAACATCACAATCGCGAATTCGGACGGATGGGACACATACCGCTCAGATCGCGTAGTCATACAAGACTCGGTCATTCTGAACACAGACGACTGCGTATCCTTCAAGCCAAACAGCACCAATATCGTCATCCAGAACCTCGACTGCACCGGTTCACATGGCATCAGCGTCGGCTCATTGGGCCAGTATGTAAACAAGACCGATATCGTCGAAAACCTTTACATCTACAATGTTTCTCTCACGGACTCCAGCGACGGTGCTCGTATCAAGGTGTGGCCTGGCATTGCAACCAGCTTCCAGACGCTGCTCAACGGCGGTGGTGGACTGGGAAGAGTAAGGAACGTAACGTACGATCTGTTCAGGAACGTGAATAATGATCGCGCAATTACAATCACGCAATGCTATGGGCAGAAGAATCAGAGTCTATGTTACGAACATCCTGTAAGCCGTTTCCCTTCCTTCGTATCTCGGACAGGGCTCATACACATAGGCAAACCTGACTATCGAAGACATCACTATCAAGAACATGTTTGGCACGACCTCCGAAACGTTGGATCCGCAAGCTGGAACCTTGATTTGCAGCGCACCAGACCGCTGCAGCAACATTCGGGCGGACAACATCACGGTGCACGTACCCAGCGGCAAGGCACCTGTGTATGCTTGTAAGAACGTAGACGAGGACTTATTAGGGTTCAACTGTACTGAGCCGGCTGGGGAGAGGGATCTTGGTCAGGGTTGATGACAATAAACTCCAAGTGTCGCAATTGTATTGGTGTTGTAAACTATGAAGAGTCTGAAGCAATTGATTCTTCCTGGCCCGCGCAAAATCGCAACAAGACAACCAGCGACGACGACCGCTTTTCAATGTTTCTTCTGACTAGCTAAGATGCAAAGAAGTATCAGTTATACATCGAAGCATTGTGAGGGAAGCACATATCACATGACCATGATCACGTGATTAAATCACGATCATTTTGAGAAGATATCTTCGATCTTATCTTTAGATAGCATCCCATTCGTTCAAGCACCACATAGCTTCGGAAAGAATTCCGATCAATCAACAAGTCTGCTGCTCCGCTCTCCCCTCCGTTGCCTCATTCGCCACCTGAGTTCCCTTTGATTGGTTTGCTGAAACTGACCGCGGGCGAGTCAACAAATGACAGCAGCACAAGATTCGGGACAAAATCCACACGCGCAGACTTGGGGTTCTCGGGTCCAAAGACGACAGCCTCGAAAGCTCATGAAAACAACGCGGCCTTCGCATGTTGGTCCACACCTCGTCCTATAGCTCGAAGGCAACTACTTGCAGTACTGCTGACAGTTGCCACAGATGAAAAGCTGAATCACATTACCTGTCATTGCGAGCCGCTCAGCCAGGTACTGCGACCACGTTCAGGAAGGCCCCAGTGGTCGCAAAACCACACGCCAGTTCGCGTCTTTCTATTTCGTGACTTGCCCACTCGGGAAGGAGCGTTCTGCCGGACCCTGTGTGGCGAATTCGGTGTTCTCGAGCTGTTGTGGTGGGCCCTTGCATGGCTGAGTCGGGAACAGCTGCAGCGACTATTTCCACCGCGAAATTGGTGTTCTTGAGCAAGGTGTTACCTACGTCGCCCCTCTAGCTTGGGAAAGTCGCGTACACACCCAGTCTCTACATCCAGATCGCGCACAGCTCCGCGGGGCTCCGACACAACTCACCATTCGCGCATTATGGCGCACCAAAAACGTATTCCCAAGGTAGCCATTCCGAAACTCGATCGTGGTCCCCCACCCCCACCCAAGAAACCGGCGCAGAATCGAGAGGATCGAGTGTAGGTCCTCCTTCCTTGCCCCCTCGATGCAGATATAGAGCGCTGACGCTAGGCTCACAGGACCAGAGCCTGCAAGACCTGCCGCAAACGAAGTACGCTTGCCCTACCTAGCAACAGTTGTTATTCTCATTAACATTACAGCAGAGGTCAAGTGCTCTGGTGATGTCCCACGCTGTGCCAATTGTCAGGCCACTGGCCTTAATTGTGTCTACGAGCAAGCACGGCGCGATCGCTTGAAGGAGTAGCTTTCTCCAAATGCGCTACAAATATGCAACAGCCACTAACCGCCTGTAGAGCGATCGACCTGAACCATACCTTGGTCAACCTCTTCACAGAATTCAGCGAAGAGCTGAGTGAAGATAACAAGAAGAGGGTTCAAGATGTGATCGACGCAGTAAGTCAACTACGGCCCATTACCAAGACCACTCGCCGACTATGCTGGTGTCTAGGTAGAATCCGATATATTATCTCCGCAGGCGGCGCCATCCGTTGGGTCACTCGGCAAACGAGCACGAAAATCTTCAGTTGAGGAAAGCCCGGATCAGAACAGCCCTAGAAAAAGGTACGGCGAAGCGCATGTTACCGCGTCGGTAGGATCAAACGAGGATCTCGACTTCCTAGATGAAGACTTGTTGCGGACTCGCGAGTCAAGGGAAACAGGATATGTTGGTCAGAACTCGGAAGTGCAGTGGCTTCGCTCTGTCCAGCGTCAATCACAAAGGAACGAGGGTGAGCCTCATGGTCTTCCGTACGGGCCACCGGGCACTAGCGCACATGCCATCGATGAACGGTCCAAAGCACTTCATCAGCGTAGACAGGAAGGAGATTCTGCACCAATTCGGCACGTCACAGATGCGACATTCTATCTCGACAGCGACAACATCGAGCTGGACATTATCATCAACCCGTACGAGCTTCCCGAACCCGAAATCGCCGAGCAGCTCCTGCACTGCTATATGAGCACGGTGCATAGCTCGTTTCCCATAGTGCCTTCAAGCTTTGTGGATCAAATACGCAGGTTCATAGTCTCATTGCAACAGAACAGAGCTTTCAAGGTCCCAGATAGGTGGCGAGCTCTGATGAACCTCATCTTCGCAATTGGCGCCAAGTATTCCCATATGATTGGTACTGAGTGGCAAGGAGACGAACGCGACCACCTGGTATACATGACTCGAGCTTCCCACCTTCTTGGTATGAACAGCGCTGTCATGTTCATCTCTGCGCCCGATCTGTCGCTGGTACAAGCTGTAAGTTTAGTTTGCCTTTTGTATTACATTTGCCATGGTCATTGACATAGTTGCAGACCGCTGTCTTCTCCTTCTACTTCCTGACTATTGGTCATGTGAGCCGTGCATGGCTCATGGTCGGTGTATCAATCAGGCTCGCCCTAGCACTCGGCTTGCACCTACGAAACGAAGATCCCAGGGCAGACACAACTAAGAAAGAGATGTTGTTGCGGACATGGTGGAGTTTGCATTCGATAGAATGTTTATTGAGCTCCATCACCGGCCGACCGCCTATCATATCGAGTGAGGATTATACAGTACCTTTACCGGGAGGGATCTCTACAAAGCAACGGCCTGCTAGCAAACGACAACCATCCAGTCTTGTCAGCCAGAAGATCCAAGAAGAAAGCTCAAGCGCAAGTAGCTCTAACGATGCGGATGACTACCTTATCAGCACCATCGATATTTCTCTCCTCACGCAAAGAGTCTTGGCTAGCCTGTATGCACCTCGAACTGCTGTTAGGTCTTGGCAGGTATGTCTTCCTGGGCCTTTGGTCTTCTGCAGAGCTTCCAAGGTTTATGTACCTCGTGGTCTTGGCTCTATATATTTCATCATGCTGGGGGTAGAGTTTATGCTAATGATTGGCACCGCAGGATGTTCAGGGTAAGATCAAAGACCTACTTCAGGGGCTCGAGGATTGGTCCATGCGCGCATTGAGCGGGACTGTATCTCCCGGCGATTTACGACAGAGCGAAGTTGAGCGTGAGCATCTGCTTCTCCTGGTGCAGTATTGGAGCACCAAGATTCTCATCACTCGACCATGTTTGTGCCGAACAGAACGTCGCATCAAGGACGAGAGTGATGCTTCTGCCATCTTCAATTCCGAGATGGCCAGTATTTGCGTCAATTCGGCTCGTGCATTGACAGCACTGTTTCCCCACGAACCTGATATCCATTTTGTCTGCATGAAGGCGCCGTGGTGGAACGTGATCCACATTAGTAAGTATCAGCGCAGACGAACAAATGGCTGTCTTGTTCTAACAAAAGCTAGTCATGCAATGTGCTGCCGTTCTACTCCTCGAAGTGGGATACCAAAACCGGCACACGAAGGACAACAATGCTGAGATCACTTCCGACATCCAGAAGCTGATGAAGTGGCTGCACGCAATGCAACCGAATGACCCCTGTGCAGATCGAGCTTACCATGTGGTGCGACGAACCCTGCAGAACGTCGCGCCAGCTCTTCAGTCCAAGGCCACTGAACTACTCACAGAAGGGGAAGGAAGCGAGGCTGCGGACGGACAATCATTCAGGCCTTTCGTCTCACCGTACAGACAGCAACAAGCCAATACAAACTGGGCTCAGGGTGACTTTTCCGATGGCTCAGCATCAGTAACTGGTCACCAGTACTATTCGCAAGCCTCAAATCAGGACTATCAGGACACAACGCAATCGCCGCGACATCACTCGATGTATGGAAGCCTCCCCTTCGAAGATATACATATGTTGAATACATCCGGCAATCCGTCCATCAACAATTGGGATGAGGGTGTGCCGTGGGCCGGTATGCAGAATCTATGGTACAACCCTAGTTTCTCCTCTGCCAATATGCCGGAAGATGTAGGGGACATGGATCTTCTCTCGACATCGTACACGGAGCAAGAACACCATCAACAACAATCATATGATGCCGCGGGGATGGACATGCCACACGGGCAGCAGCAACGGAAGGAGTAGCTTAGTCTTCACCTCAATTTCGCATCTATAGTTGGAAGTTATAATATCAATTATAGACCCCTGTCTGCGTGTCGATCGCAACCGTTCCTCGGGCCCGCTATTGACGTCGAGCAATGAGCTCAACGCTGATCTGTACGTTAGTGTTCGTATATTACGAAGTGAAAGTAAGTTACCGTGGAAATTGCTCATTTTACATGCAGGCTCCCATGGCACTAACCCGCCCAAGTCCAGCGCGCAAATGCGTTTGTTCACCCAGCGCCGCACAGCTTCTAATCAGCGCGCCTCTAATCTACAACAGCCCGCAGGGCAGCAAGTCAGGGGGGACCGCGCGAAGCAGTAGAATCAGTATATTGTGTTTTTCTTCTTGTTTTGTGATTGTCTCTCACCTGCCGTGATCAGGGTCTGTTTTCATGACGTATCTGTCGTTTAGCCAGGGGTAGAAAGTGCTTGTTAGAAAGATCAAGAACACTGCACCAAAACACGTGGCACACATGACCTCTTTACTCCATAAACCGTCATATCAATGCATCACCGGTCGAAGTGGCTGGCTCTACCGCGTTGCAAGCTGCCGCGAAGAGTGGTTATCTTGTGCTTTCTGGAATACTTGTCCAAGCGAAACCTGACATTAACGCACCCCGAGCCGAGTACGACGGTAGAACAGCAATCGAAAGCGCAGCAGAGTCGGGACATGACGCCATGGTGCGCGAGCTTTTGGAAATGGGGGCAGATGTGAGGGGGAAGGAGAATGAAAATGGCAGGCGACTTATATATCGAGCTCAGGAGAATGGCCATCATAAACTGGTCCGTATGGTTCAACATTGGAAATTCGCGCGCTACGGCCAGGAGGATTGTGAAGAACCCGCCTCCATCATGGCATCAATGACGCTTCACGAGAGACTTTCTGCGGGTGATATTGCCGTGCCAAATCATCAGTCGCGCATTGTGGAACACGAAGGGGTTGATGTCGAAGACGGTGAATTTTGGGCTGAGGGTGAAGACTACGCAGGTCCGAGTGGCGGCCTGGATCCAGAAGCAGCAGTGTAGCCAGCGTACTGGACGGAATATACTAGTATCAGCATTGTACGGCTTATAGTTGAAGCCGCAACGTCCTGTTATTGCAGGTCACGTGGCAATTACCGGCATACGGGCAGTAGCAGTAACTGCAGGAATATCTGTAGTACTGTAGTAGATGTGCTGTATTTAGAAAAAAGTGGTTTAACATGTGGAGGACTAAGGGCTTCTATACCTGCCCCCCTGTACTGCAGTACTACGACTGGCTCCCCTAATACTGTACTGCTACTGGACGGCTTGACTCCTTTACTGTTGCTTTCCACATGGTACTGCCGTAAGCAGTGACAGTAAATTTACGTAATATCACCCGTTGGCTACACTGAGAAGCGGGAGATCGTGGAAGTTGATCGGTGGAATTAACACGTTATCATGGTTTGTGAAAGTGATCTATCGTCAATGGATGATCGAAGAGGCTTTCTACTTCTCCTTCTGGCGCGAAGGGCCTTCATTGCCTACCTGCCTGCTCATGTTTCCAGAACTTTGAACAGAGGTTGCAGGCCTAGCCGGCAAGTAAGGGCTCAATAGCTATTGTATGATACAAAGAGCCCATTGCAGTATGCGCGTGTTCTTTGATGATCTTTTGTATCGACACTTGGTTAGGAGCGCTTGTGGTTCGACATGAATACCTAGCCTAGCTTAAAGATTGCTTCCGCTCACAGATCGGCGGTAGAAGTCGACTCATTATTCTACAAGACTACAGATAGAGAGATGAATTAGGAATTTTGTCCTTTTCTCACACGAATACTTTCAAAATAGCTGAACGTGGGAGGGCGCGCGCATGCATTTGATCCATGACGTAAGTCTCCGCGGCAGGGCTCCCGCCAATGGCATTTGGGTGCCAAGGGAACGCCGCATCCTGAATCCAGTCCTCAATTTATTGACTATGCATCCTCTGGTTCAGATTTTGCTCTTTCCGACCCAATCCCTTACGTGTTCTGATTTGTGAACGCGTTGCTGTACGCGACATTGCTAAATTCCTCCGCTACTGCAGGAGAGGCACACTGCACATTGAAAAGGCGGAACCGCTATAGACGAGCTTACCGTCTAGGATACATTGGTATCATACTGCTGTATCGATGAATCCGTGTCGCTCGATGCACAATGGAGCTTGAAAGAAATAACAGTAGCAGGCCTGCCGCTCGCCCCCTGCTTCCTGCAATCGGCCGGCCCCGTACACCACCACCTGAACCCTCTTACAAGCGCCCGCGAGCTTTGGTGGCTTGCGAAACTTGTCGCATCAAACGAACGAAGGTGCGTTATCTTGGAAAAATCAAGGATGAATGTGCAAATTCTGAATTTGCAAGTGTACTGCTGAGCGACCCACCTGCGCACGTTGCAAAAGCCGCAATTTGGAGTGTCAGTACGCTGTCGACAGTGACGATGAGAGTCGCAGGAAAGCACTGAAAAAGAGATATGACTGGGCCGACAGCGAAAGAAATCAGCTTCGAGATCTGCTCAACCTGCTCACGACGCGCACCGAGTCTGAAGCCGACCAAATATACAGGCGTCTACGTTCCAATGGCGATCCCATCCGAGTATTGCAATCAGTCAAACAAGCGTACCTCTTACTTCCCAACCCCGGTCCAGTCTCACAGCTTTCTTCCCATCCGCAAGTGGAGAGACTTGACAGTGAAGCATATCAGTTGAGTCCTTTCAAGTTACGCTCGCGCCCTTGGACAGCTGTAGCTGACGATGGCATTGTTTCCGCTCTTATCTCGTCCTTCTTTGCCTGGGACGGATACTATTTCCTTCCTTTCGTCGACCAAACATGCTTCATCAGGGATATGAGCAGCGGCGACATTAAACGAGCCAGGTCAATATTTTCTAAAAAAAAAACCCCCCACTAAAACTTTAGTGTTGTTAATGCTGATCAGGTTCTGCTCGCCCTTTCTCGTGAATGCAATATGCACTATACAAGTAAGTCCGTCTTGTGAACATTGTTCTTCCTGATGAGCCTTCAGATGCGGTCCACTAGCGTATGACTACTCTTGCACATGATTTTGCTAACGTACGACCGTTGTACGCAGTCTGTAAGCTACTACCTGAGCACCTCACTTTCTGTTACTGAACGATGGCTACCAGTTCTATTCAGACAATGTCAAGGTTATCCGAACCGTCACTGGGAAGGATCTTTGTGAACTGTTCGATGCGGAAGCCCGGAAGCACCTCGAGCATGACATGGATACGCCATCATTGCCTACCGCGTTAGGCTCCATCATTATGTTTATGACTAGTGCCTACTTCGGGCGGGACCGAGCAGGTGCCATATATCGACATTTGGGATACGACATGCTTGATCGCCTTTCAGTCTCTACGGCTATCGTACATATGTCTGACCCAGAAGAGAAGAGGGCGTATTGTAGGGCTGTGTGGGGTGCATATTGCTATGAAAGGTAAAGACATCTAATCGGCAGAAATGGGACAAGCTAATCTCGACAGCATTATTGCAGCATTACAGAACAAGACGCCTGCTCTCCTGATACCGACGGTTCCCCGACTGTTTCACGAGGAGTTTGATCCATCAGCGCATGTTGAGAACGTAGATCTTTTTGGCCAAACATTTACCAGCGCTTCATTTCGACCTCCGTTTGCGCCTGGGCTCCTAAACGCTGCCTGTGATCTGAACATACTACAAAATGAGATCACAAGATACAACGAGGATGCGCTCCAATCAGAGGAGGAGGTCGATCTGCCTACACGGAAAGCACTTTACAACAAGGTGTTGGCATGGCGGAAGTCACTACCCGACCACTTATTGAACGAGGTGAACCACACCCCCGGAACTAGTCTTTTAAGGTGCGTGTAGGATACCCTAAAAATGCTAAGTGTTTCACCTAATCTTTATCTAGAGTACATTACGAAGAAGTCGCCATTTTCGCACTACGGTTCTTACATCCAATGACCGATTTCATTGACCACACATCAGCGAACGAGCTCCGTGTCATACACTGTCAGCGCATTGTGGAAACAGTAGAGCGACACTTCCGTACCCACCTTCCAGGAGACTACTCGGCAATGTTCTTGAATGCGTTGTATCATGCCTGTATAACGCTCATACCATCTTTGGATGAAGTTATCAGCCAAGAAATATTCACCAGGGCTGCTATTGGGCTGCGTCGAGAGCCTCTGGATCTGCCCGGCCTGGTATTTGTTATCCGCGGGATCGAAGCGGTGATTCGAGGCATGAAGAAAAGAGTGCCCCCAGTGGCAAAGGCTGCGTTCGTTGCAACCAAGATACCTGCCAACACCGGAGATGTGCTCATCGAGTATGGGTTTCCGCCACAGCTAGAGTACGTTCAAAGGGAGTCTGATGTTACATCAGATCACAATGGTGAAACAAGGGGAAGGCTAGGTGCTTTGATACATAAGTGGAATGCTCTGACGTTGTAATGGACCAGACATATCACGAAATACGTAGTCATCGATACAGGCTCTATAGCATGGAAGTGGCATTGCTTAAGGTTTTGCCACAAGCCTGCGGCAGAGCAGAAATCGAGACGATAACATGGATTGATATGGCGTTCCCTAACATTAAGGACCCTCAGACGACCATATTCTTTTGCTCTCCTTCCCTCGTCAATGCTTTGCTTGCTCTAAGCTGTGTAAGCACTCACTTCCTGAATTTCTTCATCCCGAGCTTGTTTTGCAGTTGTTGACCACAGAACACGAGACATTGTCCAATCTAGGGGATCCTACCACTAGCCTTCAAAGCCACACAAAGACCCATTGTCAAAGCTACCTGAAATTGGTGAAGGAGCAGGTAGAGGGAGGTGTGGGCGGTCTACCTATGATATATGTGCAGGTCTGGCACTATGACGAGATAGCTGACTTTACCATTCATCCGTGGGATCCGTGAGAGGCTGCCCATGTCTGGTTCAGGGTCTGTGAAGGTATGGCTCAGGGTCCTGGGTAGAGGCCGATGATTCGCCGAAGAAGCAGAGAGAAATTTCGAGAAAGAGAAAGATCAGCCCTCTCTTCGGCTCTTACAGACACAGTTTGCGATGTCTGTGTATGAGGGAAACGTCGGCGCTAGTAGTAAATCCATCGACTATTTCATGCGTGCGACGGAGACCTATGAAGCCTTTAACACCACTGAGTTTATTGATTCCCGGAGCCAAGGAACGAGCGAAGCAGGGTTGCAGAGGAGAAACAGGGCTTATCGTGGGTCATATGGAGCTTGTACTGCGCAGAATGGCAAGTTGTGGCGGATACAGCAAAAGCATTTGCTAACATGCAATAGGCGCGCATCGCAAGCTTTCGGATTCAAAAACCGACATCAAATCTACTTATCCCGAAACTGTGGCGCAACAGCGCCTTTCCATTATGCCAGTCGGATAATGCTCGTTATTGGTGGTTTCCATATCCAGTGTCGCTGCGGACGCAAAGATCTCTGGAGGTCAAGAATCGAGAGGTCCGACTCCCATCTTTCTAAAATAGCAGAAGATGTTTTAGACTTTCTATGTCCGCTACCTGACGGTGCATCCCGGTCTCCAATCGCAAATACCCAGCGCGCAGTCGAACTGTACAATATATACTAGTACAAAAGTTTTCATTGCCAGCGCGACCTCGAGTAGAGGACGCGGTTCAAACCAGTGCCATCTTGCTGCAGTAGGTATCAAGGGGTTTTCGACGATCTTGAGAGGCACCAACGTAATGACCAGTTCATACGTTGAGGTCCTGCTAGTGGTGATCCTTCGCCCATTCTCACATTTCACGAAACCGCAATTTGCCCCTTTTACCCCAAAAGATATGTATTAGCCTCATGGATACCATCTGGATATTTCGAGCCTTCACAAGCCTAAACAGCGAGTATTGGTACATCCCATGCTCACCACAGTAGCATCCATAGCCTTTCGAGAACGCACAAACAATTCTGTCCAAACAGATACACCTGATTAGGCAGGAAGGGTGAATGTGGGTCAGACCTCAGCACATCTACCCTTAATCTATTGCCTCCTGGCCACTCCTCCATATACAACTACTCACGGGATTTTCACCGTACTACAGTGCCCTTTACAGCTACTTCTCGATTACGCTACTACCAAGGTTAACACCATCAATCAGCCGATCACGGGCCTGTAACTGAGCCGTAGTATGAGCCATACTACTTCTTACTGGCAACGCAGGACCCAAGCCTCAACAGCCGTCTTTTGTCGATTCCGCACGGCCAAATCAAAATCCACCACAAAGCCGCTCTTAGCGTGCACAACAGCAAAGTTTCCTCCTTTCGAGAACTCCGCCATGAGAAGTCCTGCTTCAGTAGACGTGATTGCGCTACCTACAACAGCCATAGCTAGCGGCCTCTGCACAATTCCTTTGAAAACTGCAAAGAAATGATACAAGGTCTGGTATTCGCGTATACAAATGAGAAGGGAGTAACGCCAATCTGGGCATGTGCGTAATTTCAAGGCAGCATAAGTGTGAAACGCAGCGAAAATGAGTAGATCACCTTTATTCAGAATTCAAGGCGCATTGATCGTGGTTGTAGGATCTGTACCATTCATGACTTATTTACACTATTGATACATCTCAAGTACTCTTGCCCAATGAGGTGCTTACTTGGGGACGAACCCATAGTTTCACCTGTAGATGGTACCGTTACCAGTATAGTTACCAGTCTGGGTGGTGAAGCTCTGAGTGCTGCTGAAGTCATCGACCTTTCCAAGCAGGATCTCAAGCATGCGATACGCAACACCAGGAGTGTATCCAGGCAACTCGTGACCAGCAAGGCGAGCAGTGTAGAATGTCAATCCACGCTCAGAGGTCCAGACACCCTGGATGCCAGCGCCAGAAAGCGCGCCTCCGTTGTGTTCGGGGTGGTAAGGTGCGTAAAGCGGAGTGGAAGGGTACTCAGAAAAGCCCTGGGCACCGTTCCAGGTCATGTTCTGGATAGCGAATAGAGTGCCGTTGGTGCTGAGGAGCATATCAAGGTCACCGGAACCGATGATGGTGTTGTTAGTGTACTCGATGACACGCTGGAGAACGCCGTTATTGGCAGGAGGAGGTGACGCATCAGAAGCGCGGCTGCTGTCATTACCGTTGCCGAAGACGTTGATGTCAGTGCACTGGAGCCAGTTGGTGTCGACAGGAGCGTTCAAAGCCTCCTTGACATCGGTGCGGTTGAAGTAGATGACGGCGCCAGGGGGAGAGTAATCACCGGTGTTGACTATGCCGAGCTGGCTATATGGGTGAGGGCATGTCTCCGAGATGTGGTAGATGTTGAAACAGGGGTTGACCTCGAGGATGGCAGCATAGAAAGTGTCAAACATATCACACGCGCCGTCCTCGGTGCTGTATGGATCTGTCAAAACGGGGAAAGGTCCCTCAGGGGGTGGGAACTTGAAGTAAGTATCGAGGTAGGAGGAGTAGTTGCACGAGTCCTGACGCTCACGAACCTGGTCAAGGAATGTTTCGTTGAGGTAGAGGAGGTTCTGCCAGAATTCGACGTAAGGCAAGATGACGACTTGCTGCTGAATTGTTTCGTCACCAATGATGGGGTCATTGATCTGAATACCACCCAAGTTAAAGTATTCGGTGTCGTTGGCGGAGATGAAGCCATCAGCGATGTATGGGACGTAGTAACCAGCGTATGACTCTCCGGTAATGTATGTCTTCCAGTTCTTAGTCTGGAATGTGTCGACAAAACTTTTATAGAAACCACGGAACTGAGTAGCAAGCTCGACCTCGTCGGTAATGTCGGGTGATCCCTGGGAGTAGCCAACGCCTACAGGCTGTTCGACCCAGAGCATGTTGGTCAGGTTTGTCCACGAGTAGGGGTTCTGGACAGGGGCGAGCGTGCCAGCCATCCAGGTGAAAGGTCCGTTCTCGGTCAAGAATCCGGAGAGGGAGGAGCAGCCGGGTCCGCCATTGAGCCTGGAACAAGTCAGCGAAATCCTAGCGCGGAGGCAGCAATGGCGTGATTACCAAATGGTAACCTCTTCAGGTGTCTGTTCAGCTGTTGAGGGGAAGAACCAAAAGAAAAGCTTGCGTGTCTCATCAGGGCTGTCTGAGATGGGAAGCAAGCCAGCGTAAGACTCGCCAATGTCGAAGGGAATTTCTGGAATGCCAGAGCCGTTGACAGCGAAAGCTAGGACGCAGTCAGCTCAATCTTCGACTGATTAATGGTACAGGTTCTACTCACCCTCAGTCTTATCTGTTAGGAAACGAGAAGCTCGCTTCTGGATCTCAGGGTGCGAGAACGGCTGGCTGGACACGCGCTTTTCGATCACAGACCTGGGAAGCGTAGGCTTGACAGGCTTCCTGAAAGTAGCAAGCACGGAGGAAGCGCAAAGCAATCCGTTGAAGAGGTTCAGGAGCTTCATCTTGGAACAGATCGAATGGAAGCTGCAGCCAAAAGACCTGGATTCTGATTCCTGGACCAGCAGCAGTATTTGAACATTTTCGTTTGTGACGGCATCACTGCACTCGGACCCTGACGCTTTACCGTGAGAAGAAGGAGGAAGGTGAGAGTGCCCGAACAACCCAGGATGTGTGAGCCGACTTGAGTGTAGGTGCTGGTAATTGGCCCATGATACGACATTCGGTATTCGGCTGTTGAAGGTTGCAGGAAGTTGTGATATGGCACAGTGTGGAACGAGCTCGCACCTTCCCTATGAGGCTTAAGCCTTAGCAGAACGGTCCCACAGACCGATAATCAACCTGCAATCGCCTCGTTCCGTTCGTTTGTGATTCGGTGGCCATCGTCTAGTGCATTTAGAGCGACCAGCATCTCATAGATTAAGCCTCGGGGCGACGATGCAACCGAAGCTTGTCGAGCTTGTTGTTGCTTGGTGAGCCGCGAGGAGCCTGAAGCATGAGCAGAAGAGGGAAGAAATCCGAATCTCAGCATCTTCGCGGGAATAACGAGCTTCCTTGGGTCCAATTTTCTTCAAGAGCAGCACAGCAATGATATCGTGTCCGTAGATGCAAGAAGTCGCGTCACCACGAGAACGAGTGGTGTAATTGCAAGGCCGATAGGATCAATGCTGCTAACTAAGGTGACACGACTTGCTTACTTTTCTTGTCAACATTCCTTTACAGATGTAGCCTCGAATCCTGCAATAAGAGTGTGGTTAAGATGAAGATAGTGTTGAGGTGTCGTGTGCGCTCAGCACGCCACGCCTCCACAAACAACAACAGCGGGTGGCGGGCGGGGAAGAGCCGCAGCCTCAACGCTCCTGCAACGCACCGCCAGCATCACGTGTCGTTGTTCACTCCACCATGAACGCAACTCGTTTCGAGTTTACGGCTACTACTCCGGAGTACAACAATCACAGGATTCTTGAATAGCAAGTGAAAGAGAAGGATTCGAGACTGGAGTTGCGTTTGTTGACCGGCTGTCCTTGTGCGTGACAAGCACCGCCTCCACATCGCACGGCCACAGCACGCTCCATCAACCATCTGACATAGCAAGCGCACTTATGTGAATCCAGCAAATGGTTCAGCTCTCTTTGCTTGAAGGAGTGCGAGCGGACATATGCGATGAGGGTACCGTTGTGGCTGTACCAGCTGACGCGCGGCAGCCACACTCCCGTATCGACCTCATCAGGCATCCATCTCACCCGGCTGACATGCTGAAAGCATAGATAACAATTGCCTATGGAATCTGTAGGACTACTGTAAATGTTTCGCAACGTTGTCATCACAGCAGCCGCAAACACCACCATGGGCCACCCAACAACACCTTCTGAGGCCGCTCCGGCCTACGACGAGCACGTCTTCAACCACGAGCACCCTGTGAATGCATTCCCACCCTCAGGGTCAGTCTCCGCCTACGCGACTGTCCCGCAAAACGAGCCTGATATCGAAATGGCACACAATCACACTGCGCAAGCATCGTCAACCCCACCAAACTCATTCACACCGCACCAACACTGCGAGACATGCGATACCCTTACGTCGGCGCGTGAGGTTAGAGCGAACAAACAGCACTGCTGCATGTGGGTTTCTGTTGTGTTCATGACGATTAGCGTATCGTTGCTACTCTTGGGAATTGTCGCTGTGAACGCCAAGTACAAACATCAGAAAGACTAAAATGCAATGATGCTACTGGTGCGGACGCCTTTCCTTCCATCCTTACTGTTCTTGGGCCAGTATTGCGGCGCTTGAGGCAAGCTCACACTTCATAACTCAATCGTAACATTTCAGTCCATGTTAAGTGGCGGTCTTGTGGATCATGTGTCCTTATTGCAGTGATGTTCTTCTCTCCCTAGCCTTTGTTCAGCCAAGGCTCTTAGTTTGCGTCCCTATACATGCTCGCAACGGTTGTATCCTCCTTCCAACGCATCCTGGTGCTAGTGCGCACCAGCTGCGGTGGCACCAGTATCCATCTCCTCGAGTCTTCGCAGGTCCATCGGCGCATCGAGCAGTGGGAGGACGTATGGGTCGAAAGTCTTCCAGTATGGGTTGTTCAAGTGGTATTGCTGAGACTATAGCATTCGTCAGCTAAATACACCACAAATTGCACATGACCGCTGTATGGGCTGCATGTGACTAATGATTTGGGTAAACATACACTTTCCTGTAGGTACCTCTCTACGATGCTGAATTTCCTTGGGTCCACGGTATCCTGCATGACAAACCAGCTCAGCGTCTCCTTGTCCTTGGAGTAGACCTGGCTGGCCTCGACAAGCTTTGCCTTGAGCTTGGAAATGCTCTCCTCGTCCGCCTTGGCGTACAAGTGTACGATGATTGTGTAGACCATGATGTTCTGATTGCTTTGTTATGCGACAAGCTCACAACAGTAGTGAGATCAATTGAGAAAGAAGAGTCCCGCAATTGAAGTTTTCTTACACTTCCTGCGGAGCTTGTGACGTACCTGAAGCTGTGGACCCCGCAGCCCACTTCGCGCTACCGCAAACCCACCGAGCGACCTTCCATCATCGAAACTCGGATGACAGCTGCATGCCTTCAATGAACACCAAGCTTTGCATATACACAAGTGTTCTCGTTGCCGCAGTATAATCTTTCGTGGCTTGATGATTATGCAAAAGAGCTTTGATTTTGATATGTTCGTATACCTCCAAAATTGAAAAGGGACTTGAGATGAAGCCAAAAGAGCAATCAAGTCGTTGTCGTCACGCTGTTCATCATGCCCGCGCCTTAAGATCGACGTAAACCTTCGTTACTCTCTGATGCGCCGGAGCAAATGCAATGTTGCCCCCCTCGTCTTTCCACGTATCCGTATGAAACTCGCTGATCACTACGCCTTTGTACGGAGGCTCAGATGTACTCCACACATGCGTGACGGCATCAGCCAACGCCTCGATCTGAATACCTCTGAAGCCTCTCGCATCGGCTTCCCGCATCAACCAACGCGCCAACCCAGCCATGGTTCCTTCGCCCTCGTAGTCTCTACGCGTTGACGTTGCGTTGCGGAGTAGGACTTCGTTTGGTCCCTTTGGCTTCCAGCTCTCTGGATCCCTAGGGTCGCGTTCTCCGAGGATGTGATACACCAGTCCGAAGTGCGGTAGAGCAGCAAGAAGCGACTCCATTTTGCTCATATCCAATGTATTGAATGCATCGTAGGACAGCGCCACGCTGACGAGAGGGAAGTCCATCTGCTGCAACAGCCTTTGTGCATCAGCCTCCAGCCCTTGTGACTCTTTCACGCTCGGCTCAGAGATGTCCCAATACAGCTTGCCTTCAGTCGCCTTGCTCTCATCGTGCTTGAAGACGTACTCGGTATCGAACACGCCAAAAGAGAGACCGCTGTTGATTTGGTGCATTACGAGGTAGTCCGAGTCGAGAGCCAGTTGAATCACATCCTTGCCGTCCTTCTCGGGATAGAGGACAGGCCATACTGGAGAGTAGAAGCCGTTACTGTGCGCTACGATTGCGGCAACCCATTTGGCATGCTTGGGTTCTAGCTGCCGGATTTCATAGCGAGGCTTGAGGGAGGATGGGTTCGACGTATTTGGTGTTTTGCTGTTCTTGAGCTGAGCCCTCGACATCGTAGCTAGTAGTTCAATATGCTGGTGTTACGCGTGTATCGAGGTCTGAGGATGCTCTCTTCCTCCTTCTCCAAACGTCGAGGTCATTCCAGGCTTTTATGTGGACGGGCTAAGAATGACCAAATATCTCTTGAGGTTAGCCTATATGCAGGTAAGATGAGTCCGCCCATATGAGGAAGCTCACTTCCATGATGGTTTTGTCGGCTAATTCAACCCTTGACAACCAACACAAACATAGATAAACCTTCAGAGTCATCACGCTCCACCGCGTGTGAAAATTCCAGCGTCACTGAAATTGATTCCGTTCTTTCCAGGTACTAATGGTTGTTACTGCAGTACTGAACTAGCATGCCGCCTTGAATTTTGTCTTCATCAGCACTAGTGTAGCTCAATGCTCAACCTGCCTTATACACATCTGCAACTGATCGTGACCCTAGAAGTCTAGTTCTGACGTGAGCTGTTCTTGAGCATTGTCTCTTATGGGATAGTCGAATGTGCCAACGATCACACATCTTGAACAGGTAGAAGTGTAACGTATACACTCACGGATAACTTTTTCTGTGATACGAAATGCCACTGGTCAGCGTGCCAGTATGTAGGCCGTTATCGAAGCGCTATCATCCTACATGAGATGTTCGATGCTGACGCTCGTGTAGAGCAATCTGCAGCGGTGGCCGGTCGCGAGTTTGGTGCATCACTAGCTGGTCGTCATATTTCTTTTCGATGTGAGCAGGTAGAAATGCGCTCAACAAAAGAGCCCCTGGTCACAGCCGTTCGTATGCTGGCCCAATGCTATGAGCAACTTCGGTCTCCTTGGGCTCACCGAACCTCTGCGAAAATGCGACAGTGCAGGAGGCCGACTACGCCGTCGTCAGCTTCACTGAGATCTAGTAGCTGTTGGCGAGTTGCATGAACGACGACGTCCGGACTGGGCTTGAGAGGTAAAAACTTTTGAATGTTGCTTCTTCAACGTCATCCTTGGAGAATGTTCTTCCACGTGGGTTCCAGACTGGAGCGATGTTTGATGTTCCAAGCGCGTCGTGAACATCGAGGTACGATCGACCCGCCCGCATGTTGATCCGCGACCCACAACCCGCGACACAGTTGTGGAGGCTCGTACGACATATGATGCTCGTTGCAAGTTTATGAAGTTCCAGACTGTTCAGTTGCGCACTCGTTGCAAGACGAGCAGTGGCCTAAAGCGCTCTACCAACGGGTATAGGCAATAGCGCTGCCGGGTGCTCCGGCAAGGCTGAGTTCGGACGAACTACTCTGACTTTGAACTGTCGGAGTGTTTTAGGTTTGGAGTTTCGGTGCTTAGAAAGAATCGAAGGAGCTTGCGGGAACAAGTCAGGATGAGTGAGCCGCAACAAAGCCTCAAACTCAAGTTTGCGTTGCGAAGACCGCTGCGGTGGGACCAGGTACGTGTACACACACATTTGATCAGCGATAAGATCGTAAGTTGTCGAGAGACGAGCACAGATCTCAATCTCGCTTGTCTACCGTCGTTGGATGATTCAGGCAGCAGTGTGAAAGTCAGATTGGTTCCTTATTGGCTGCATGCGTGTGTAAGCCAGGAAGGCAATGCACGTAATCGCGACTTGCTGAGACGCGTCAGATATAGCGCAGTCTAATCGACACCTGCGGCTTGTTTCGAGCGGCCGTCGGGCGGCTCTTAGGCGGCTTCATGAGTCTTGGGCGCTTGTGAAAGCCTGAGGCACGGTCATGGTGGTTCCACAGAAGCCTAGGTAAGGCTGTTTGATTAACAAACAACGGTCGCTTGTTTCCTAGTGTTGACCTTGCAATCGTGCCATCGGCATCCTGAATATGTGGAGACCGAATAGTTGCTGCAGGTTGATGTGATTTTTAGGTACTGGTGGAGGTAGTGTTGCGCCAAATTGGTCTTGAAGCCGGGCAAAATTCACCGCTGAGCCTCCATGATACGCCTTGGAAACCGGAATATGCGGATGCATTGTTTGTCAGGGTCTGTAGAGCGCAGCAGCTTCGGCGCCAACGGTGATAAATTGGTGGTGAGCGAAAGAGAATTCGGCCGGGCGAGGTGCATGCGTGCACGTTCAGACCCTGGAAAGCCTTGATGGGTGCTCGGGCCAACGAGGCACCTCTGCCTCGAAGGCCTTGGTCTCGACAAGAACCCCTTCATTTCAGACTTTTCGACCACATAGAGTAGATAAGAGACCGAGACCCTCGACAAGTTCAAGCAATCATCAGCTTGCAGCATCAACAATAACTGGCATATTTCTCCTGGTTATATACGCTCGTCATTCTTCTGCCCAGTTCTTGTCATTCATTGAGGTTACGACGCTACTGCGCATTGATTGGCTAAGCGATCCACATTGCATACGCCCGAGGCACGCCAACACCAATTGCGCTATCTATTAAGGTTGTTTTGCCGGCCAAGCGACGTGAGCACCCACGGCACCCTTGGAGTCCCGCAGGCTACATCATCGAACATCTGGTATCACTCTGCCTGGGCACATATATTCTACCGTCCCCCTTTCAAGATCTATATCGGTCCCAAAAACACGACTACCATCAACCAAGACAAACATCATACAAGACTATTACCACTCCAAGCTACAACTACCACATCTCAACATATCAACCCATCAATCCATCAACCACAATGTTCTCCTGCGCCAACTACGAACGTGGATGCCGAGGACGCTGCAACGCAAATGGCAGCCGATGTGAAGACTGCATTGCTCTCAACCTTCAAGCTCGCTCGAGCAGCACATCCTCAACTTCATCAACCAATTCGAGACCAATGGCTTCGTATTCAGCGATGACGTCATCCTTTGCATCGCTCAAACACCTCAACTCCGCTACAACAAGGGCATCGTAGTCATGGAGACAATCAACTTATAACGACTTGTATGAACGACCTTTTTGAACCTTAGCGAAAGTGTCATTGAACACTACCATCTTCTACTGGACCAACTTCGATCCATCATTAGGGCAGCATCTGGGTTTGCATTTACACGGCGCAACTTACTCCTGGTGGGCTGCATGATATACCACTTTGTTCAAATAGACAGAACTTGCGCAGGCGCGGAGTATGAAGATCATGAGATATCGAAGAGCACACATGATGCCACGATGTACAGAGACACTACGATCCGCGGAGGATCACGAGAAGATCTACGTATAAACCACATTCAATCGATACATCTTCGTACCACTATCATGCAGACATCCTTCCTCTTCGTGACTGTATTCTCAAGCTCACCTTATCGCAAAATTATGTGGGCTGTAAATATTGCGTCGCAGATTTGCATGTGCATCGGCCACGTGAAACCGGCACATGTGTTTGGCATGCTGTCCCTCTCCTCGGAATGCAGCCCCACAGGCGTATGAACCTGTCACACAAGTCTTGCAAATAATCCTTACCAATCCGTTTATTTCAACTTCATCTCTGAAACGTCAATTGTACTCCAGTTACCTTGCATGACGCTCTTGACGGTCAGGATCGCGATTCATGGAAAATCATTCACCACCCACACATACCCACATCACCCCATCCCTCATCTTGTCCCCCAACCTCTCCCTACGCGCGTCCTGCGCGTCCCCAAAATGCCAGACCGCAAATCCGCAAATCCTTTCCCCATCCTCCTCTCTCCCCACAAGGAGAAATGAAACTTCCACTTCGACCACAAGGCCCAAAAGCAGAGGTGGGTCAGACAGCAATTTATTCGCTTCGAGACCAGCAACGACCCCAGGGTCTGGAAGGGCCTCTGGATCGATCATGGCATTTGCGGTGGATCGGGAAACAGAAACTTGCCAAAAACATGGTAAAAACTGGGCACCTCGTTGGTGCCCCGTGAGCTATGACGTTGTGGCGCGCAGAGGGCCGAGAATCCGGGCTTGAGAACTCCAAGATGTGAAGCGAGAGGTGGGGCAAGTATCGTGAAGACGCACGCAATGTTGCAATATGAATGGCGGCCGGGGCGAGGTAAGTTTGATGAAGTTCTTACTTCATGATGCAGATGCGCTGGTGGTTGTTGCCCCATTCCCACGGGAGGGCGGCATCTTGCATGTGCTTACGGCAACTTTCACCAACAGATTTGGATTTATCTTTCATCCTTAGCGAATTGCATGCGCGTACTGTTTGGATGAAATCAGACCGACAGCGGGCAGCGGCCTTACTTCTTCAAACGTCGCGGTGTGCGTTGTTCTAAATCCGGTCTTAAAAGGAAGTCGCATGTCAAAAGCAGGATACGACCCTGGCATCAGCCCAACCTCAGGCACACCCGATGCAGCCTTGAATCACCCTGCATATGGCTTCGGCAGGTACTCACACGAGTGCAGCAATGCTCTTTGTGTGATACCAAACCTATCTTGAGTTTATGCTTTTGTATGAATGTCATGTCGATCAGTGCACTCAGAATAGTCCAATGTACTCGACGTGATCCTTCACAGACTAATTCATGCCCGACGCAAGCAGCAATGCCGGCTGCACAGATACCCAAACTTGGAGACCCGGGTGCTATTTACAATTATTGCGATATACAGCAACTTTGAGCATAGGCACCCAAGGGCAGAAAAGCTCTCTATCAGCTACGTGCATCGAGACCTTCACAAAGACAAGCTTCCCGCACGTTGAAGGTTTTCGACTAATCTTAGCGGTCCCGCTTCGAAGATGCAGGGCAAAGGGCATGGCTTCGCGACGTCATGCCGCGTTGTTCAGGGCTTCACTGATAGAGGATACCTCGGGTTGCTACTCGCGGACAGCATGATCAATATTCAACGCGCATAGCGCAGCTCACTCACCGAGGGGGTTGAACGTCGAGTCCGACCGGTGTCCATTTTTTCCTGATTCTGCGTGATATTCACATGATGATAGAATACATGGAATTGTTGCTCTTCCATTGCAATGTTTGTTTGACTCCAATCAGGTATCCAGGACGTATAGCCGGGATAGCGGTCATGTGGATGTCGAGCTGCTTGCAAGAACCTGAGTCCGTACGATTGCAATAGATGCAGGCTAGTGTCGGTATATACCCTTTCGGTGGTTTGACCGTAACTGAGGGTTTGAGCAGAAGTGGCCTCTTGTCTTCCAGAGAACATTGGAAGTATAGCGAACAACTTGTCTCTAGGGTCGGTAGCTTTCGAAGGCCGTGTTCTGTAGAGAACATCAAAGAGGCAAAGTGAAGAGAAGCTGTCCCCGACTCTGACGACGAGCGGCCGATAATAATCCTCAACCTCCTCGCATAAGGCGGCGAAGAAACACTAGTCCACCATCTCAGACCCACACACAGCCGAAGTTCAGTCATCTTCATACTGGCCATGGAAGACTTCCTGAAGTACCCAAACGCGGCTGAACCGATCGCGTTTTAAAATCACACTAACCGCAGAGGCGACCTTTTCTGAAAACCGAAGGAATCGAACAATCTGTGTGCGAGATAGTCTTTACGATATCTATTTATGAAACCCCAGACGACTTTGCTGGCCTCATCTGCCTCGTCAAGAGAGACGATGACTGCTTTCGCCAGTCGATAAATTTCACCCATACGCCGGACTTGGCTAATTTTCTCTTCATTGTTTTTCTGATCAAGGCAGACAGCGTCTATCCACATCAATCTTAACTTCTTCTTGTACCGTAACCGTTGTAGTGCGGCGAAGCAATTCTGAGTGACATGGATCTTGCACGATGATGCACCATCTGATAGTTCTAGCTCCACTCGGATCACCCCAAACGTACGACAGCGCTTCGAACTTTGGGGGGTTCTTGTTTGTTCTGCGATAGTGGATGATATTGCAATGTATGTCTTCTGAGTTAAAACGTCCAGGCGCAATGCGCACAAGGCGGATGTCATCCTCGCGGCGTAGAGGTCGGTAGCGGTAGACGTTCTCGGTGTCGACAGGTACGGTCATATTGATGTGCTGCAGCGGTTGCAGCTGGACTCTTTATCAGCGTTCACGCGAGCATGTCGAGGGACATTGTTGTGCAGTGGGTGCACAAACTTCACAGCTTGAGGGAGCGAGGCATGCAAGCGCCGAAAGAAGTCAGCCTCATTGTGGTGGCGCGGGGCGGGGAAGTGCCATATGTGTGCCAAGAAGAATGGGGCGGCCCTTCCTCAACCCTCGCGCGTGCTTCACTCACATCATCAAATTAACATCAATACTAGCAGATCACCTTCGCTACACCGCAAGATGCATCCGATACTATATGCCATCCTAGGCATTGTCATCATCCTTGTGCTGGGTCCCGTAAGTTCGCCCAATCTCAATTTCGCTCTCCTACTGTTGTTTGTGAATTGCGCAGCGCAATACAAGATATCTGTCGCATTCCCATCAGCTTCTCTCATTTCGTGCCCTCGTAATGCTATTGCCTGAGCCACACTAACAACACTAGGTCGTGTTCGCAGACAGGTCACCGATCGTGGAAACGTCCGGCAAAGTCTCTAAGATCAGCGCCTCAGCCGAGCTCCGGAAAGCCTTATCAACAACAAAATACGTAGTCGTCGACTTCTACGCAGACTGGTGTCCGCCCTGCCGTGCCATTGCACCAATCTTCTCTAAACTCGCCGATGACCACGCTGTATCTGGGCAACTCGGATTCGCCAAAGTCAATGTTGATCACGTCAAGGATGTCGCAAAGCAGTACGGGATCACGGCTATGCCTACGTTCCTGTTTTTTGAGGATGGGAAACCGATGCAGGTGAAGGTGGAGAGGAAGGGTGCGGAGGAGGGTATTGAGATGGTGAGGGGTGCGGATGTGGTGTTGTTAAGGAGTGTGGTGCAGGAGTTGGCGAAGAAGGTGCAGAGTTCGTGAGATTGTGAGAAGGTTCCCAAGTCAAACTAGTGAAATGTATGGCCAGATTTCTGCGGAGTCTGTCAATCCGCTGATCCTCGAGGGGTTGAACATTCACCCAGAACCCTGAAAAGTTGATGCATATCTTGTAGCTTGATTTCAAAGGAGCAAAAATCAATCTGCTCATATATTTTGCAAAAAGGGTTCATGTCACCGCTTTAGAAAATGCTGCACGCATCTCACGTTAGCCGCGCGGATCTTCCCCAATCAGCACTCAAACAGTCCAGCTTGGACGCCTTATTTCAACCTTCTTATAATCCACCACGCCACTGTTCAAGCCCTCACGTTACAACGAAACCTCTCTGACTATCAGCCAGAACCATGACAGAATACGACTTCTCAACCCGCACTGGCTTTCAGCTCGCCATGAAGAACGCGCTCACCACCACTTCTCTGTCCGAAACAAAAGCCTACGCTGAAGCAACAGTAACGCCTACCTTCTACCACATCATCAACGGAAAACGCGTAGAGTACGATGAGTGGTTTGCGAGCCTGGAGAATTGGCGCGGTAAGATCACGGGTTATGATCCTGTCGTGTAAGTCGGACCGCAGACCCATTTTCATGGTCGTGGGGGCCGGTGTAGAGATGCTGGCTAATTTTATGTTAGAGAGGAGTTTCTGAGGGATGGCGATCAGCTTGCGGCGCGCATGACTGGTGTGCTTACACTCGACGGGAATGAGACGTTTTACGAGTGCTTTTTCTTTGCCAAGGTTGACGAGGAAAGTGGGAGGCTTGCGTCGTTGACGGAACGGGCGGTATGGGGCCAGGTGGGAAAGCAGGAGGTGAATGGGAGCACTTGAGTGCCTTTGGGTCGGGCCGGTAAGATTGTGAAAGACTATGGACTAGGTATTCTATGGGGATAGTGAATGATGGAGTAAAGTTGATTGAGTATAATTGCTCCTAGTACTCGGTTGAGCCGTGTTGATATCTTGACCCAGCAGGACAATATTAGATAGGCTTTCAACCCTTACGGCCAATCTAATTGTGCGGCGGTCTAGGAATCTTGATCACTTGACCCCTCGGAGCATTCATCGATCTCGCCTTCCTCGCCGCCTTCTCCACCAGACGTCTCGAAGTTATGAAAGCATCTGGTCAATCGTAGTGTACAACAGAAAGCTGCAGTAGCAATCGTGTGTACACTACCCTACACAAAGGCCCCTACGGTGGCTCTTTGGATATGAAAGCCACTTCAACTTTTCTTACTATCTCTCGTCCGTCAGACTTTGTTGAAATCAGTTGGGCAAGTGAGCCCGAGCGCTACGATGGATATCTAAATTTACCTGCCTCCTTCTGAGGCCGTTTTGCGCCTTGCAGTGAATCAGTGCTGTACACAATCCTAGCCAACAACGGTCCACAGACGATCCTCTCTACCTCGATAGCGAGCATAAGTCATAGGAAGCTAAACCTACTTGATGCGTCTTGTCTCACCACATCTTGCGGATTCTAGCTGAAGACTTCCTGGGCAAGGTAAGCCCGCATGAGGCTCGATGAGGCCTGCTGTTCCTGGCCGATCTAGCTCACTGATCTAGACCGCCCCCTGCAAGCCGTTTATCAATTAGTGCAAGTACTAATCACCGATAGGTGATGCATCGCCCATGATTCCACATTTGGATTTGGATGCGCGAAAGTGCTTAATCTGTGACAGTTTATGGAGTAAAGAGGTCATGTGTGCCATGTGTGTTGGGTACAGTGCTCTTGCTCGTTTCAACAAGCACCTCCTGCTCTTGACTGCACGAGATATACGTCATGTAAACAGATCCTGATGACGGCCGGGTGGGAGACAATCACAGAGTAACACAATATACTGATTTAACTGCTTTGCGCGGTTACACCTTCATTCATTGCAACTACTGCAACATAATCGGTAAGAGTCTGGGAACTGAGTTTCAACGGCGCCTTCATCTCTCAAGAGCCGAGAACCAGTCAGCCCCACAGCCTCACCGAGTTGCAGATGACGTGTAGGAGGTAATGGTATTCTAAGTCTCCATGTAACGTAGATCCTTTGGTGGTATTCGCAGAAGGGCTGCTTGCCAGTATTGATATCCTACACTCTGGTGCGGTAAGACCAGAGAATCACAATCTACTTCTCAGCTCATTGCAAACCTTTGCCTTCCTGCAGCCACTTGATGCCCGATTCCCTCAGCTTGAACTTCTGTATCTTCCCACTTGGCGTCTTTGGGTAGTCTTGCACGAAGAAAACGTACTTCGGCACTAGTTCGGCATTAGCACGCGTTTAGTACGGTGCCCACTCCTAAGCCGAGCAGCCCGATAACTGCGTTTGGAACTTACCAAGGTGATGACTCAACTTCTCCCTAACCCAAGTCCTTACCTCCTCAGCTGTGATATTATCCTCTTCTCCGTCATGCTTGACGACAAAAGCAGCAACAACCTCGCCATACCGCTCATCAGGCAGCCCAGCAACACTAATCTCGCGGATCGCAGGGTGCGCAAAGAGGCAATTCTCAACCTCAAGAGGGTGAATATTCTCACCACCCTTGATAATAAGATCCTTGATCCTTCCCGTAATCCTCACATACCCATCCTCATCCATAGCTGCTTCGTCGCCCGTGTGGATCCACATCACCCCATCGTCGTCGGCAACCATGACTTCAGAGGTCTTCTTCTCGTCGCCCCAGTAGCCCTTCATGAGCAGGTACCCGCTTACGGCGAGTTCACCGCGCTCATCAATGCCGAGGGTGCGCGACCAGTCGCTGGGGTCGACGACTTTGGCTTGTACGTGGGGGAGTAAGCGGCCCACACTGTCGATGCGCTTTTCGATGGGGTCGTCGGTTGTGGTCATGCAACTGACTGGACTTGTCTCTGTCATACCGTAACAGATGGTCAGTTCGGTCAGGTTCAGCTGCTTGTGCAGTTTCCGCATCAGCTCGGCGGGGATAGAGGATCCTGCTGCAATGCCGGTGCGCAGGTGCTCGAAGCCATCACGCGGTACGGCGCCGTGGGCAAGCAAGTCGAGCTCTGCGACGAACATCGTGGGTACGCCGTAGAGGGCTGTTGCTTTGTATTCGCGAACGGCTTCGAGAGTGGCGAGCGGATTGAAGGCTTCGGCGGGCCAGATGATGGAGGATCCGTGGGTCGCGGTTGCCATGTAGCCGAGGATGCAACCAAAGCAGCTAAATTGCACATCAGCCTTGCGCGGACGAGGATGTGGTCGAGATAGTGTTGACAAGCTTACTGGAAGAGAGGAGGCGGACTGCACACGCGGTCGTTCTCAGTCAAGAGCATCCTGTCGCCAATGCTGTTGCCATTGTTCAAGATGCTTCGGTGGCTCAGACAAGCAGCTTTGGGCATGCTGGTCGTGCCTGAGGTGAATTGAATGTTGACGATGTCGTTGGGGTCTAACCCTTGGTCCTCCAGGGCGCTGCCTTGCCCGCCGTCTTCCAGCACATGCTCGAATCTTGTGGTACTTTTATATACTGCACAATCGATTCTCCCCTGTGCATTGTCCACCATAATGACATTTCGCAGGGACGGGACAAGTTCGGACTCGAGGTTTGACCCAGTCAGACTCGGCACAAGATGCGTAAGGAGCGGAATGTTAGACCGTGGGTGTTTGCGGGGGAGATTTGTTTCGGCGCCGATGAGGAGGTGGGCAGCTTCAAGGTGGTTGAGCGCGGAGAGGACTTGAGGCGCATTGAAGGCGGGGTTCAACGGCACCAGTATCGCGCCCAGCTTGAAGAGCGCATAGGTAGTCTATATACAACCGTCAACATTGTGACATGTGTGCTTTAAGACGTTGGCATACGGTAGCGAATTCGACATTGTTGCCCAATGACACAGCAACCCTGTCTCCCTTCTTCACCCCTCGTTTCTGCAACCCTCTGGCGAGTGCATTGGAGTCGCGGTCAAGCGCGTCATATGTGAGAATTGTGCGTTGGTGGTGCGAGATAACACTGTTGGCAATCGATAAGCCGGCACCTTTCTTCAGGCTACATGATGACTACTCACGCGTTCCGGTCGCCGAATTGCCTCACCACACCCGCAAAGTGCTCTGGCACCGTTTGTTCGAGGAGCGGAGGCTGCTGTTGTCAGTTGCTGTCGTCGCTCTCAGCTTTCGGGGTCTGAGCTCCAGCGTACCTCGGTTGGCCCCGCGCGGAACGCTTTGGTCAGAATACCTCGACGCGTACCATGTAATGGCGAGCATAGCCTCGAGCAGCGAGCAACCACCCTCTCAAGCATCTTCACGCAGCAGAGACATCGGTGCAAAAAGGAGATAGCCAAGCATGTTGTATTATAGGATTGAGGCTGGAGTTAGTGTCTTATTGTCGGAACGAAGCCGCGAGGTGGGTTAGTTTATGCGGGGTAGCTCCAGTTGTCAGGGCGAGGCTAGAGGCGGCTGAAGCATCCAAGTGCGGAGTTTGACCAAAGAGGCAGCAAATGTGAGAACGACCAAAGAAGGCAGCACAGGTGAGAATAAATGTTGGTAGATCCTTGTCGATTCTAGCCGCTCTCCCGCTGCAGTCATACAAAGCGAAGAGCCCAAACGCCAAACTTCAACTGTTCGTACATCAAGCTTTGTCGCTTTCAAACTCCAGCACTCGTCTACTAGCGTCACTTGCTCTACGATCCTTCGTGCTTCTGGTCTCCTTGTCTGTACCTGGCGACAGTAAGTCGGTGAGGTTTTCTTCCTTGATCGAAGCGACATCGGCTGTCTCTGCGCCCTCAAGCAGATCTGCATCTTTCTCTTCCTCGTGATCATCGTCGTCATCCCTTGCATGCTGAGATTGCGCATCCAGCTCTTTCTGAGCTTCGTCGTACCTGCGTCTGACTTCTGCTGCGACACGCATGCCGTCGTTGACGATGTTGTCGAGCATGCCTCGGATGCTCTTGCCTGGTGGAACTACGCCGACACCTGCGCCGCCGACTACGCCCATGCCTCCTGTTAGACCAGACATTTGTCGGCCGGCATTCGCGAACGTGGTAAGATTGGATGAGGTTGATGCTGATGACGACAAGGGTTCGTCAGCGAGGCGGAAGGAAGACGAGAAACCGACTTCGAAGAATTGCTCCAAAACCTCGTCTGCAAGAATGACCATGCGGAAGGTGGGCAGCGTGATGTGGAGAGGCTTGTTGGGGTCCAGTGCAAGGTTGGCTGCCTTGGCCTTCTCGTGTCGCTTCCCTGTCTCAGACTCGATCGTGTGTGTTGATTGTGTTGGCGACAGCGGGTCGGTATCAGATTTAGTAGGCGACAACGGACTTTTCTCTGGCTTGTCAGCTTTTGGTGTTGTAGGCTCGTCACCGAAGTCGATCAGGTCGTCCTCATCTTCATCGCCGATGGCGAAGTTGTCTAGGTCCTCCTCTGCCTCGTCTACAGCAGCGCTGTTCTGATTGGAAGCGTGGTCTGGATCAGCGTACTCGAAGCACCGCCGGATGAAGGCGGAGACGCTGCTGAGGAACTGCTCGTCGCGTGACATTGTTGGTTCAGAGCCAACGTCGAGCGATGATGCTGAAGGGTTAACAGACTCGTGAAGGCCTCTCCTTGACAGGAACAAAAGAGCTTCTGATATCCTCAATATACCTTCACGATCCACCCTGCCGTCGCCATCATCATCGTAAAGCTCAAAGAAGTAGCTGATGTTCGACATGATGTCTTTGGTTCCCTTGACGGCGGCAAAGCCAGCCACGACGTTTTGCAAGGAGAGCGAGTCTGTCATATCTGTGTCCCAGCGCCGGAAAAGACGTTTCAGAAACTCGTGGTCTGCAGGCTCTGGTCCTGAGCCCCATGGTGATACAGGTGGTCGACTTCTCAGGCTACCACCGAAGTATGAGTGGGTCTGGGCGGGGGTCGCTTCCTTGGGTGAAGTTGGCGAGTCGGTAACAGCCCATTTTGCAATACCTGTCGTTTATTAGCATTAATGTTGGACTTTGTGCGAGAGGACTCACCAGCAAGGAATTCCCTGAACGCATCGTAATCCATCTGTGTTGGACTTACGCCCAGGGCCACACGTCCCTTTTCGGCATTACTACTGCTTGCGAATCCACTGATAATCTCAGTAGCTTTTGCTCGGCTGGCTTTCGCCTTGCGCTCCGCTTCTTGTTGCATGATCTCGGCTCGTTGCTGTCGCTCGTATAAGACAGCGTAAAATCTGTCATACAAGAAGCCCAGGTCGGTCACGCTCAACCTCTTGCTTTCTGGACCAAGGTTTCGGATAGATGTGCGCTTAGCAAAATTCTCGATGTTTTCCAGAACGGCATCTTTGTGCTTCGCCCGTTGCTCTGAGATGGTGTTCTGGGTGATACCGGCAAACTCCTTGAAAGCCACCACCATCAGCTCTTGGAACCGGGTAACAGCTCGTAGCTTGGGGTTTTCGGACTTGGGGTGGGCAGACTCGTCAAGCCTTGAAAAGTATGACTTTAACACCGAAATGAAGGATCCGTCGTCTGCAGCATCCAGCAGCTGCTCGCCATTGATGCGTAGAATGGCCAGACCGATCTGGAAAAGCACTTTCGGCCCCTCCAAGAAGAAAACATCCAAGACTCGGAAGGCGAAGATCAGGGGCATCGAGTTGATGTACAGCGAAAGGAACCAGGGCAGGGAGACCACGGAAAGCTGGACATCAGACTTGACAAGGTGATCCCAGAGAATGGGCATAGTCTTCTCGACCAGAGATTCAAAGACCTTCTGGTCCAGCAATGTCCCATACATGGTCTGCGAGTAGTATCCAGGTAGGAGGCGGTCACATAGAACAGAGAGCAAGAAGAAAGCCTGGGGCTCAGACACGTAACTTGCGCTGTCAGAGGCAGAAAAGTAATAGCGGGACAATATACGTACATCAGTAACGCTGCGACGACGATGTTCATCGCCTGACAGTACCCAACCTCCTCGTTTGTCCAGCTGTATGCCGTCAAGACTCTCCGCAGCCGGCCAATGCCCGCCTCATCCTGAAAACCTGGATATTCCGGCAGACTTCGATTTAGGTCTTTCTCGATCTCGTCTATTGCCAGCGATTCTCGCCCCGAAAACTTCGCTAGTGTGTCTGTGTAGAGGTTGGGATTCTGTAGACGCAGGAAGAAGGAGCCGGAGGTGAGTTCCCATATCTCTCCTCGTAATCGATTGGGCAGACCGACACGGATGAGCTTGTGGAAAGTGGGTTGGCGAATGAGTGTGGCGCCTCGGCCATTTTCTGTCCAATGTCAGCCTTGCGCGCATGAGCCGTTCGTCTATACGTACCCCGCAGGTACTCGCGCCACAACCGTATCTTGGTCGCGTCCCTCAGCTTCCGCGCATTGCCAGGGTACTTGAAGGTCAATCCAAGACCTGTATCTGGGTGCTCTCTCCCTTGCTTGGCGTCGCCACCAGTTGACTTTTTCTCCTCGTCGGTGGTGAGCAGGTACTCTGAGTAGCTGGTCACAGCCACCTTTCGTAATGTATCCACCCCCTTGACACCTTCCCTCAGCCCCTTCTTCAGCCCATCGCAGAAGCGCTCGCAGGCCTGCCGCGACCCAGCCAGCTGGATGGTGAGCTTCTGACCGGCAGGCGTCTTCGTCTGCGAATCTGGAATGCCATTCCATGTGGTGATGGCGAGCGCGAACATGTAGCTCTGGCTGTGCAGTCGCTCGACCCTCCTGATGGCGCACAGCGGTAGTGTGAAGCCATTGCCAGCCGGCCCAGCGCCGTGTGTCTGCCCTGTGAAGCTGCTGGAGGAGCTCGAGCTAGCGGTGTTGACAAAGCTGGACCCTTGTGTGGAGAAGCAGAGGTACTGCTCGCTTAAGTGCAGCTTGCCCACATAGTGGTTGCCCTGTCCGCGCTCCCCTTCTGTCGCAGGTTCGCCCGTGCCCCTCGTCGAATGGTGGGGCTGGAGGGTGAGCTCGGCGGTGATCTCTTGCAGGGGATTTTGCGAGTCGGGCAGCCGGAATTGATAGCGGAAGAGGGTCGCCTTGGACGGTCGGCGGTCGGCTGAAGCAGGGGCAGCTATGTTGCTGAGGGTGGGCTCAATAAACTGCTGGGCCTTCTGCACCAGATTCCCAAGAGTGAACATGGCGGATGAGTAAGCGCGGTGAGTCGAGCGAGCGTGGGCTATGTAGCAGGAACGATGTATGTGTGCCTCATTGCGCGCAGCAGAGGTGCATTCTTCGCAGTATCAGCTCTCGACGTCGTGTTCTTGGCCGGGCTGAGAGCTGCGGTGTCTCATCAAGGGTCACATTGCAGGCAAGCCGCTCGGGCCGTTAGCGGGCTCCACTCCTTACTAAGTATCCGTCGTAGCATTGAGGCTCGAATCATACATGTGGGTTGTATCAATTAAACACTATCGCCATCGCCGTTCCCTGTCCTGTCTGGTCATACAACAACTTTTGGTGTTACACCACCTCACTAAGTGCACGTGTAGGCTCCGTCCACGCGCAGATCTGCGCCGTTCACGTACAGACTGGCGTCGCTGGACAGGAACGTGACAGCTCCCATGAGGTCCTCAGGGCGACCCATCCTACCCATAGGAATGAGGGAAGTCCACTGCTTCCGGAGCGCTGGGTTGTCATCGAGGATCTTCTTGGTGCTGCCAGGTGGGTCAGTTAATATTCTAGAGGCAAGATCTCATGTACTCACAGAGCTGTGAGCATGTAGCCGGGCGAAATGCAGTTGACACGAATGCCGTAATGCGACCACTCAACAGCCAAACTGGCAGCCAAGTGCCTGACAGCAGCCTTCGCTGCGTTGTATGGCGCCTGGGGTTGCGGGACGTTGACGATGGAACCAGACATGCTGCCAATCATGACCACACTGCCAGGCGCCTTGCGCTCTATTAGGTGCTTCGCAACAGCGACTGCGTACAGGTAGGTGCCGTCAACGTTGACACCCCAGAGCTTCTGGATGCGGTCATGAGGGTATGAGATCGCATCGTAGTTCTCGGTGAATCCGGCCGAGGTGACGAGGTTGTCGACCTTGCCGTGGGCTTTGACAATCTCAGCGAACGACTCGTTCACAGAGTCTGGGCTCGAGACATCGCAGTAATGCGCGGTAACCTTGGGCAGCCTTGAATGATGGGATTAGCGGACACAGTGGATTTGATTCGTTTGACGTACTTGGTGTAGCCAGACTCGTTCTCCTGCTTGAACAGGTCAATGAGCCCCTCAGCTGACCTCTGAGCCTCCTCCTTGTTCATGTCGACGATGGCAACGTCGGCGCCGGAGGTGACCAACGCTTGAGCCATGACCAGGCCGAGTCCCCGAGCTCCTCCTGTGACAATCGCAGTCTTGCCCTCCATAGAGAACGCAGCGAGTGTGCGCTTAAAATGGAAGCCCCCACGGCCCTGCACTGGCTGCGAAGGAGGGAGGTCCTTCCCCTCGGGGTACTCCACCACGATGTCTTCTCTCGTACGGGCAAACTGGCCCTCATGCTCTCCGCTCTCTCCAGGGGCAGTTGATGAAGACCCAGCATCATGGTCTTCCTCAATGCTCTTGTCGAAGCGGCTCACGGAGCTTGTGAAAGGTCGAACAGAGGAGGCAGCCGGGCGGAATGTAGCTCGTGGAGCTTGCACTCTGGCTGCACGGGCAACCTGGCGGCCAATCTGTGCTTTGAACATGTTTGCAAAGAAGATGAAAGTTCGATTAAAGCTCCAAGTGGCGTTCTCAGGGGCAGGCGCCTGCTTTTAGAGATATGCAGCTTGCGCTTAGGTATCGTCACTCGCGACAAAGCTTCTAGATTCCGTCCGTGTATGCACCTCGAGACGATCGGCTCGCCAAAGTCAGGCGGGCAGGAAGAATTGAAATAGCCATTAAAATGCAGCCTGATTGACGAGGCTACAGTCAGGATTTCACGGGTTAATTGCCTCGAAGAAACTGTTCTTGAGCTCTTGACAGCTTCGACTTTGGAGCTCCAAGCTCCCCACCATTCGTTTGGTGAGCACCATGACGTAGGCGGAGCGATAACCGATGCAGGGAAGGGACCAACGATCTTCTCACAACACTCCCTTATCCCCAACAAAGTACCCTCTTTTCTTCGCACAAACTCAGTCTCCACCTCCAAGACCCTTGTGAGACCCTTCTTGCTCGGCCTTTTCGCCGCGAGGGCCGATTGTGGGGGAAACTCAACACCGTGACGCATCCCACGATCTCCGTGCTTTTCGGCGATACGGCGAACTGCAGGTACACGCAAGCATAAGCAGTCAAAACATTTCACCGGCACGCTTAACCGGGTGAACCCTGACGCTGCCTTCCGTCAATCTCGAGTATGCTCTAGTATTTTCTTTTGTATTCAACCCACGTCGAGCTTTCTACCCACTGCCATCCTCAATCCCTGTCGTTGGGCGGACCGCATTGCGCCCGAAGGAGCTTTAGCAATGCTGACCAACGCGTGTCCAGCGCCTGCGGTGTGCCTTATAGCTCACGATGTTTGAGTTGTACCTCCTGACGTTCAACTGTGCACGCACACTGGCTGATCCTCAGTCACTCGCGCCTTCCTTCTTTGACGCGCTACCCAAAGGAGCTCCAGTACCAGATCTCGTCGCTATATCCTTACAAGAGGTCGCACCTATCGCCTACTCGTTCCTTGGTGGATCGTATCTGAAGCCCTACTTCGACCGCGTCACCACCACCGTCCAGCTTGCAGCAGATCTGCACAGCCATGGCAGCCAACGCCTCGAGCATGTTGCAACCCGCAGCCTGGGCATGACAGCTCTTATGATATTTGCAAAGCCAAGTTTCACCCAGCGAATACAATGGATACAGTCAGCAGGAGCAGGAGTTGGCTTCTCGAACACGGGCAACAAGGGCGCAGTCGCTATGCGCGTTGGCGTGTCTTGCCCAACATCGGCCTCAGAGGAGACGCTGAACCTCAGCTTCGCTGCTGCTCATCTTGCACCGTCAGAGAAGAATGTGGGGGCTAGGAATAAGGACTGGGAGAACCTCGTGCGCAACCTGGTTTTCGTCAACCACGACGATTCCGCATACAGCTCAAGCGAGGAACGGCCGTTACTTGGCTTGAGCAAAGCCCCAAGCGAACACAACGGTCTTTTCGCCACCGGAAGTCATGTGTTTTTCTTTGGCGACCTAAATTACCGGACCCACGATTCCTTGCCAGACGACAAGGCTCACGAATCATTCCCATCGATGACAGCAGCCGAAGGATCATCGAAGCACTACTCTCAGCTGCTCAGTCGTGATCAGCTCACAAGAGAGAAGGAAGCTAATCGCACCCTTCACGGTCTCGAAGAATTACCCATCACCTTCCCTCCGACCTACAAGTACTCGACGTCACGCAGCAGCGACGAAGAATGGCAATGGGCCAAACACCGCTACCCCTCGTGGTGTGACCGCATTTTGTACCTGCCTTCGCATACATCGAAACTCGAACCTCAGATCTACACAGTTCTTCCAGTGCAATCAACATCAGACCACCGACCGGTTGCTCTCTCCGTACGGGTCGAGGACACGCCAATACCAGCACACGGCAATCGAGTCGAAGCGCCTTTCTCTATTAATCCAGCGTGGAAAGCCAGACAAGATGCCGCTCGACGATGGGAAGTTATGGTGGGCGCATCATCCTACCTTGCCTTGACAAGGAAGGGTAACGCGATGCTAATTGCGTTCATTGGTGTGTTGTTGGGCAGCTGGTGGATAGTAGCCTGGCTCTGCAGGTAAGCCTTGCTAAGCAAAGAACATCAATAGCATTATTTCGAGGCCCACACCTGCACGCGTCGTTCTTCCTTTCTTTGATTTCTTCGCAGATATTCGCGCGATGCAGTTTTGACGTTGTGGATCACCCGGAGTGCACATTTAGTAATGGTTTCAGTCTCCTTGGGGCCAACATGTGCAGCCCCCAAAGGGTTACGAGGATGTCGTACTGACCAACATGTCGGGGACCCACACATCAGTTCGACTGTAAGCATCCTTGCAAGTCGGTTTACGTCCCATCGGACAGTTGAAAAGGCGCAGGAGCACCCGGTGACGTTTTACTGGGCGTTATGCCTCGCTGTCGAATCAAGGCTGCAGGTTTCGAGGCGCGTTTACGTTAAGCGATATTACACATGCAAGGTTGAAAAATCTGAACAGGACAGGGAGGTTAAGATTTCCCTTTCAACGTGCCTGTCGCCTGAAGAGCTTTGCCATCAGCCTTGCAGGGGCCTACGCGCTGAAGTATACAGTATGGGGAAACCTCTCCGATTCCTTATGGACTTACGACCATCTCTTCTTTCCGTCTATGTCAGTGCCGACCTCTGAGGCATCGAACTCCACCGGCCAGGAAAGCATCACCGTCTCATTGCTGGCGCGGAGGGCGGTGCTCGATTGTGCAGCAACTGAACCTTCAAAGAATACGGCCCTCGTCCAGAACACAACATGGGATGGTAAAAGATCACAAGAGACTTCGACCAAGATCTACACTGAAGTCGTCGATACATGTGCGGGAAAACCCGATAAGGTCTTGCCATTTTCCTTCTACAGATGGAACGGCATCACCTCATACGGTGCTGACCATCGACAATCGAGTCCGCCACGCACCGACGAGGCTTCAATGCGCTACGTAAGAGGTACTCAACAGTACCCGGTCGTCGATTATCTACAAAACATTGGTATCTTCTCCACCAACGATACCTTCAAGGCCGAAGCCGCCAAACTGGGGACCTTCTTCTTGGCTGTCATCCCGAGGAAAGATGGCGTACCTGCAGAACAACTCGTTGGCGAAGCCAACATCTCCCGCCTCACTAGCGCAGTGAGTAAGATGTATGGCCGCTACATTTCACAAGTCATGTCGCGCAAGATGCGCGTCCCACTAAACTCAATCGATCAAGCACAGCCACTGCAAGTGACATTGACAGAGCGCAAGTCCCGCCTCGCCCAACACTCAGCGCCAGAAGTCGCACTACAAGTGCTTTTAGGCACCATGATGCTTTGCGGCATATTGAGCTGGATCCTGATGCCAAACGTTCGCATCTTGCCACATGACCCTTGCTCGATTGCTGGGATGGTGTGCTTGCTTGCTGGAAAAGGGATTTAGGGAAATGGGAAAAAGGAGTGGGAGGAGGGCCAGGTGTTTCGGCTTGAGACCAGGGATGGGAGAGTTGGGATTTATGCTGTGGGTGCCGAGAGTCGACGGATTGTTGATTAGTTCATCGGTTTACTTGATCAATGTAATCTCTCCACAATTTCGGGACGTCTTTCCAAGTAAATGGTAGATTCAACCCAATAAGAAGATTGTGGTTGTGTTTGTAACCGCAAAAACATCACTACATACGTTCGAACACCTATGAATTATTACGAGTATTCAGCATAAAAGCAAGAAACACTCCGATCTGTGACTATGCACAACTCGTATCCAAATACAAGATTTGGATTGTTCATTAAGCAGTCTCCAGTGGACAATCAGCCCCAGAAACATTTAGAAAGCCTCAAATTCTGCCTAAGTGGCCACCAAGAGTCACAATTCCAGCTCAGGCTCTATCGGGCTCCCTCAATACAGGCTTGATCCACTGCATCAACAGAACATCAACGATGTCCACTTCATCTTCTTCCCCAGCCATATCTACATCTGAGATGCTTTCTGCCACGCTACCTTGATGCTTTCGAGCGAAGCCGTCTACACAGTGAGTCGGTGAAAATATAGGGTTGTCGTCCGAGCGGGGCTCAAACTCAATCTTCATCTTTCCTGCGTATCCAGCGCCTCTTTGATGCCCCTCTGTTCCAGCTTTCGTATGCCTTATCGTCCTGACGCTTGTGTCGCCGGGCAAGGAAGATGCTGGACCGCGCAGGGTAGCACCGACGAGCGCAGATGATGTTAAGTCGCGCACCTCAGACGGGGAAGCTCGAGGCTGTAAGACAGGCGGCGTCGCAGAGCCGATATGCCCCTTGGTTGTTTCAGATCCTGGAGAAGTCTCATGCTCACTCGACAGGTCATCCAGTCTTGTAGGATGATGATGTCTCATCCCAACCCACTCCTCCCCGTACCCATCTCCACTATAGTCGAAATCGGTTCGAGCACCTGATGTACAAGGCGCTTCCTGAAAAGGGAGCGGCCTATCTTCAATCTGATCAAAGTAACCATCGCCTCCACCCAGCGGACCCTGTATGATCGAAGGGTTTGTCGAGGTATCAGACTCATTATCCTGGCCGTACCCAATTTCGGGCAGCATATCATCGTGGACAGGGAAAGCGCCATGGTGCATTTCCGGCTGCTTGTCAATTGACTGAGCAATGCTCTGCCTGGGCGAGTTATCTGCGGGATGCTGCTGGAACGCCAGTGCCTCAGACCTCTCGTGGAGTGTGCCCCACCGCTCTCCAGAGGGTACTTCAGGCGTGGATGTGCGCTCAGCTGGCGAAAAACTCCGAGACCGAACAACTTCCCGTAAATAAGATCCTGTTGTTCTCAGATCTTGCAATGGATCTTCTATGATCTGCAAACTTTGTTTATCGCTCCCAGTATTACCCATGTCGCCCAGCGGACCATGCTCGGGACGCTTGAAGTACGTGATGCCAGTAGTTCCAGGCATTACACCGGTTCGCCATTCATATCGATAGCTTCCTTCGCTTTGCGTGGGGGAAGTACCTCTTGGTTTACCGGATCTGTATCCTTTGTCCCTCCAGGTACGACGGGGGTTGAAGCTAGAAGGGGTGGTGTTTTCCGGGCCTACATTCAATGGAGACTTGTTACGTAGAGCATTACTTGCAGGCATGGCTTGTGAGGCCGGCGGCCTTCCCTGCGTCGGAGACATGCCTGGTGCTGCAAATCCTCCAATCGGGCCCTGAATTGTCGAGGGGCTTATGGAGATGTCACTCTCACTCAACACGTCGCTAAGTCTGGTAGGATGATGGTGCCTCATCCTGAGCCATTCATCACCGTATCTATCCCCATTGCATTGAGCACGAGCAGTCGCTGTGTCAATCTTTGCTTTCTGTGATCTGCTCTCTGCAGGAGTGACATGTCTGCTCCAGCCTGCAGCAGTAGGTACATGCTTTGCAGCATCAATTGCCGACCGGCGGCGCCGTGCCTGTGCAGCGTCCTCATCTGATTGGCTTGAATGATACGATTCTGTGTCGGAAAGCACGTAAGTTCGGTGTGGAGGAGGACCATAACCTTTGTGAAACGAGGACGTGCCAGAGGAATCTCTGTGAAGATTATCTGTATATTTTGGGCGAGACTCAGTGCTGAAGTTGGAAGACTTGTCAAGGGCAGTGGGCTTGGGTGGGCGCTGAAAGTTCCTTGCGGGGTGGGGCGATATGGACCGAGAATCTTCTCGTTCAATATTAAATTTACGCCCGACCTGATCGCCGTGTCGAACATTGCAGGGCTTCGGTTGAGCCCCTCTGTCCAAACTATTGTCACATAGTGATCGTTTGAAACCTCTTCTTCTGTCATTGGGAGCGGAGGATGTGCAGCGAGTCTCGGAGCAATGCGAGGGTTCAAAGTCGTGAATTGCTCGAAGTCCACTGTGATAGGGAGGGTAACGCCCTGAAGTTCTCGCCTCACTGGCTTGTTCCCTGTATTGTCTTTGTCGGAAATCACGAGTGGGATGAACGGGTTCCGCGCGCTTCAAACTGTCCTCTTCGTTACGCTCCTTGAGAACCTGCCCGCGATGAGATAAGGATTGAAGGCTTGCAGACTCGATGAAAGTCCTTTTTAAAGAATCAATAGCCCCGTGCCGTGTTGTAGGGCCGGTCTGTGAAAGTGAAAATAGTTGTACATCTTCTCTTCGCTCAGGTATTAGTGTTGTTGGCCTCCTGAGGCGCCGAGCTGGAGTCAAAGTCGGGGTACGTGTTGCAATGGGTACATTTACAAGACTGCTTTGTGAGGTTTGAGCGTTCAGACCAGGGGCCTTGTTCGACGGACTTGATTGCCTCCGATTTTGTGAAGTCAGCCTTTCGCCATCGACTACTCCAGGTCGAAAGCCAGGTGAATTTGTAAAGGAAACGTTGGCTTGATCGTCCCCAGATCGACGCGGTCTGGGAGGGCGCCAGTCTGGATGGTAAGTGCGCGTGTGCTCACGTAGGTCCGCCAAATTGTCGAAGTGGCTGGCCAGACATACTCCGCAGTTGATGCGGTCCGGCTTAACTATCAACTTGGGCGGGAAACGATGATTGTTTGCTCGGCTCGGTGGTAGAGGTGCTGTTGGTGAGGAAGTGGAGGTCACAAGGAAGTTTGACTCAATCTTGCGGCAGATTCGTAGATAAGTCTTATGCATCCGCCTCTTGCGATGATGCTTGACAAGCTGGCCCGTCTGGAGCCCCTTTTGTAGATCCGTGATCCGCTTGAGGAGATCTTCAATATGTGAAGCGCACAGTGCAAGCTCAGCGAGCGTGAAATGCTCCCCTTTGTCATCCGTCGATGTCGCGTCCGCATCAGAGGTGTCTGAGTCGGTACTATGTATCCCAATCATTGCGGCATCGTTCGCAGTGACCTGGGGGTGCGACACTATGACGTTCGTCGCAATGTTCGCGATCGTGGGCGCAGCAGACTGTAGGGGCGCAGCAACAGTCGTTGCGGACGCGGTGACATCTTGATGAAGTTCCAGTCGTTTGAGCTTCTCTTCGAGAGCCTGCTCACGTTGGAGAGCTCTCTGACGCTGCTTGTGTAGCTCGCGAACCGTGTAACGCTCTTTCTCGAGGTCGGCATCTAGCTTTCTATGAATTATGTTAGACTAGTTCCGACAGTAAGGCACCCCCACTGTACCCTCTTGCCTGCTCGTGTGCGAGTTGGAGTACACTGAGCAGGAGCGATAAACTGAACTTGAGACTGTCGAGTCTCCTGCGCAGTAGTTCTACTTTCTGCTCCTTTAGGGGCCAGCTCGCCTTGCCCAGTAGACTCAGGTTTCGTTTTCCATTGCCATCGACCTTCCATCTTTTCTCAATAATTCCCGAGATTTCAGCGAACACGGACTCGCATCTTTGCTTGATTTCTGCTGCATCGCTGACGGCTCTTTGAGTCAGAGCTGACTTGGTGTCCTCTGACTTCAACGTCTGTCCGACTCGCTCCAATGCACTGCAGGTTAGTTTGACATCTCCGGCGAGATCGCTGATCTCGCTTTCTGCCCGCACAGCTGAGCTCACGAATGTGTAAAGGGACTTGGACAGCTCTATTCCAGCGCCGCCGAGCTGGACGATGCTCGCTGCAAGGCCGACTATCTCTGCCATTGGGCGAATCTGACAACTCTGGTCATGGTATCTCAACCGACGGTGGGCGTAGAGGTCGAGTTTGCGGTCCGAGCTGGGTCGTCATTCTGAGGTTTAATCTGAGAAGCTGAGGGGGCCATTCAGCCCCCATGACTTCGGCGCAGCAGCCTGCAGTTTCCAGGGTTGGCGAGCTGCATTTTGCCAGGCAGCAAATCATTTTGGGCCCTTCATCTTAGTCAGCCTTCTGTATGCGATCGTCGTTCGCAACAAAAATCGACGAAACCGACTGGGATAACAAATAGATGACTCTTAGAGGCTGAAGTAGGGGTGATGAGCTGAACTAGTGGACTTCATCAACCGATGCGCAGTTAGCGCATGCTCTCGCCCAATTCCATCTTCCACTTCCGCATAGCCCCCGCCTCCCCCTATCCACATTTCGCTCACAGCGGAAATCTATCACACAGTCCAATGATGTAACGAACCATCAACAACATCTCTGTCCCTTTCGCACTCGAGACTTCCACGCGATAGCGAGATAAGCTCATCAGGGGCCACCAAATCATCTTTGTCTAGGCGCTCGCCAGCTTCTCGTGTTGCCTGAGCTCTGTCACCTGGAGGTTCAGACAATGCGCTTTCGGTTGACTCTTTAGTCTCTTCCTCTGTTATGGATGTTGTTGCCGATTTACAAGTGGCAGCGGACCCATCGATCTGGACATAGCCCTCGTTTCTGTGCTTAAGCAGCGATGAAATATGTTGCGGTATTGGTTGTCCATACAAGGTCTGACTGTACCCCTGACAGACTACCCTAGTCTAGTGTGTGAGAGGTCACTGGCCTGAGGTCAGGTATATAGTCGCCGTTTCCCAGCTAGACAGCAATTCAGCGCAGTATTCCATCGGCTCGATAGTCCTACGTTATCGTTCACCGTAGCTATCAGTTTACCACAGCGGCCCACGCCGCCACAAAATATCACCGACTTCTTCTTGCACCTTGCCTCGGCGCTGCGGTTGCGGTCTCCTTGATAACGGATTTTTAGGAGGTGATCCTTGAGCTCTATGCTGCCTTTGAAGGAAATCGGCAGAATGGTGATGGACAATCATGTGTGAACGCAGTTCCTGCGACATAGTGAAAGGCAACAAGCATGCACTGCACTTTGGGGATCTTTGCTCTGTCAACCAGCCCCAACCAGATTGTTTTCCATCGCTAAGGATTCGGTAGGTCGATTTTGGAGGGTCCCAGGTATATGACAAAACTGAATACACAGGCGCGCTCTCCAGCACGTAGATGGCAGTATCGCACTCTATCCTGTTTGACGGGTCCTTTTTGACCTGGAGAAGGCGGATTTGCAGAGACGCTGGTGGTGGGTGGTGGTGGACAACGCGGATGATCCGGACATCTTGTTTAGGACTGAGCAGTCGAAGGGCATTGTTGACTACTTGCCAGAGAGCAAGGAGGGCGTAGTGGTGTAAATAACGCGCACGCTGGAGGTAGCAGCATCGCTAATGCGGGGTGACGTGCTGGAGCTGGACGCTATGGACCGACAAGACGCGAGAGACTTTCTGTCGAAGTCGCTGATCAACAAGGACCTTCTCCGCGACCATGCAGTGACGATTAAGCTGCTGGATGAACTGACCTGTCTTCTGTTAGCAATTGCGCAAGCGGCTGCTTTTCTGAATATCAACCAGACAACTATTGCACAATATTTACAGATGCTGCACAGCACAGAGCGGGACCTTATTAGCATCACGAGCCAGGAGTTCCGCGACAACATGCGATACAAGGGCCCGACGAACGCAGTGGCGATGACATGGGCAGTATCGTTCAGCCAGCTGTACGAGCGTGATGCGGTAACGGCAAACCTCCTAACGTTCATGTCGTGTGTAGAGTGGAAGGACATATCACGCTCACTACTGCCTGTAGTACAGTCAGAAGGGCGAACAGAGGAGGCCATCGACACGCTCTGTGGTTACTCATTTCTGGCGAGATTGGAGAGTGACAAGCAAAACATTGAAGAAGGAAGCAGCAACAGGTTAATAACAAGAGAGGAGTGGTACGTAATGCACCGACTTGTACATCTTGCAATCCAAGTCTGGATCGATAAGAACGGCAATGCTACGGAAGTGATGAAAGAAGCAATACGACGTGTCGCAAAAGCCTTACCATCGGATGACTACGCCAATCGTGCAACATGGAGAGCATGTTGTTGAAGTAACAAATTGTATTGATTGTAAGATGGAGGATCTCCGATGCTTGGGAAGTATATATGCTAGTAACACTAGGTGGCAGGTACAGGCCACGTCATAGTCCCTCCTTCTGGTATGAAGATAACTCCTTCCAACACATATCTACTACATACGCTGCGACTGCTCCGGGGTAAAGACGAACCATACTAAAGAAGATTCTAGATTGTGTCTGCTAGTAGGACGTTGTCTACTGGTGGATGGTAGGGTGCTGGCAGCGATCAAATGGCTCGAGGTATCTTGCCGCTGGAAGGATGGATTCCATAGGGGAAATGCGACCCAGTTGTTGTCGCAGAACGCCCTTGCAACCGTATACCAAGTAGACTGACAGGCGCAGAAGGCAGTAGAGCTGCTAGAGGTTGTGGTGGAAGTGAGAGAAAAGGTGCTGTTGCCGGAGCACCCAGACCGACTGGCGTCGCAGCACGCGCTCGCAATGGCATACCGAGAGGTCGGACAGGTAAAAAATGCAACACTACTGTTAAACAACGTCCATCTGGGGCGAACCCATTCAAAGGAGATTTTACCCCCAAAAACTTCCGATGAAGATCCTCCACCTGCAAGGCATGAAGCATGACAAACCACTCAAGCGGAGTCCACCGTCGGGAGCGCGACACTAGTGGAAACCCAGGATGAATACACAGCAGAGATGTCTTTGGCTATGTGTGTGATTGAGCCGGAGTGTCAAGGCGATAACGTTTGTATGTCTGTGGAATCCAACGATGAAGATATCGCCTCACAGGTTGCGACGAGAAGAACCGAGTCTGAGGTTCTAGCTGTTCGGCAATTTGGTTCTTTCTTTGTGGAGTTGGAAGAGCTGCGTCTACTGCACAAAGAAGCGTTCAGCAAACTTGGGACAACGCGTTTCTAACAAAATTATCGGCGAATTTTCAAACGCTATGTCTTGAAGCTGCAAGATAACGAGCAAATCCCAGTAGAGAGAGACACTGTGTTGGTTTTGAGATCTCGAACAAATTGTCTCAATATAACACAGAGAATTCTCAATCTCATGCAGGCAGACGAAGAGGGCTTGCCGAAGTCATTAGATGGATTGATCCGCCAACCAGTTGAGAAACCTCAACTCGAAGACTGGGCAAGGAACTTATACACGCCACGAAACACAGAAACGTCAGAGGCCATCGATATTGATGCGGAGGGGTTCGAACAATCCAGTGAAGAAAGTGACGGTGAAGCTGACACTGAAGAGCGGCGGTTCCCGAGCATCACTCAAGCCAACGCATTTCTGCGTACCGGCTTTCTATTCCAGACGCTAGTTCACGATCTAAGATTGTTGGTTTTACCAGCACCGATAAAGGAAGTGATATAATGCACCCCGAAAAACTCGATTCGCGTCCTTTCCGTGAAAGAAACATCCTTGATAAACAAGATCAAGGCATTTGTTGAGGAGTTTAGCAAATTTGAGTGGGATTGGTGGCCTCTAATGCCTCGAATACCGGATTTGCCAGCTGGCAAGTTGCAACTTCGATGGACGGTAAGCAATTTCTCTGCTACAGCAACAGAGTTAATGTAACCACGTGGCGGAAGTCACATGATATTTTGTTGTAGAAGGCACTGCCCGAGAGCAATTGCACTTACCTCTGAGCAGAGAACTCTTACACAACAACATCACCGAACAACAACACAGATAGCAATACAATCATTGATCACAGCCTCCGACCGACACTACTCACGCAGTAACAGTTAATACATAGGTCTAATCAGATGCAGTTCTGCGGGCAACACCTGTTCATGGTAGTCTCTCCTGAAGAAGCCTAGTCAGTGCAGCAAGTTATAGAACTTATCGGAGATCATCCAACAAACTGTCACTGTTGTGAGTCACCGACTGTTCCAATTAATTGGATCGCTGCCCTCAACGGCTTGTACCGATTAGTGACAACCGGCCTTGGAGAGGCCCTGAGCTTTGCGTCTCCATATCAGAAGTTTGCGTCCAAAGCTCAGCAACTGTACACTCCAGCGTTTGTGACATCTACCACTTCATCGTTGGATCGTACAAATGGCCCACCCCAATCAGCACCAACAACATCCCCACAAAATTGTGGTACAGGCGGTTTAGAAATACAAGGCGGCAGTCCGAACGTTCCTTCCAAAGTCCCGCAAAGAAACCCTTCGTGGATAGTCTTCAGTTTCCAAAGTACGTCCGATTTTGGCGAAATCCAGAACATAGAGATATCAGGGTTGGTCAACGACCCGTTGTTCTTCCGGGAACTAAAGGCTAGACACAATAAGCATTGTTGGTTCTTACAACGGTGCTTCTTTCCTTTTCGCGTTCGTAATTGCAAGTTTGTCCGAGTAAGCATCATCGCCAATGCATGGAAGTCTCGATTCTAATGAATCTAGTTCGAGATCATCGATACCGACCAGTTTTACTGCAGCGGCGAAGCTCTGCCCGATGATCATGGGTACACCAGTTCTTATGGGTACGAACCGCGGCCTCCACGAGCTAAGAACCCACTGATCAACCGGAAACTCTTCTCTATATGTCTCACCACATGCGACTCTCAGCGCTCTGAAGCTCTTCTACCTTCTTATGCATAAATGCCATCCTCTGCCGTATAATTCTCATATCTGGAAGCGCATTCCAAGAAAAGGGAGTGCTTTTAGTGTGCATCAGAGTCAGTCTGGAAATTTGCATTTGGACTTGAGGCAGATTACTCGTTGTCCTTTGCGATTTTGTTCATATATCATGTCGCGCTTTTGTTTTCAGCGTTCAGCTTTGGGTCTACAGGTTGAGAAATCATCCCAATGATTTGCAAAACGCTTCAGTCCCTACCTTCACCGCTCTAAGTATCATCGGTGCATTTTGGGGGCCTCTTGGAAAGCGAGGTAGTATTTCCTAACTCCTATCCAGAAAGCTATCACGATCAGGGTGCAGGAGGCCCAAGCACATTCAAGCATCAATCTGAATAGCAAGCAACATGGGGAACCAATAAGTGCCCAAGCAGCATTCCTACCTGCCTCAGCTCTTGCATCCCACACCTGGCTCTTTGATTCTGGTGCATCACGCTATATGTCAGGCAACATCGATGATTTCATCACTCTATCTTTACAGAAGGGCACAATCACAATTGCCAGGCAACAGCAGATCCCAATCGATGGCCAAGGCACTGTGCAGTTCACTGCAGTGCTGCCAGGTAGGTCAACCAAGCTCATAGAACTGACAAATGCTCTCCTCTGTAAACAACTTCACCAGACCTGGCTCTTTAGCTGGCCATACATCCAAAATCATGGATGAAACATCCAAGCAAAAGGAAACCATCTCTAGTTGATCAAACCTGATGGGCAACATGCCATGTGGGCCAAGTATCACCGAGGGGTGATGGAGATCCAGATCACGAATTCACAGTCTGCATCAGCCAACTTTGTATCCTATCAGGAGTTCCATCACGCTATTGGTCATTTCCAGGTCAAGCAACCCCAGAGAATCTATGAAGATCACCATTTTATACCAAAGATGCCACCTGGATACAGCTGCAACACTTGTCGCATGTCCAAGTCCACCCATTCCAAACCACAATCATGTCCCTATGTGCCAGACATCAAGCCCTTCCAGGTCATCTATTCAGATCTCTCAGGCAATTTCTCCAGACTATCCCTCAATGGGTCATGGTATTTCATCACATTCATTGATGAGTGCACTCGATACGCCTGGGTCAAGTTCCTTGAAAAAAGGCCACATCCGAAATCAGAACATGTCGACTCAGTCTCTGGATACACCAGAGGTCAATTGGCATTGTGAGCGGCGACTATCCAGTGAGTGGCTCCACTCTCGTCTTCGCAGCAACGATATGCACCATCACAACCTTCGCGCGACGCCGCAATGGCTCCGCGGGGGGCTGCATCGACCGGCAGGAACTCCAGAAAAGATTTCAGCTCTTTATCATCTAACTTGATCTTGATCGAGGAGTTCCTTTGGGTTTGTCGATGGTGCTGAAGAGTATTTCAAATCCGTCTCACCCGCTTTTCTGGGACGAATGCAAGAAAATCCCAACTTCTCACCGGCTTCGTGGACTTCTTCGCCTCGTTTGCGCTGCTGCGTCTGGGACGTCATACCATTCCCACCGCGGCCAATGTGGCCGCTCTCGCACTTGAGCACGTTCAAAGCTACCTCAAATTCGAAGGCGTACCGCCTTGTCAGGCATCTGCTAGGTCGTACGTCTTCGAAGCTGCAATAAACGCTGATGAAGTGGCGGGCTATGGACCGAGGCCACAGCGGCCCGAGTTACAAACGGCACTTGCTGCTCTGCTTGAGTGCTGTACTGACCTTGAGTACAGGTTTGTTAGCGGGATGTGCGGGTATCGAACGGTATCACGTGTCGATACTGTGCAGTCTTTTCGAGAGACGGCTATGATGCCTGATTTTCTCAGGCGAAGAGGCTCGAACATGATGGCATATAAAGTTAAGTTTCAGAAGACCTGGTCAAACAATAGCTGTATGTATTCCCTCGTTACACGTCTGTTCACCTAGCATTACATTAAGGTTGCCCGTACAGCCCTACATCTGCATCTTCTGCGGTGTCTGAAGATGATCCCTCAGTGCTCCTGACGATTCGAGGCTCTTTCATAATGCCTTATCTGTCGTGGTAAAGCCAGAGCCAGTAGCGGCTCGACATTGCGCCGCAATTACTTTCACTCTTGACTTGACGGGGTAATGGCCGATGTGGATCATGCGTTGTCGGCGCCTTCCTAAGTCATTAGCCTGGCCTGGGGCGATGTATTCATATGATGATGTTCAGTGGTCGTTTGGCGTTGCTTGTCGTGCTTTGCTGCTCACGACGAGCCCAGGAGACTGAACCTTGCGACTTCTCTCTCCTCAGAAGCGAACGCAGCTCAGACGCCAGCTTGCTGATTGGCGAATTGTGCCTCTCTTTCGGCTCTCTCTTCCTTCCTCTCTCTGGCATCCTCCTCGTGCTCCTGCCTCAACTTTCTCCAATCGAACTTCTCGAACGTGAAACTCCAGATCTTCTCTGCGACACTCCTGCCCCACTTACTTTGCGGCCCATAATCGTCAATCTTGCTGCTCTTCTTGCCGACATGCTGCATAACGCTCGGCGTCATGGCGTATCGCAGTTCTCCTCTCTCATTGGCGTAGTCTTCTATGAGCACATCCACAAAGCCAAGGCGTCGGTCCTTGAAGTAGTCGACGAGGGCCAGAGCCTTGAGATGGGGAAACACGAAGCCCTGGGCGCAGCAACCAAACTCAGACATTTCGGCCACTCCAGTGGGTATGGGAAGTACGGTGTTGCGGCCCATGCCGAAGAAGATTAGGATGCTGGTTGCGAGAAGAGTGTAGATTGCGATGACCGAGCGTGGTGTGGTGATGGTAAGCGAGAGCTTGGTCGTGGGTCGAACGCAGCGTACGAAGAGCAGGATCGCGGTGGGTATGCCGGCTACCCACACAGAGTAGTACAGGTAGCTCCTCCAATCCTCAGCATTCCAGCCAAAGAACTCTTCTGTGTAGAACAAGCGTAGGTAGAGGAAGTCGGCCCTTGCTCGACGTTCTGCAGCCTGCTGTTCAGCCAGGTTGATTGCATCCATCGTACGGTGGTACCACCCATCCATAGCTATAATATCGTCCTCGATCATAGCGATGTATGGCGTGAACTGCTCGGTACACGCTGAGAGGAGATATCTGTAATCGAACAGCGCTTTCTCGACGTACAAGCCACCCTGTCGCTCCATGTTGCGGATATGCTGCATCTGGTCATCGCCAAACTGATACGTCAAGACTTGATCCGCCAGTCCAGGTAGCCAAGCTTCATTGTACTCGGGGTGTACGTTCGGGTTCGAATGGGGTATAAACACTATGAGGTATATTTCCTGTCGTTCTTCCGGTGTCAGGCCTTCTAGTAGCGAGCCAACAGTATCTCGCAGATAGTGCACCCCTTCACGTTTGAAGGAAGGTATGCCCACACACAGCTTTCTGTTTCTTTCGTGTCCAGCTTTGACTATTTTATGGCTCGGCGCATCGTGGTAGGCCTGGAGGAAGTCCTCGGCCTGCTGGCGTCGAATAGCAGAATATCGGGCCGCGTACCCTTTGCGAGGGTTGAAGAAGAACGAAGTAGGGTCGCGTGCGGAGACTGCGTTGATTGTGTAGAGTATCGTGACCGTGATAAAGACGGCGATGCCGGTAATTGTGCGCGTAGAGAAGTGCATCGTATGTGAGTGATCGTAAGCGAGTGACTGAGTTCGATGTGTTGCTCAGTAAGGCTGCAAAAGCATGACCAGAATTATAGGTAGCGTAAGGTGGAAGAGCAGCCGAAGTAGAGAGGAGGGCTACGGCATGGTGTGAGTGAAGTGAAGGTGAAATTGAGGACCGCCGAAAAAAGAACAGGAAACAACATCCATGACGACCCACGAGCCAGGCTGCACGGAGGTCAGGCACTCGCTGATCCTTCCCGCATCATTGCTCCGTCGGGGGAAGTGGCAGCTGAGTTTAATTTTAGCAGTTTACAGGGGTTGATTTGCTTGCGTGGCTTCAGCTTGGACCCTTGAGCGTCCTGGTGTAACGGTTGTCCCTTCCTCTGCATGATGCAAATATTGAATCCTGGACATTGACCGTATTGTCTTCTGTCCCGGCCTAATAACATAAGCAAATACGTGATGCGAGATCGAAGATCAACATTCTTGTCCTTTGCACTCGATAGCTTTGACAGCGGGCCGTTTGGAGACCCGACCCTTATCGATGGCTCAACCACGGTTTGAAACGCCACAACTGGGATGTCGCTGCCTTCAAGAGCGGCGTTCAATCTCGAGTGGAATGATCAGGAGACAGCCTGGCCGCATCGTCGGCAGAGATGAGGCTACCTTGGTAGGTGAATGTTGCCAGTCATGCCGTTGACCACAGCCCACACGCTGCAGCTGTTCGTCAAGCTCCTCCGGAAGGGAACTGAGAGGGACAGGACCAAGGAACAAAAGAGGAGGCACACGCAGACAATTGCGCATTGTTGAGCTGCAGTACCAAGGTCGAGTGACTTCATCATGATAAGGAGCTGAAGATGGAAGGAGCAAAGAGGCCCATGCGCTGCCAAGCAAATGGACGCCCCTCGTCTTTCTCGAATCGAAGTAAACACACGTGTTCACGATTCTCACATTCTGCTGTTCACATGCACTGAGTTGCAACATCTTCAATTGATATTATTCACAAGCTACAGGAGCGTATTACGTGCCAAGTAACAAGTAGTTAGCAAGTGCGGACCACCGAGACTGTGTTCGGTACTTCGTAGTGGCGTCATGAAGAACTTCGACACCAAAGACGAGCTTTCGAGCTCGCCATCGATCCTCTTTGACAGCACTTCGAGTGACTCACATCTCTTTGTTTCTCCTGCATACACTATAGATCCATCATCATACGAGCCCGGAGCTTCTACTATATTCAGGCCTTCGAGCGTTGACTCATAGCCATTGGTTCTCGCTTACTATAGGGAATCAACCATTCACGAGTAGCTCCTTGCCTCCATCGCTCGCTCAGCGGCATCTGGTACACTGCCATGCCCAAGAAGCACGCGCCGGCCTACACGCAAGCTAAGCCAACTTACGTTCACCCGTCGCTGCAAAGCTCACGAGCTTCTTCATCTTCCACGCCATCAGAATCACAGACCGTCAATCAACGCATCCAACAACTCCGCCGCGAGCAAACGCCACGAGCAACGCCAGAACAAAGAGATGAACTCACATCGGTAGTAAGCAGCCGCACCGTCCCGCCGGACTTGCGGCGCATCTTGCACATACCTGAGGTTAACGCTCCCAACCCAAAGCCAGGCCTGCGTTCACGGCGAGCAATTGGAGGTGCGAGACCGCCGCCAGGTCCAGCAGCGCCAAACAGTTGGCTTCTGTCGAGTCGCCATGCACCAGACTATGTGCGTAAGATGAGAAGGCAGCAGTCTGGTGATGAGCGGGATGCACCGAGGTTCTGTATGCTCGCCAGAGTGACAAATGATGAATACAGAGTATGTGTGTCCGCGCTCTTGAGCAGAAATATACTGGCAGCATTGTGCTGTCTCTGGATCAATTTGCTTACTATTCGTGCAGCGTCTCCCACCGAATCGAAGCCTGGCGCACCACTGCCTTCGAACATTCGCATTACACTGGGAACAGCTCTCTGAATTCGAACAACACTACCTTCCTATGATACCTGTATCGCTGAGAGAAGCACTACCGAGCTATCTGACTGCTTACGGAGCCAGAGCATGCCTAGACTTCAGGTCCTTTAGGATAATGTTTCAGAATGAAGAGGGTATCGGCACTTCAGGCTGGGATGAGGTTCGCTTTCTAGATCTCACCGGCCTGTTAAACGAAGCTTTCACCATTGGCGACGTAGGGAAATGCCTCAAGCGGCAGCCCTTACAACTGCCAAACATTGGGGACTTGCAACTTGATGAGTCGACGAAAGCCAAAGGCAAAGGAAAAGCAATAGAGGTCGCCGAGTCTTGGGAAGAAGAGGCGGAAGAATCAATTAGCGCTCAGCCTGTCTTGATGGCGGCGCTTACAACCCCATACTTCGCCAACCTCAGCAGGTTATCGCTTGCACGCCCTGGCCCATGGGCGTCGTGGCCAGAATTGCTGAAGATCTCACCAAACCTGAACAAGATCACGCACTTCTCGCTCGCCTACTGGCCACGGCCGTCTACCACTCCGAATGCTGCAACGACCTCCATGGTCTCGAATATCACCACGGTGTCTCTTGGCGGTTCACACTTTTACTCTGATCTCGACGACGATTGGCACGAGGCCACGAACATCCTGCGGCGATTCTCGGTTAACACATACTCGTTACAATGGCTTGATTTGGAAGGATGTGATTGGCTAAAGGCGTTGAGCTGGCGCTCAGACGCACTTCTATCCGTGTCCAGGTCTGATCACGACCCAGAAGAATGGAAGTACCACACGGCATCACCTGGTCCAGACTGGAACGATGCTTGGCGGCGAATAACGTATTTAAACTTCTTTCAAGGTTGGATACCCGCGGACACTGAGTCGCTGCAGAACATACCTGCAGGGATGGTACCGGTGCAGTTGATGCGTTGGTTGCGAGAGAACAATGACAGGGACGACGTGAGCTGGAAGTTGAACGCGCATGAGACTGGACACGCTGTGACTGAGTGGATTAGCCGAGAGAAAATGGCGAGAAGTGTGAGGCAGGAGATACAGGCTGCCAGAAGAGCAGGCAAAGGGTCGTGGTGTAATATTGACCATGGTTGGGGCACTTCGGCTGAAATTAAGGTATCATAAAAATACATTGAATGACTCCAGGGTGTGTTCAAGAGTGGCAAGATCAGACAACAATCGGGCTTACTCAGCAGTACATTTGAAGCTTAGGGCTGTTACTCCGCGGATCCCAGGTTTCGTCCCCGCGTACTCGGCGCCTTGACCTAAACTACACCTACCCCCCTCGACTGAATGCGTGTTCTATTGGAGCAGTCCTTACGATGCCGGTCGTCGAAGTGCTTAATAGCAAATATCAAAAACAAAATATTAAACTGCAACAGACGCTTGCAGAGACAGAAGAAGGTCCCCTGTACTTTCGTGGCTGGACTGAGATCGGACCACACAAGACTCGAGTCACAGATGAGACTGACAGGGGCGGAATCGTGTGTACAACCTGTCACGGTCAGAGCTCGCTCACTGGAGACATCTTCTTCAACGCAACAGTCAGAAGCCTCTGGCATGCCTCGGAAAACGGTTGCAGCTACTGTACCGCTTTACTCGATGCCGTTAAGACGTTCAATGGGGATGCGCATTTTGACCTGACCCAGATCACCGTTTCTGTCTTATCGGCCGATCCCCGCGAACTTGATTTGCGCACCCTCTCGATCATCTTTTGGAAATCAGAGGTCGTTGGACGGGCGGACGATCAGCTTGCAAAGGTAGACATCTTCCGGAGAACAGGTACGTGATGATCTCGAATACCAATACACAGTCATAGGCTACCTCCGGCGTTTTGTTTTGCCATAAGGCTTCATTGTAAGCTTGACTGACAAAGCAGGTTATACTGAGGCCATAACGGCACCCTCTTGGGCTCGTAATCTGGCGATGAAATATTTGGCGAGCGGGGACACGTCGTCTATCAGCGCGTTCGACAAACTGAAATATTGGCTCGACAGCTGCGACAAAGATCACATATGCGTCAGCCCTGACACGGATTTCATGCCGAAGAGGATTCTACAAATCACTGGCGATTGTGTTTCCCTCAGGGAAGGTCTGGAAGGGCGAGCACGGTATGCATGTTTGAGCCATTGTTGGGGTGTCGACGGTCTCGCCTTCAAGCTGGTCAAATCTAACCGGGATGTTCTTTGTCGAGGAATACCCATTGCAGATCTTCCCAAAACCTTTCGAGATGCGGTGCAAGCGTGCACTCAATTGAACCTTGAGTTCCTTTGGATTGATGGTCTATGTAAGCGACTTCTAGTGGGATATGGTGGATGATCTCCCCGACTAACTCATTCCAGGCATCATACAGGATGACCTAGAAGACTGGGAGAAGACTGCTGCCACCATGGCAGATATATATCGTCATGGGTACATAACACTCGCTGCCACTGTATCGAGTAACAGCAGTGGGGGTTGTTTCCGGCGTGTCCCAGATCAGGCAAGACCAAAAGCTCTCCAACGTACCCCTGGACTCTTTATCGAGGAGCACTCCAGATGGACTTCTCCACTCCACACATGGGATGTCAAGTTCGCAAGCCGGTTCCCTCTGCTTCAGCGTGCGTGGGTCTATCAGGAGAGACAGTTATCCCCACGAACAGTACACTTCGCCCACCGCCAGCTCTTATGGGAGTGTAAATCTTCTCTTAGATGTGAGGACGGTGTTCTCGACTACACTATATACAGTGAGCCGATGTTTGGAGACACCACTGTGAAGCGCACGTCAGAACATTATATCCCTGCCTGGCAGCGTATTGTGAGAGAGTACTCTCGTCTGGACCTCACATTTCAAGATGATAGGCTCCCTGCCATCGCAGCAGTAGTCGAAGATATGATGGAACGGCGACCGGACGATTTCTACATGGCAGGTATGTGGGTGAACAGTCTCCTTGCCGACCTTACCTGGTATATCGATTCAAATGCCGGAGCTTTCAAAAGGCTGCAGCCTGCATCTCACCGACTATCGCCATCGTGGGCGTGGGCGTCTGTCCAAGGGCCTATCAGATTCTCCGACTACCGTGGATACCTCCCAGGTATGGAGATACTGGATATCTCAGGCTCCACTTACGGACCGCGTCAAATCGGGAGAGTCACGCATGCGAGTATCAACATGAGAGGGCCAGCAACCGAAGCGGCCTTCAAGGACGGCCAATACGTACAAGTCAGAGAACACCAGTCATACACTATACACAATGTCAGCGGTGACACGGCTGCTGGCACAACCTTCAAAATATATGGTGTGGAGAAAAGCAAGGACTTTGGTCTTGAGGGACAAGACATCCAATACATGGAAGCTGAGAAATATCTCTTCTTCTTCATCAACACTGATAAGCTCTTTTGTTATGGACTTATTCTAAGACAGCTCTCGGACAATGAGTATGAGCGAGTCGGCACGTGTGTATGCCAGACCGACCCGTACATGTTCGTTGAGTCAGAGCGCGAAGCCATGCTGGAGCGCTATATCGCTAGCCTCTCCATCAAGGAGGTCACAATCATATAGATGTTCATGTCTGTTTGTCCCTTCATCTCAGTTCTGCAGTACTGAGAGCAGCATAAGACGTAAGATGCTTTGAAGCACTCCCTCAACAGAGCTTAAGTTTTTTTTGGCCGAACCATGCCACTCGATTGCCTACTGGGATCTCAGCTTTTTGGATCAACGCACTGTTGCGGTTAGCGATGTGCTCACTTAACTTCATCCAAATGACCCACAACCGCATGAGTTGCATAAGATTTTTGGTCCATCAGGCCCTTCTCTCCATTCTGGAGACTCAAGAGTGCCACAAAATATGCATATGTGTGGCTCCATCATCTTACGCTTCTTGTTTTTCATGCCTGATGCAATTCCTTAGGACTTCATGTTCCTGGATAAAGGAATGCCAGCGTCACCAATGACAGAAAAATCGACATCCCCTACTTGGGCGCTTGATTTGTCCCTTTGATATGAGCTCTAAACACGTGTTCAATATTGGAACCTTGATGAAGTCAAACGTCAATCACTGACCGCAGAAGCATCATCTGGACGATGCGAAATTGGTGTCAAGCAGGCGGCCTCAACCTGCACTCGCGGCTCAGTCTGGCCAGGTTCAGATTGTCGTGACTGGACATACGCAACACACTCCGTCAACAACCTGCGTCTTCGGTGTATCGCCATGCATGTCTTCTTCCCACTCCTCGCCTTTTAGCTGCGCCATCTGCTGCGTGAGCCTCTTATAAACGATCATGTGCTCTAGGAAAGAGTCGAACAGAGCTCCGCTCTTACTAAGTTAAGGTCAAGCCATCATGATGAGATCGCAGTGATGTGACATGCTGCTCGGCATATCATCCCGGTAAACATTGCACTGCGATTCTAGGATGCTCCAGTCGCTGCTAAAATTCCGAAATCGATAGAAAAAGCGTACTGGATTGCGAAACAGCAAAGCTTCATTGAACTCTTCGGCAAATACATCGAGATCATCTGGATAGATAAAGTCGATGATGAAGCAACATCCACAGCGAGATATTTGAAAAACTACTCGTTGAGCGCTTTGGTTTAGAGCAAGCGAATTTGTGCTGGGAAGACTGTTTAAGTGACCCGTTCTGGAGCGTTCTTGGGGCGTTTTGAGGACACTGGGAGCTAGAGAAAGAAAAATGTTCGTCACTAAGACATATAGGCTCTCTGTACCATCCTGAATCTAAAACTGCTGTTTAACCCGGTGATGTCGTTGGGCCTTTTGGGCGAAACTATCCACATGTACTTCTGCCACTCCACAAGAAGACCGGCGCTACACAGATGTACACTATGGTCAATATTGCCTATGTGGTCGATCACGAGTGTGGCCATGACTTTGTCAAAAACGCTGGCGCTGGGGCGAAGTGGGAGGACTGTGAGCCGCTGGGACTGCGCGGATACACTATCATATAAGTTGAAGTTCCAAAGACGTCACGTTTGAATCACCTCGAATCAATGACGAAATAGACTTCATGGAGCATGCGATAGTTGAGGGCCGTCAAAATGGCTGTCGGCAAAACATGGTCTAGTCCACTTCTTCGGGGCTCAAAGGTACTGTACAAATATCGAAGCATTTACTTTCCCACCACTAATTCGTCTACCTTAGCCAACAATGGAACATTAATCGACCTTCTGTCCTCAACGACCCATGGCTTTGCATCGCCGAGTCGATCAGCAGTCAACCCGGCGGAGCCTGGCTTGTGCATACCAGCCTCGAGCTGTCGTGTGTAGCTGACTTGTCTCAAGCGTTCGGCTTCTTTCGGAGTAAGTTGCAACTATATTTGCGTCAGCCAGCGGCTCTTGTTCTCGGGAGAAGACAAAGATTACATAGATCTCGATACCAAGCGCATGCACCGCGAATGCGAGCCATAACGCCATACCAAAGTTCATATCCAGTGCTGCACCGGCGTTCGCGGCGGAAGCACCGCCCATATCCGCAAGGACAGCAGACACTTGGTTCAGGTTGCTGCCATCTACGAATGCTGCGCAAGCAGGATACTCAGACACAAGATCCATATCGTCGGCGATTGTGTCGGCGATCTTGGCGCAAGGCCAAACGATGTGGTGACCCTTGTTCGAAATGACTATGGCAGCGATGATCATAATGAACCGACTTGTGATGATAGAGCCAGCCTGCATCTGTCAGTATTTGCACCTCCAGTCTGAGGAACAACGTCGACTCACGTAAAACCATCCCCTCAGCATCCACGCCCTGTGCTGCTCGATCTGCAACCTCTTGACATTGATAATAGCCAAGATAAAGCAGACCAGCACTCCAATCCCAACAAACCCAACCCAGACTTGCACATCCATACCTCCACCAAAAGCCATATGTGCAATCATCAGTGCGCCAGCAAGGCTGACGATGTACAGCAGCACCGCGAGGTATCCCGAGATACGATGGACGAGAATCCACCTATGGCGGATGAACGGCGTAAACTGGACACAAGCCAGGACACTAGCTGGCAGGATGCTAGCAAGGTGGAGCATGATGCCGATCCTGTCGCGGGAGAAGGTCATGTAATAGTAGCACTCTCCCGGCGCAGCGGAGTTCCCGCCCTTGGGATCGACAGGGCAGAAGTGGCCGGCGAAGTTGAGGTACATGAAACGGGCGAGCGCGAAGCTGAAGAACGCGCCCGCAAAGATAAAGTAGAGGATGAAGTTGTAGGCTTTACTGAAGCCGAGCGGGTTGTAGACTTTGCGGGCCCAGGTGTTGAATGCGTTTTTTGGGGGACGGGTTGGTGCGGCCATGGTGATGGATGGAGGAGTTTATCTGGTATTGAGAAGATTTCACAGTGAGATAGTGAATTGAGATGAGGAAGAGTCTCTCAAGTCTGACGAAGATTGGATGTGCAGGATGTTGGGACTAATGAGCTTCGTGGTATGCACTTCCTCAGCTTTATAATTCCTCCCTTGGACCTTCAACACGAAAATGCGAGATAAGACACCATCATCACTCTGCGCAACACTAGCCTATAACGGAATCCATCGTTTGCGCTGCCTCAGAGATCAGCTTGCGTACAGCATCTTCGACCCCAGTCCGGGTCTGCTGCGGCTCGAAGCGCGACGCAGACGGGCCTCTCACAACTCAGAGCGATCAGGCTCGCCGGGAGATCTCAAGCCCGTCGTAAGATCGCAGTCGTGGTTGAGACTGTGGCTGAAGAGCCGTTGCGCAGTAACAGGCGGACGTCACCCGCGTAAACCTGCCTAGCGCAGAATGAGCCCAAAGCAGGCAACGGGTGCTGAAGTGTTATTGTAAGCCCAGGGCACTACACATGTCATGTGGTCTATCCACTGACTAATCAGTCCACTACTCCATGTACATACCCCGCATCTGGGACACATCAATAAACAGAAGATATACCATATACTACAATATACACCACCCCTACCACAAGCTTACAGTTATGGGGAGACGAGAGCGCTTGCGCGAGGTGGTGCCGCCGCGTCGTCAGCGACGCCGTGCGATGCTCAGCTGGTCTCGCATGACACATACGCGCCCTTGCAGGCCTCGCAACGGCAGCAGGGGTTTGAAGTTCAGGAGAAGTCATGGCACACATGTTGTTAGTTATAAAAAGATAGATATTTCTGTGACGGTCATAATGGATTGATATATAGGGCTCTGTCTATGCTGTAACCAGAGCCTTTCCGCTGTTCTCTGTTGTCTGACTTATGAATCTTGTATCATGTCACTGAATCCCGCATTCTATTACCGGACTTCCAATCTGTTGAAGTAACAAATTGTGTTGATTGTAAGATGGAGGATCTCCGATGCCTGGGAAGTACATATGCTAGTAAAACTAGGTGGCAGGTACAGGCCACGCCATAGTCCCTCCTTCTGGTACGAAGATAACTCCTTCCAACACAATCCCCTATCGTCCTCGCTGTCCTCAGGAGATTCTGTTTTCCTGTGATCCTGCAAGGAGTGTCACAGATTATGCTTAAACTCTACTATGTAGTCTCGATCGATTCCCAGTATAGCTCTTAAAATCAATCAACTCAACTATCTCAACCCTTCCACCGTCTCTGCTTGAGCGTTCGTGACCAAAAATATTGGAAACGCAAAATCAAAAATCCCCGCAAGTAGGGCAACCAAAGACTTCGGCTAGCCATGCAAACGATTCAGTGTCGTGCGTTGTGCAGATCATGATGTTGACTGCTACTGGTAAGTTGAAACAGGCCGACATGTTTGTTGTCGCTTGGGAAAAGGTTGAAGGACGAACGGCGAAGGTGGATATAGCAGATTACTTTCATTGAAGATCGCTATTGGTGACCTGGCAACCTGCGTATGCTTTCACAGCAAACGAACGCCAGACACTTCATCGCAGTAGTAATAACGGGTTCAATACGTGACTGGAAAGTCAACACCTCGCTTGATTCATAGCATCTTTCAATCTTATGCATCGCTGCTGCCGTTATCGATCTCGCCATCCAGTTCTCCTTCATTTTTCCTCATCTATGGATTGCTATGTCTCCATTCCTACAAAGGTCTCGAGGGATGGCGGAAACTCATCAGCCACGTGGTCCGACGTCTTATCAATAGACTGTTGCCAATGTGACGGACCGGATGTTGACATTCCAATGAGCGACATGTCCGTGAGGGCAAGTGACTTGAGCCATCCAAAATGCCGCAGACTCAATTGAGGACGGGCAGCGAGCAGACATTTCGATGAGCTTTTCGTCAATCGAACAGTAATGCTCGTTCGAGTGGAGTTGGAGGGTCTCAAGCGAGTGTGCATGAGAGGCCAAGCACGCAACATCGAGCGGTGGGTCGTTCTCATTTGAGCCTTATTCGTACTTAATCTAAGGACACTCAACCTGCAGACGAAGCTTTTTCAGACCTTTGAAGGTCCACCAGTGTTCGGTGTAGTCGGGCCATATGAAATATTGTTGATGCATTTGGATCTAGAGATCCGTTACAAGCAACTTGCCGTTGTGCACGTCGCTCCGTCCTTGTTGGTCGAATGTGACGTTTTTGGGTTTCACCGTCCTCAAATTGGGAAGCTCAAAGACGCTGCCATAGATGTTGCCGAGATACTTGTGACTGAGTGCACTTAGCATCGGAGAAAGCATGGTCAAATTACGCAGGTGACGGAAACCATACGAGCGGAGCTTGTCTGACGAAACTGGATCATGCAGCATACACATGAGTGGTATCCTCTCGCCGAGCAGATCCCCTGTTGTCGTTGCAAATTCAATGGTCTCAACCTTTGGCAGCAAAAAGCTGAGCCAAATTGGGCCGCCATCGTTTCGCGTCAGGGCACACAACTAGCAATTCGAAAAAATGGCACTGTATGAGTTGAGGTCAAGAGACGAGACAAGTGCTTGTACGTCGGCTTCCGTGTGTTTTAAATGACGGGCAAAGCCATGATCCATACGAACAACACGTATCAGCTTCTTGAGGTGTGACCGGTCTCGCAACTGCTCCATAAGGGCATATGGGTCTTCGATCATCTTGCCACGCAGTTTGTACTTGTCTTGCAGTGCTCCTCGACAATGTTGAGTAAGTGTGTTTGCAGGTGAGACAGGCTTTAGAGCGTGCGCGAGAACTATCCATCGATGCCGATGAATATCTTGCGTAAGATCTCGTTCGGCATATCCATGATGGTGGTGTATGGCGACCGTGGGGTGAGACAGCTGGCGAGTGTGCAGTCATCGCGATCATTGTCGTGCTGTTGGCCTGGCGTCGCTCGTCTGGATTGGGTGAGAGGAATAGCAAGGTGAGCGACGAGCTCCTCTCTCTTTAGTCGCACTCGATAGTCGTCATGTTGCGGATGTGACGAAGGTGGGATGGGAGGCGTAGCAGGAAAACCTCGCGGGTGCTGTGGAAGAGAGCCCGAGGAGCGATGAGGTGGAGGGTGAGAGGAACATGTGATGTCGAATGACACACGCCTGGAATCTTGCGTGTTGGTGAGAAATGAAGGTGAAGAAGCTGGGCGACGCATCGAGGGAGTATCCTCAATCACGTCCAAGACTCCCAATTGCCAACCGCGCCCGGTGTAAAAGGTCTCTGGCGACCATAATTCTGGCTATATACTATGCTAGATAGGCACCTTAGTGCACGTTACATTCTCGCTCTCATCTGGACATCATGCTCATGTGCTTCAACACATCTCTCGTCAGGTTATGATGATGCCCACCAAACACGCTAAAGCCAACGCTGGGGAGCACTCAAATTAGTGTACAATCGAATGATGCGGCAACAATTTTGCCATTGCCAGAAAGAGCCTGGGGCTATATGATAAAAGGGGTACACCAGAACAAGTAAAAGCGTATCCTGGGGTAGTTGCAGCTCGACGTGTTGTCGAGTGCAGTGAAAGTAGTGTTGTTGAAACGCCGGCTAATCGGCGCATAGGTCGGTGGCATTGATCACCTGTTTGCATTAGCACGATGCAACCCAGCGCAGATCATGTAGAACTGCCATACTGAGAGGTACTCACCGATATCCACCCCTCCGGCTGCCTCTCCTTTCCCTGTACTCATCATGCTCCTCGATGACTTCCACGACATCATCGTTCGGCACTCTCCGCCTTTCCTCAACAATGATGCTCCTCGTCCTCTGTTGTGGCGGCGGTGGTGCTCTCCTCTCTTCGACAATGATATGCGAGCGCCCGCTGGACTGTCTTGGACTTCTGCTGACTTCGCGCATCTGCGCATGGGAGTTGCGCCGTGACCTGTTTCCGTGCGAGTTGCGTCTTGGTCTACGTACTACGATCTCTTCCTCGCCCGCCATTGCTGTTGTTGTACCAGCCTTGCTGCCATTGGTGAGGGAGTAGAGCAGCCAGACGATGAGTAGGAAGCCTGCGACACTGCCGAGCACGATGCCGACTACTGTGCCGGGCTCTGGGCCGGAGAGGTTATAGTAGGTAGGTATTATGCCTTGCTGTATGACCATCTGCTGTCGCTTGGCGATTGGTGCTGTGCGCCGCACATCTTGTGCCATAGCTGCGATGTCAATGGCAGGCTGGCGTGGTAGTAGGCTGTCACTGCCGTAGGCGCGAGGCGCAACATTACCCAGCTGCGCTATCGCATTGGGCAGCTCAGGTACTGCGGGCATGGTGGAGATGGGCGAGCAGCGGCAATATTGCCAGGCTGTGCGCAGAGCGGCGACGAGGTGGTGATTATCTAGGTCGAGGAAGTTGCGTGGTCGCTGGGGGAAACAGCCGGGTTGTTGTGGACTCCGGGGAAGCCGAGTGGTGATGGGGGAGGGCTGGCAGTCCGCAACACCACAGTCGAGATGAGAGAGTGGCAGTAGTCAAGAATGCGATGCCAATCCTCGACGCACAAGAAGGGGATAAGAAAGGAAAAGCAAGGCGACGCAAGCGCGGTGAGATTTGGCATTCACGACGATACCATGATGCAATTAGCTCCTTCCCAGGGAAGAGGCTGGGCCTCGACAGCAAATAACGAGGGGGCTGTATCCTCGACACGAACTCCAACACCACGCGTCTCTCACAATTGAGCATTGCGTGTATTTTTTATTTCCATGCAGCCTGTGCCGTCTGGTATTGTTGTGGTGTCACGCGCACTTGACGATCTACAGTCTGCGATGTTATCAACACACGTAGGTTGTTGTTCCTGGATGCTCGTTCTTGGATACCGCGGGCTAAAGTCGACGCGCAACAAAATCAAGTTTCACGTGTCTTGATCAGGCTCTCTACTACCGGCTTTCATCTTCACCCTGGTCGAAGTGCTTCTTCTCCCATGATTCTCTCTCCACGTCAGCCTGGTACTGACGAGCACCCACTCCATCGGCCGAGGAGCTTTGTGGTGTCAAGTTTCCGCAATGCTTCGTTCCGCAGTGCTTGGCCGAGTCCGTACAGTGCCCAGTCACGTCTACACGTGGGCGCCTGCTGCCGCGGGCGTCACCTTGACAACCTTTGACAACGATGCTGGAAGGTGACTTTGTTCTCAGAACAAAGCTGCTTGCGCTTCCGTCCTTCTCGTACAAACACGAGTCTGAATTATCCTCGATCACCTGACTACCTCCACCATCGATCAAAGCTTCACGGAGGGCCTCCGCAGATGCCTTAGTCACTGGCGTTGTGATTCTGCAGTCTCCAACCTCCAATCCCATCATGGTGCAGCATCAACATCGCCAGGCTACCGTTTCTCTGTAATTGGTCTCTGTAAAGTGAAGCATACCAGAGTCTCGTTTGTACAAGCTGAACAGAAGCTGTAGTCCCGTGATGACGTGTAGCACTATATCGAATGACTAAGCTCAAGGTTGCAGCAACTATTGGTGGCTGCGACAGAGCTCGCAGATGTTTCTCGAAGCGCTCAGGCTGTCTGAAGAATCTCGGGCATGGGATGTCTAAACGCCAGTATAGTAGACATTAGTAAGACCCTGGCACCTCAGAGGCGCGAGCCTGTTCGTGCCTGAGGCAAGCACGACGGGTGGGGATGCACGTACGCCAAGGCACGGGGTTTGCCGCTGACTAGGGCCAAATGTCTTGCTGGGCAAGCGAACAGCCTTCCTCAGGACATTTCCCAAACATCTGCGCTCCACACGACCACCGCACCCGCTGCTCTCTTCACGCGCACCGTATTCACACGTCCCGGAACCACGTTTGTCGACGTCACTATATAAAGCGCGACAAGGAAACGCGAAAAGGCGCGCCGGTCGCCACTGCTTTGTTCACAACACTTTTCTCACCCTCCAACCTCTACACCAACTTCTCACCTTCCCGCACCGACAGCCAACATGGCTGACTTCTCTCCCGAGTCGCCGCTCGCCGCGCAGCTTCAGCAAGTCGTGCAGCCCAAGCTTGCAGAGAATGGATGGACAACAGGCGGCGACGACACAACGCTGTTCGAATACATCCTCCTCATGCTGGCCAACGGCAAAGATCAGTCACAAGTCGCGGCAGAGCTGTCAAACGACCTGCTTGACCTCGGGCCTGAAAACACAGAGACACAACTGTTTGCGCAGTGGTTATTTGGTCAGATCGACGCGTTGCAGCGGCAAGCTGCTGGGGGCGCCGCACAGAGCGCGCCTTCCGCAGACCAGCCCATGGACGGCGGTGCTCCAGCATTCGTACCCAGCGGGCATGACACCGATATGGAGGGCGCTTCAGAAGCACAGGAGGGCATGTACGTCCACTTTCCGACCTCGATACCATCGCGACATCAACTAACGCAACGCAGCCCCACAGGGCCAAAAGCCATGCGCAACGGCAGCGGGGCACCGTCAACACGTGGTGGACCCCGCGGAGGGCGCAACATGCTCAACCAGATGAACAGACAGATGAATCGAAACGACGACCCATTACATCGCGTTCGTGGGGGCGGAGGCGTTGGTAGAAATAACCGTGATCCGCCACGGGGCCCCCGTGGCCAGAACCTCGGTCGCGGAATCGAAGCCATGGCGAACGGAAGGGGCATGAACCAAGTCGGTAACATCAACGGCGCCCCAGGACCCATGAACGGCATGAACGGCATGAACATGGGCGGCATGCCCGGGATGCCGATGCCACCTATGGGAGGTCAGAACGGCGGCATGAATGGCGGAGTGGGCCTGAATCAGCAGCAGCAGATGGCTCTTATGCAGATGTACGAGCAACAGGCCCAGATGATGCAGCAGATCTTCTCCGGCGCAACGCCCACACCCTACGTGAACCCCAACTTCAACAACAGCAGAGGAGGTCGCGGTGGGCGAGGCGGGCGCGGAGGACGTGGTGGCCAGCACCAGGGCATGCATCAGTCTACCAAGTTCACAAAGAAGGACGGCCAGGACGATGCGATGGCCGACGGCCCCGCAGGCGAGAACGGCGACGGCATGGAAGTTGAGAACACAAGGCCCGATGCCTCAGCAACTATGTGCAAGTTCAACCTTCGATGCACCAACCCAGACTGCCATTTTGTCCACCAGTCACCGGCCGCTCCCCCTGGTACCACTGTGGATATGGAAAGCACCTGCGAGTTTGGTGCCGCGTGCAAGAACAAGAAGTGCGCAGGAAAGCACCCCTCGCCGGCACAACGACAGAAGTTCCAGTCCGAGCAGGAGTGTGCATTCTGGCCGAACTGCCGTGATCCGGCCAACTGCCCGTACAAGCACCCTTCAGCACCGCCGTGCCGCAACGGAGCTGATTGCACAACACCTGACTGCACATTTTCGCACAGCTCGGTGATGTGCAAGTTCAACCCATGCTTGAACCCGCGCTGCCAGTACAAGCACAACCCAGGCCAGAAGAAGAACAACACGAACGTGTGGGTCGCACCCAAGGAAGGCGAGCACGTCAGCGAGAGGAAATTCATCGATGAGAACCGTGAAGAGGAGCTCATCATCCCTGGTCAGGATAACCAGAATGGTGTGGCGCAGGCAGCTGAGAGCATGGACCAGGACGCAGCATTATAGATAGGAGGACTGTTATGACACGACATACTGACATGTGGGATGATACCAGTGGGGGCGGAAGTGGATGGCCACACAGCAGCAAAAGCGCACGTGTACTATAGTTCTGGATACCGACAGACGAGACGAGGCGAGACGAGGCGAGACGAGGCGTTGCAGTTTGTAGGCGTCGGGAACAAATATTGGTTTTGGCGGCCGTCGGGCTGCTCTGTGTCTCTTTACAAACAACCTTCTCATCTGCATCCGGGTGAAGTGACTTTTCGAGCTCCAAAGCTTAAAGCTTAGCGCTCATGTATGACATGGTGCATATGCGTAGGGCTGAAGCTTGGACGATTTCCTGAGCGAACTTCACATCGATGACGGCTAGGCATGGGCTGCAATTGAGCCACCTCTCGCGCCTGCCACCGCTCCCTATCGCCGGCAATGCTTGTCAGAAGACATGTGCCGCTTCTCGAGTCGACCGTGAGAGCCCGCGCCCTGCGCCCGCTGCTGGCCTCGCAATGCACCCGCCTGCGCTTCTCGACCACCTCCGCGGCCCATCCTGAGCGCATTGCGGTGCTCGGCGGAGGCATTGCCGGCCTCTCGAGTGCCTACTTCGCGTCCCGAGAGTTCCCGGACAGCAAGATCACCGTGTATGAGGGCGGGAAAGAGACGGGCGGCTGGATCAAGAGCAAGAGGGTGGCGGTGCCCGGCGGCGATGTGCTGTTCGAGTCGGGGCCGCGGACGCTGCGTAATGCAACGCCCACCGCGCATCTGGTGAGTCCGGACGGCACGTGAGCAACATGGACTATGGCTGATGGATGCAGATTGAAGAGCTGGGCCTCGTCGACAACATCATCTTCACCAAGCGCACCGAACCTGGCGCGAAGAACCGTTTCATATACTACCCGGACCGCCTCAACCGCCTGCCCTCGGAAGCGCCTGGCATTGGCGACCTTTTCTCGCTATGGCGGACGGGCATCCTCGACGGCTTCCTGGGCATGATCAAAGAGCCCCTGCAGCCTAAGCGGTCCATCTCTCTCAGCGATGAGACAGTTGGCTCCTTCCTTGCACGCCGTGTGGACAAGAGGATCGCCAACAACATCATCTCCGCCGTCTTCCACGGCATCTACGCTGGAGACATCTGGCAGTTGAGTGCGAAGACACTGCTCTCCATGGCCTGGCAGCTCGAGGGCAGGTACGGCACTGCTCTCGGCGGTTTCTTGCGCATGCAAAACGAGTCTCCCAGCTCGCAGCAACAGGTCATTGCACACCCTTATGATGTCGAAGTTGCGAGGGCGCTGAACAGTGAGATCGACATCAGCCTCGATCTTGCGAAGAGCCTCAAGGAGGCCAGCATGTTCACCTTCAAGGACGGTCTGCAGACGCTGGTGAAGGGGCTGCAAGACGCCATGGAGAAGACCGGCAACATCGAGATCAAGCTCAACAGCCCCGTGTCATCCTTCAAGATGGCGGAAGGCCAGGAGCAGAAGGTCGAAGTTATCGCTGGCGTACGTTCACAACCCCCTCGCCCGACACACAACTTACCACACATAGTCTGACGCCAACAAAACCACCGAAAACTACGACATCGTCATCTCCACCCTGCGCAACGCAGAACTAACCCCCTACGTCACCGTCATGACTGTAAATCTCTACTTCACCAACCCCTCCCTCCTCCCTGTCCAAGGCTTCGGCTACCTCATCCCGCAATCCATCCCCTTCGAGCAGAACCCCGAGCGCGCGCTCGGCGTCATCTTCGACAACAGCGCCATCAAAGGCCAGGACAGCGCTCCCGGCACAAAATTGACCGTCATGATGGGCGGCCACTGGTGGAACGGCTTCGAAGGCTACCCTGACGAAGAAGAGGGTCTCGCCATGGCACGTTCAGTCATCGAGCGCCACCTCGGTATCAAAGACACGCCGATTGCGCATCACGTCAACCTCAGCAAGGACTGTATACCGCAGTACACACTAGGCTACGAGGACCGGCTAAAATCCTTCGCGTCCTCCCTTCAAGACGAGTTCAAAGGCCGGTTACGCGTAGTGGGGAGCCAGTTTCATGGTGTGGGTGTGAACGATTGTATCACGGGCGCGTGGAACGTTGCGAGGGGGTTGAGGGGGGACGGGTGGAAGAGTAGGAGTTGTGGGTTGGATAGGGTGCAGGACAGTAGGCCGTGGATTGTGCTGAATGCGGGGGATATGGTGTATAAGAAGAGGGATGATACTCCGTAGGATGTATGTATAAGAGGGCATCAGAGATATTGATAGAAGGTAAAAGTACTGGCTCAGGGTGGGTCTGCCGCTTGAGATCGATGTCCTTGACTCTCCGGTTGCAAAGGTGCGACACTTCTCTTTCGTCAGGCATGAGCACCTGTCCTTATTGCTGATTGGGGCAAGAGAGACACGTGCAAGGGCAGCAGTTTTCTTCTAACAACTACAAAGCCTACCTCTCTCACGAACATCACTTCGGTCGTGCACGAGCGGCATGTTCGAAGCCCACCTGTTCTGGTAGGGGGGTCTGGCCTGCTTGAAGTTGGTTGGCGTGCCCAACTGTATGGGGTGGCACTTGCCTCGTTTGGTTCGACCTTCGCTTCCACCTTGTGCACCGCACACCAATCTTCGAACACGGATACCCCAGGCTGAACGCTTAGACAATGTCGTTCCCAAATTCTCCCAGCTTTTTCCCCTTTCTACAGCAGCCAGGCGAGTTGCGCAACATCGTCTACAGCTACGCGCTATCCGAGCCGGAAGGTCTTAAATGCTGGGAGGATATGTTCCTGCCAAAGATCACGGCTGAGCTTTCATACAACGTCATCAACCAGCTTCAGGACATTTGCCATGAAATCCTCCAGGAAATTCGGGTACTTAGAATTCGGTACAATGACTTGACCTACGAGACCTGCGTTGATGCCTCACGTTTTACTCGCACCCTTCCGGTGACCGCCCTAGAGTCCTTGCGTATGTTGCACGTCACCGATCAATGGATCAGTGAGGAGAACATTGGTGAAGGGAAAGCCACGGAATACATGTACGAATTGTTTCACGTTTCCCGTAATATTCCGTTCATTACTGTACGTCTTTCGTCCCGAATGCTCCACTTACGGGGCGGTGTTCTTAAACTCCTCGCTGCCGAGTCCTACATCCGAGGTCAAGACACGTTCTTACGAGGCTCATCACCGATCAGCAAGACCAAAGTTTGCTTGCAGCAGTCGTTGAGTCCATTTCGCAAGACCGACTGCTTGCCGAGACTCTCGCATACGTTCCAGTAAGTTTTCGACCATGGCTCAAGTCGTTCGACGAACAAGATTTCCATATGTACTGTGAAGAAGAAGAAGACGACGACAGTACGGCTCAGGGTGACTCGACGAAGTACCTGCTGTCCAGAGTCGATGGAGGATCGACCACTGGGTCGAAGTAGTCAAGGCTCTGTCTGAGCCTGGGATATGAACCAAGACGCTGTTCACAAGAGGCTTTGGGTATGCTTCAGCCTTAGCCCGCTCTGTCGACGTTTGCTATCGGCAGAAGCAGCTTTTGAACAAACAAATGCGATCGATCTTCGTTTGCATCGTCTTCACATTAGAGTATATCGACAATGTCCGTCTTCAACGCGCATGTAACAAGGCTTGTCATCTTCTCCGACTTCCTGCCGACATGCGCAACAAAATCTATACCTTTGCTGATTGGGTGTATTCTTCACCTAAGCTCTCCAATGCTTCCGCCGCATTGTCGCTCCACTTTGTCATCCAGACCGTCGACAATCATGCGATGGGTGTGCATGGTCACTACCGACAATACATCGCAGTTGTTAGATGACAGGTGAGCGCCATGCATCAACAACGTACGAGCTGGAGATATAGACAAAGACACGGCGGTACTACTACCACCTGATTTTCGGCTGCTTCTTATTGTCTCTGGTCATGATGCGCCAGTTCTGACTGTATGTTCTTATGATCGAGATGCTGGGGCTGTGGAAGTCGTAAACTGGAAGCTCGACTTAGTCCGTGCGCTTACTGCGCATGCGGACATTTACGAAACGGACGCTAAGGTTACTCAGCAGTGTTGGCCGGCGCTCAATGAGTTTTGGGAACCTGGAATCTAGTAGTTTGACTGCGACAGAGTTGACTCAGAGACCAGGTGGACCTATGTGCACTGTGGTCTGAGAATATACTTGAGCGAGACTTGGCTCTGGAGGTTGACTCAAAGATCGGGTAGGAAGGGAAGTTGATGTGATGTGCGCGACGATCGTGGGTCTGCTTACTGGGCTGGGCTGGGCTGGGCAGGGCAGGGTTAGGGCGATAGCGACGGAAAGAGCGGCGATTTTGGTTTTGTCTTCTTGTCTGGTGGTTTGTTCGGGTGGAGGATGGCGTTGATATTCTTCGGGGGACGGTACTGACACTTTTTACATTCGGTAGATACTCAAGCAATCAAGAGTATTCATCTCACAACGATCGCCCCATAATCCTTCCTACGCTACGATCAGCAGTTGCTGGCAAAGTACGCTGCATAATCGTCTTGCGTTCACGATCTAAATTGCAATAGACACTTGTTTTTTGCATCGTGTGTACCACTGCAATCCTACTGTATCATTTATGCAGACGCCTCCCCAGTAGCCTGCCTCTCAGCCACACTCCCGCCCCTCCACGCCGCCTTTGGATCCTTCTTATCCTCCACCCTACTCTCCTCCCCTTCCTTACCCCACCCACCGCCGCCAGGGGTGTGGATGATAATGCGCTCCCCGGGCTGCATACTCGCCGTATTCTTCGCGCCGAGGTTGATGAACCGATACTCTACATCCTCGTTCCCAGCATCCTTCAAACTGATGTCCTGGATGCCAGCCGTCTTCGCGTCGGTATCCTCCGTCGGCTTCTTAGAATCGGAGTTCTTGTCAATCATTTTGCGGTTCACTTTGCGCGCCCAGATATTCAACCCGCACGCGGCGTCCCCACCGCCCTCCATGCCGTAGGGATGGTACACTCGCCGCTCACTCAGGATCGAAACTTGCACTGGGATGCGGAACTCGATATCCCTGATCACTCCTTCGCCGCCAATATGCATACCCCTCCCTGCACTCCCTTGTCGCAAGGAGAACTCGCGCAGCAGCACAGGGTATCGCCGCTCAAAGACTTCCGAGTCCGTGATGCGTGTGTTGGTCATGTGTGTGTGTACACCGTTTGTCCCGTTCCACGTCGGTCCTGCACCCGAACCACCCGCGATGGTCTCGTAGTATCCGAATCCCTTGGTCTCTTTGCGCGGGCTGCCGCCCTCGCCGCTGGACAGCCCGCCAAAGCCGAAGGTCAGGTTGTTCGTGTCGCCCTGGCTCGCTGCGCAGGCGCGGAACGCTTTAAGCACGACGTCGGTAACGCGCTGGGAGGTTAGCACGTTGCCGCCCACCACCGCTGCGTTGTCAGATGGCGAGAGGAAGGATTTTTTAGGGATCAGGACGTGGATTGGTTTCAGGCAGCCTTGATTTAAAGGAATGTCTTCGCTGATTAGACAGCGTAGGCAGTAGATTATTGCGCTGTAGGTTACAGCTTCGGGCGCGTTGATGTTGCCGTAGACTTCTGGACCGGTGCCGCTGAAGTCAAACACGGCCTCGCCCTCTTCTGCGTCGATGGTGACTTTGAGTCGAATCGGGGAGCCGTCGTCCATGAACTCCTCGGCGGACAGGTCCTGGCCTTCGAAGCGCTTGTAGACTCCTTTGAGCAGCTGGCGCACGGAGGATTCGGCGTTGGCTTGGATGTTGGTCATGTAGAATTTGACGACTTGCTCGCCGTAGTCAGACATGAGGGTGCTGATTAGGTTGATGCCCTTTTGGTTGGCGGCGATCTGGGCTTTCAGGTCGCTGAGATTGTCGCTCAGACAGCGGGTGCCGGAGCATCCTGGGTACTGGGCAGGTTCTTCTGAGAGCAGCTCGATGATGCGCTTCTCGTTGAAGTGGCCTTCTGAGACAAGCTTTTCGCTCTTGATTGCGGCGCCTTCTTGGTAGAGCTCTTTCGACGAGGGAGGCATGGAACCGGGCAGGATACCGCCAATGTCAGCGTGATGGGCTCGAGAAGCGACGTAGAAGATGATGTTGTCGCCGCTGAAGGCCGGAGTGATGACAGTAATGTCGGGCAAGTGTGTGCCACCAAACATTGGGTGGTTGGACACAAGGACATCGCCCTTCTTGAGCTTGCCTTTCCAAATTGTGGCTTGTTTTCGGACGCAAGTGGACATACTGCCGAGATGAACGGGCAAATGGGGTGCTGCGCAATGTCAGTCGAGCTTCTCTTATCTTACGCGTTACCTACCGTTGGCTACAAGCCCACCCTCGGCGTCAAAAAGCGCACACGAGTAGTCGAGACGCTCCTTGACGTTCGTTGATACACTTGTCTTCTGCAAGGCGCGACCCATCTGCTCTGCAATGGCCATGAACCTATGAGCAAAGATACTCAGCAGGATTGGATCCACTTCTTTCGTGCTGATCTCTTTCTCGCTACCATCGCTCTCGCCGATGTTGATCACGACGTGAGTGTGGATGACCAATGCTGATGCGCCAGGAGTAACAACGATCGTCTGAGTGCCATCTGCAATGATCGCCGGACCCTTGATGCGGTCGCCGACTTCAAGGTCCTCAAGCTTGTAGACTGAAGTATCTTGCCGACCACCTTCGAAAAAAACCTTGCGCGTGTCGTATCGCTTCTCATCCTTAGATAGATCATTGGGCTTGATCTCCTTGAGCTGCTGGTCGACGGTCTTCTCGAGGCCTTCAAATGTCTTTCCGATGCCTCGAGCACGCACATCGTCAACGATGATGTCGCGGTCTGGCAAGGTGAAGCCAAACTCCTGTTCGTGCTGCTTGACGAAGGCTTTACCGAATGCCCAGTCATCACCATCGTACTCCTTCTCGGCTTCTTCTTTGGTCGGCTTGATGATCATAAGAGCAGATTCGGTGCCACGGTAGCGCAGATTGAGGTACTCTTCAAAGTGGACACTGTGCTCGTCGAAGCCCTGGCCTTTCAATGTCTCGGTAGACTTTGATTTGAGATCTCCCATCTTCTTTTGCAGGTATTGACGTACTTCTTGGTCGTCAGACCAAACCTTCGACTCTGGCTCTTGTCGCTCGTCTACAACATCTGCTAGCGCCATTCCGTATGCTGACAACACTGAAGAGTACCTATGAACGAGAATCTGTGATATGCCGAGCGCTTCGGCAATAGCGACAGCATGCTGTCCACCAGCTCCACCGAACGTCGCTAGCCTGTGCTTTGATGTGTCGTGTCCTCGTGCCTCAGTCAAACTGCGGATGGGTCGAGTCATTGTCTCGTTAGCGATCTTGATGAAGCCATTGGCGATGTCGTCCAGCGACATCTCCTTCTCCTTGCTGCCTCCTGCTACCTCCTTATTGATCTGTTCGGCCAGCTCTTTGAACAGCTTCTCACTCGCATCTGCATCGAGACCCTCATCTTCGTTCTTGCCGAAGATCTTAGGGAAAAAGTCAGGTAACAAGCGGCCGAGGAACAAGTTCGCGTCAGTGATAGTCAGTGGACCACCCTTGCGGTAACATGCCGGACCTGGGTGAGCACTAGCAGACTCAGGGCCAACAACGAACAAGCCATTCTTCCAGAACAATCGTGAGCCGCCGCCTGCCGCCACTGTGTTGATGTCAAGTTGCGGTGACTGGATAGTAACGCCAGCGGTAGTGGTCTCGAAGACGTGATCGTAGCGTCCAGCGCCGTATCTGCTCACGTCCGTACTTGTGCCACCCATATCGAAGCCAATGACAGGTGTCTTGGTCTCTGGATCGTACGATGTCAGCGCATAGCCAACGACACCACCAGCAGGACCAGACAGAATAGCCTTCAGCCCAGAGAAGATGTCAACGTCTACCAGACCGCCATCAGACTGCATGAACTCGCAGCGTGCGCCCTTGGTACCCTCGTCACGTTTCACGCTCTCTGACCCTAGACCGCCCTGGAAGCCCTTGGAGAAGCCGTCGATGTATTTGCGGATAGCAGGGGTGAGGTATGCATCTGCGCAGGCCGAGGTCGCTCTGGGCACAAGCTTGATCATGGGCATAAGCGCGTGACTTAGACTGACGTGCTCGAAGCCTATGTCCTTAGCGATCTTTCCAACTAGGGCCTCATGGTGAGGGTACGTGTATCCGTGCATCAGACACACAGCGATGCTCTTGATGCCGCTGTCGTACACCTCCTGCAGCTGCGTCCTAACGGCGTCCTCCTGCGGGCGCTGCAGAATGCGCACCGTCTCGCCAGACAGACCCTTGACGAGATCAGCGTTCGCGCCTGCCTCTTCTATGCTCTTGGCGTCGGTCTGGTTGCGCTCCGGATCCTCAGCGTAATCTTCCAGCGTCACACGCTCATTAATCTCGACGACGCGCTTATACAGCACCTCGGGCTTTCGGATGTCAAGCGCAAAGATGTTGGGGCGGCTCTGATTGCCAATCTCCAGGCAGTCCTTGAAGCCCTTGGTGACGACCATAGCCATGTCCTCGCCCTTGCGCTCCAGCAGGGCGTTAGTTGCCACGGTGGTGCCCATGCGTATGCTCTCGATCTTGGTTGTGTCGAGGGGCTGCCCGCGCGGGATTTCGGTGCCCGTGAAGCGCTCCAGCAGGCGGCGAATGCCTTCGAGCGGCGCGTCGTCGTAGTTGGCAGGGTCGACCGACAGCAGCTTGATGACCACGTCGTCTTCCATCTTGCCGGACCCGGGGTTGCCCACGCAGTCTGTGAAGGTGCCCCCGCGCTGAGCCGTCAGTTCTATCACAATCTACATAGCATGTTGTTCTTACGTCTATCGCGATGCGGATACCCCGCCCCTCTTTCTTGACGTCTGCCATGCTGAAGCTCAATGTGCAGCTTCGCGTGTGTATGGTCTAAAAGCTCACTCCGGCAAAGCTTCTATGGGACACAGAACATCTGATAGTGCAGACAATGAGCAAAATGACGCAGTGGTTAGCAATCCATCTCGCATTTAGTCCGAACACTCCGTTGCGTGCGATAGGCGCAGGAGTGGGGTTGCCAACGTCTTCTGCCCCGCGTCGCGCCTGCCATCCCAACTCCGTTATTGCTGCCGCATCGCTAGCGACGAGGAGCTTGAGCCTCATTGCTGATATTTGAGCTTTCTTCATTCTGTACTTTGTTAGCGATGGTGTCGCTCGCTGCTGCAAAACTCATACAATAGCTTGCAGGGTCATTGCCAGACCGACTCTGCTCTCCACACGTCTTTGAAGCAACCGCCGATATCGGCCATTCCTTCAAGATCTCCGTCGATAGCAGCATTTACTAATCGCAATCGCCAACGGTATGCGTGGACAAGCCATGGTCGAGTCTTCGGCGTACTCAGCTCTATGCATCTCAAAAGAGCTGGACAAGATACGAAGCAACTGGCCAGTTGGGGTAAGAGGGAAAAGCCCGCGGACCTCTAAAGGTGTTGCGGCCAAAGTCCAGCGCCGTCTCGCATCTAACAAGTTCCACCTTGAACCAATGGGTATGAGCTTTTATTCATCAAGCAACGATTCGGACTCGATTGATTGGTATAACGTCCTACGTGAACGGTTCGGACTTCTCCACGAGTGGATTCAAGGAAATCCCCGAATGGCACCCCGTCACCTTCACATGGCCTCGGTCCATTCATGTGTCGCGAGCATGCAGCTTGACCGCACTTTTGTTGCACCACTGCACGTCGGAGCCTTCCTGAAGCGAGCGCCTCTTCCGTGAATCTGGGGAATCAAGCTTCCCCGCATTACACCAAGACCATCCATGCAAGGGTCCAGCATGGCTCACGGCATGGCCCAGGGTTACTGTGACAGTCTGCTTCACGCTTGTAGGCTTTTGCAACTAGCCGATACTTTCCAGCAGTGCCGTCTGTATGGCACGCCTGCCGAATCCTGATCAATAGTCTGTTTTCACTATGGCTTCCCAATTTTGCTGTCACGGTTTCCCCTCACGATCATCCAAATTTTTATCACTTCGCCGACGAGCCGAGCGTGAAGTATTGACTTGTGACAGTCGTTGCCTGTCAGGAGTAGAGAGCGGTGGGGAGTTGACCACGACAACGTATCGGACATCTGACTTCTTCGAGTAGTGTCACACTGAACAGATCGATACTCAACAAGGCGTTCTGAACCATATAAGTTGAACGCAATCCAGCAGAGTTATCGCACCATCAGCATCTTAGCCACTCAAGCAACGATCACAGCCTCTTCCAGTCACCATGAAGACCTCTACGATCCTCGCCATCATCTCCTTCCTCTTCGCCTCCTCAGTCACTGCGCAGACAGCTTGCAGCCCAGTCGCTTCTGCAATCCCAACTTGCGGAGTACGATAACCCTCCCCTTCATCCACTATTCACTCAGCCTTCAATGTCAGACAACCTGACATCCTACACAGGTTCCATGCATCGCCTCCGCCGCCTCTGCTGCAGGCTGCGGTAGCGGCGACTATCGCTGCCGCTGCTCCAGCTCCTCTGTCATTCAGGCCTCGGCCCAAGGCTGCGTCATCAGCAATTGCGGCATCGCTACTGCTCTGCAAGTTCAGGCTTCTGGTCAGGCTGTCTGCGCTTGCGTTGCTACTGCTACGGGCAACTTGATGGAGCCAACTGCGGTCTAGAAGGTCTTGGTATTGTTCACGGTATTGGTGACTGTATTGGTGATTGGGGAATAACTCCTTTGTCTGGCAGTCGGTAAACCACCAATCTGATACATGCGAGTTACTTGTTTGCTACTCCGTTCCGTGCTACTTGTCAGATTGATGTGAGGCTGACGGGCGTATACACATGCTACACGACACTGTCTCTGCGCAACGATGACCGCTTCACGAACATGTCATGCAGTAGCTTGTTTCTGTTCTCGCCATTACAATCGATCTGGTCAGGTCGCTCATGTCAAGCTCACCTCCTCCAGCGTCGGATATCGTGAACGACCGGCTACCAGTTCGCGAGTGGCGGGAATATGCGGAGGCTGGCCGCTATCGCACGCTATCCCACCATGCTAACTACAATCAAGCTAGCTCATGACATCACCGTGCTTTCCTGCCTTTGCAACATGCACCCGCAGCACACGACGTGAAACTTGCGGTCAGCATAGCGGCAACCCTCACAGTAATGCGCGTAATACGCAGCAATCAAACGCCATGTTTTTTCCGCTGCGGCGATCCTTCATCATGGGGCCCGCCACGCGCACAACCGCGCACGACCCCTTCCGAGCGTGAGCGTCATCTGTCGTGAATTGCACATCTTCCTTTCTTCCTCTCCAGTCACAGCATCACACGTCTTGTCAGTGTAACCAGCTACGTGAGGGTGCATTTCGAGTGCAAGTCATTATTCCTGGGCGCGCATCGCCTTCATCCTTCATTATTTTCTACATATACCCAGCGACTTTGTCCTTGAACACCTCGCCGCCGGCTCCCATTAGACCTCTTCCCACAATACTCTTCTTGTGCGTGCATTCCACATCGTAACTCAGCACCACAATATCTGCTGTGGTCATGAACTACGCATCATGGATCGAAGAAAAGAACCTCAAGGTAAAGGCCAAGCCGGGGCAGATTTGCTGCCCAAGATAATGCCGCCTACGGTCGACGCTTACCCCGGTTTTCAGAAAACCTTCATTTGCGCCACGCTCGCATCGACGCTCGTGGGCACCTTCACGGCGTCCATGGGACTCTGGGAGCGTGTTCATGATCGCAGAGAAGCGCATAAGCAAAAACAGAGAGATTCGAAGCAGGATGGCGAGATCAAGCAGCTGCGCGAACAGTTTGAGGAAGCGCAGAAGAAGTCTCAGGGGAGACAGGAGGAGATTGATCGTTTGAGGAATGGTGGTGGTGAGCGTGATGGAGGCGGGAGAGGAGGCAGATACCGCGACGATTACCGCGACGATGTTGGCGAGAGCTTCGAGAGAAACGGCATGATGATCCAGAGGATGTACGACGACATGTACGGGCGAATGGGCAATCGATTCGCACGCGGAGACGGTACGTCAATCATATCTCCCACGTCACCCTAAAGTCCAGCTTACTGACTTCCACAAGCCATAACCGAAAACCAACTTCAAGCCCAAATCATTGCCCTCCAACAAACCGTCATAACCGTCCTCCAAGACGCCCTCTACAATGACCGCCAACTAACCCGCGCCGACATGGCCAAACTAGTCGCAGCCTCCAACTCCGCGCGCGAAGGCTCTCTCAAAGCCTTGCAAGACCAACAACAACGCCTCTCTTCAGGCTCCTCGAACCGCTCCCCCTCCCCCCAACGCTCCATCGCCGCGCCACCAAAACGCTCCTCGACATCCCTCGTCGACATTCCAGACACACTATACTGCAGATACAGTCTCGATCTACAATACATCCCCAACAAACCCCTCGCGGCCTCCATGGCGCCCGGCGGGAGCTGCGAGTGCCCCGCATGCGGTCTTCGTCTCGACGTGACGGGCGAGGATTTCTGGATGATCGGCAAACGCACACCCTTGACCATCATCGAAAAGGGGTACGAGACCGATATCATGGAGACGCGCGAATTCAGGCTTGGGCAGCGGTTTGCAGTCAAGTGCCATACGCCGGATGGCGAGTATGCGTGTGTGATTTGCAGTCGGAATAGGGATGTGGATGCGATTTGTCGCAATGTGGAGAGCCTTGTTAAGCATGTTGGGACGTATCATGAGGTGGAGGAGTTGGAGAGGGAGGTAGATTTGAGGGAGACGGTGGTTGTGGATAAGAGGAGGCTGTCACTTCCTGCGCCGCCGCGGGAGGGGAGTCCGCTTGTGAGGGAGAGGGATGTCGTTGAGATGAGGGGGTATAGATGATTGTCCACATGTTTTGGTTCGACGCACGTTTGATGGTATTGGGCGGCATTTGAGATGTTATAGCGTGGCGTCTTGAAGATATGGGCTGCTTGGAAACATGGTGTTGGTTGAGATTAGGGTTTTGGGTTGCACAACGAGCATGTTCACGACGCATGAATACACGATTTACGACCTACAAAACTTTATATGAATTGGTTCGAGTCAGTGCTCTCTCATGGTTCTTTTTTCATGGCTTTGCGTCCTGGACTTGACTGTGAAGCTCGTTAGCGCGCCAGGTTCGCGGTTCGTCGAGAGCGGTACATGCTTCGCACATGTGCAAGGTCCTCTCGTATATCACACTTTCATGCGCACATCAGTGTTGTGGTGGTTGCTGCGAATTTCTAAATGTGTTCGGGACATGGTGCAAAAGGCGAAACGGACACAAGGTGCACTCTTAGCTGTGCCAATGCAAGTAGGCTAAGGTTGAAACACAACATCAAATCCCACTTATAATTCTGAATGCAGTGCAGTTCTCTCTCATCACCACGAGTGTTTTATTTGGTATCTTATTTCAGGACACATACACCGAGTCACCCTGCCTCCTTGTCCGTACAGAATCACTGGCCTATGAAAGCATTTCTCTGAAAGTAGAGCCTGCAATACGTGTATCTCCTAGATTTTGAACTAATAATACCACAGTTAGATATCGTATCGCTTGCTTACGAGGTTGAAATCTGGAGACTGTGTACTTGCAGCTCGCGCTGCATCGGAAGGCGTACCGGTTGTGGGCAGGAAGGAGCGGCATCCACAATTCGGAGGACGGTGACCGCCATACTGACATGAAAGTACAACAGCGGCCCACCCATAAATCCTTGGCTGTATGTAATCATAGTACTGATGTGCCGTTCCCTCCACAGAGAGGTGAGCGCAGTCGAGAATAAGCGGTAATAGGAAAGGGCTCTCCCCCAACCCTGATTCTTTCAATGACGGTGGGCTATCAACAACCCAAACAGTTTCAACGCAATACGACTACGTTCACATGCGGCTGGAAGAACTCTCGTCCAGTGCAGCCTGACATCTTCCACAGATAGCGCTAACACAAATACAGACTAGTAATTTCCACGCGACACCTCCACGCCCAAAGCTTTCTCCACACTCCTCCGCTTTCCTCCGCGACGAAATGAACACTTGTGAGGCAGCGTCGCCAAAATTTTGCTTGACGACTGTATCAACTGGTCAATTGAAGCAGTCACCAACTATTATTGAACACCGCATTCAAAACGATACTTTCTAGTGTATCACGACATGAATCTCTCCATTACTGTCTGGTCTACAAGTCCTAGGCATCCGACATGTTCGCGTGTGCCCAAGATGACTTCCGTCTATGTGACCGAACTATGCTGATCTCGGCAACCCAACCGCCAGGTTACGATTCACGGCCCGTACAACGTCGTTGGAGAGGCTTCCCAAACTGTTACCTCTTGGTCATGTGAATCGCTTATTGGTGGAAGACCACTTAGTCTGGGGCTCCCACCCTCCACAGTCCGGAGTAATGCAGTCCGGAGCAAGAGTATAAGAGGGCCTGGACCCCCATGGGGCAGCGCTGATTTCTGGTTCTTCGAGTGCCTCAGGCTGCACAGGATGTCACAAGCTGCAGTGTCTGCGTGGGCTCTTCGCCGCAAATTATTGTGGCTCGTCGTGAAAAGGCACGCTGCAAGACTTGGGCGTACAGTGGAATGAACACGATGGTAAGTCTATCCCGCATTTGTCCCCATACCTATGTCTCCTCTTTATGCAGTGCGTACCCCCCGCTAACAGAGTGAGCAGCACAAGCGAGACCGTCCCACCATGAGCCTTGCGGATTTTTGAGGCCATCACCCCATCGTACGAAGTCAGTTGAATATCGTCATCCGGTTCCTCTTCGGTTGTCGACAACGCCCGAGTTTTGTCCCGAGGACAGAGATTGCGCGCAAAACTAGCAGCTACTGCTCCACCACGGCCCTCTTTTTCGAAACCACGAAGAATTTTCTTCAGGATTTTCGCCACACCGTTGTTCCCTGCGCAAGCTGCTGACCACTAGTGATGCAACCTCGGAACCAGCAATGAGGCTCTGCGGGTGCTAAGTCGCCGCTTCTCGGTCAAGATCGGCGCTCACAACCAACCACTGCCAAGTCACTCCACCGCGACACTCGACCTTTCGGGAGACACGGACGTGGGATGCTCGGCACAAGCATTTCAACAATATTGTCCGATCACCGAACCGCAGAGCCTCACGTTGTTGGCCCACCTCATCACCCGCATTCGTGGGTGACTCCGCTGCAGAGAAGTTTGTCTGGAGATGAAATGCTCAGGGAGCTGTGCCCATGGGCCTCCATGTATTGGAAAGCGTGGGGCGTATAACGTACAATCGTGCCCGTGCTGCCGACATTCCCTCATGTTGCCCGGTCACAAGCTGAGGCAAATTTGTTTACCGGCCAAGTATCCGGCCCTGGAGCGTCCGTGAGCGAGAGCTTCGACAACATCCAGCATGGAATTACATCATACAGCCCCATTGTTCGTGGTCTTACTCGATCGAGTCGCGATACTAAGGAAGAAATGAAGCCCCGGCTGCAAGATTGAAATTGACAGCGGGGCTCCACTCTAAGCAGGCCATCACACGACATAAGTTCTCCTCAAAACCCGCATTCCAGCTTCCTTCTCCAGTTCTTCCCCATCGACTCCTCCAACGATTTGCGTTGCCTGCAAAAGATACAGTCTTTGTCTGTACTCGGCAGTTCTATTACTTTTATCATTTTAATATAGGACTCCGTGTCCACCTACACGCTCATCATGCGTTTGTTTGGCAATAAGGCCACCGAGGAGGTGGCTCAGAAGGGAACTCCTGAGTCTTCGACTCCTGCTGAGACCCCCATGAGGACTGTCTCCCCTACCAGGGATGAGGCTGCCATCGAGCCCCAGGGCCGTGTTCCTGCTGTTGCTGTCATTCTTGGAGCGATCGCCAGTATTGGTGGCTTCATGTTCGGTTATGAGTCTGGACAGATCTCTGGTTTCCTCCAGATGTCTGATTTCCTGGAGAGGTTTGGCGAGAACGGCGAGTTCTCTGCTATCCGCCAGGGTACCATTGTCGGTCTGCTCTGGTAAGCATTAACGAACCCGAATTATTGACTTATCTAACATTTTGACAGTATTGGTACTCTGTTTGGTTGCTTGATCTCGGCTCCTCTTGCTGACACGTTCGGTCGTCGTCTGACCATCTCCGGTTCCGCTTTCTTCTACATTGTCGGTGTGATCATCGAGATCACCAGCGAGCGCTCCTGGGTTCAGTTTGTCATGGGTCGTTTCACTGCCGGTCTCGGTATCGGAGCCCTGTCCACTGTCGTCCCTATGTATCAGTCCGAATCGATCCCCAAGCGTATTCGTGGTGCAACTGTCAGTTCCTACCAACTGCTCATCACCCTCGGTATCTGGACTGCATACATGGTCAATTACGGCACATCGAAGGACTACTCCAACGATGCTCAGTGGCGCATTCCCAACGGACTGTCTGCTCTCTGGGCCATCATCTTGGGTAGCACCATCCTCCTCATGCCCGAGTCGCCACGTTACGCATACCGCATGGGCCGCATTGACGAAGCTCGCGTTAACATGGCTCGTTTGAACGGTGTCGACCCCAATAGTGCCTTCATCGACAATGAAATTCGCGAGATCGAGGAGAAGCTCACTGCCGAGAAGTCTGGCGGTGACCACCCATGGCACGAGATCTTCACTGGTCCTCGCATGCTGTACCGCACTATTCTGGGTATGGTCCTCCAGGCTGGTCAGCAGCTTACTGGCGCCAACTACTTCTTCTACTACGGAACCACCATCTTCGCCGCTACCGGTCTCGAGAACCCCTACGTCACCTCCATCATCCTTGGTACCGTTAATGTCGTCGCTACCCTCGGTGGTCTCTGGGTCGTCGAGAACGTCGGCCGTCGCACGGCCATGATGGCGGGTGCCGCATGGATGTCCCTGTGCCTGTTCATCTACTCTTTCGTCGGGCACTTCATCTCAAATCCCGACGCCACCGGCACCCCCGTCCCCACCGCTACCGCCGGCAACGTCATGATCGTCTTCACTTGCCTGTTTATCGTCGGATTCGCGACTACCTGGGGTCCTCTCGTCTGGGCTATCGTCGGTGAACTGTACCCTGCCCGCTACCGCGCTATCTGCATGGCCACTGCCACCGCATCCAACTGGCTATTCAACTTCATTATCTCGTTCGTCTCGACCCTCATCACTGATCACATCGACTATTACTACGGTCTCATCTTCGCCGTTTCCTGCTTCCTTCTCTTCTGGGTTGTATACTTCTTCATGATCGAGTCTAAGGACCGTTCGCTTGAGGAGATTGATACCATGTACATACTCCACGTCAACCCCATCACCTCTGCCAAGTGGGACTCTTCCTCCCTGCAGAAGGATGGTCTTGTCGACACCGATCGTCTCCAGATGGGTCCTGGTGGACGCAGCTGGAGCAAGGCTGAGCAGGCGAACACTCGTGGTGGTGTTCTTGAGCCTGCGGAGCGCAACGAGCTTCAGGTCTGAGGGCTGCTTGTGAGGTAGGGGAATGAGAGAGATGTTGCATGATTGTTATGAGATTTAGTGGCATTGAGAGGATAGTAATATTGTATCAATACATTTTTCGAACACACTGGCGTGTCAAACATACCATTTGTCATCGTCAATTGAAAGGGACTTGATCGCTCTTGTTGTATGTGTACCAAAGTCTTCTGGTCTATAGCACGATTGCAGTCGATCAGCTTGCACTCTCTCCGTCTGCCCTTCTTACCGTTTCAAACTCTTCGCTCCCATAGAACTGCAACATCTCTTTCCAACTGTTATCCCACTCCTCTTTCCAAACCCCTCTCTGTGCTGCCCAAATCTTCTCATGCACAACCTTCATCCCCTTTTCGCCTTTCTCATCCGGGAAAAACGCACCATACTCCCTCTCCAGCATGCCTGGCGGATACGCCGAATTGATCCCAAACTGCCAGTTGAGAAACGCCTGCTCCGCCATCTTGACATCGTACTTATCAAACTTGAGATAGTTCTGCAGTAAGCGTTGATGCTGCTTGGAGTTGGGTGTGAACACCATACTCCCCACATTGATATCAGCGTCGAAGATCGAGTACGGATCATGCGGCACGCCGGCGAAAATATACGGCTCGCACACCAGCTCACCGCCGGGCAGGAAGTCGTCGAGTTGCATCTTCGACTCGATGCAGTTCCGCACTTTTTTGAGTGAGAACATATCATCTATAGGTGCTATGGGCAGCGCATCTGCGTCGAGAAATAAAATGCGGTCAAACTCTGTCTCGTTCCACATGTGCAGTTTCGCGAAGAGATCTTTCCACCGGTCGAGCACGCCCAGGTCGGTTGGGTTCCAGGGTAAGGGGGCGAGTTCGCGGACGATGGCGCCTGCGCCTGCTAGGAGAAGGCGTTGTTGCGAGGAGACGAAGTCGCCGACGAAGACAACAAAGGGGTGTTTGGAGGTCTTGGAGCGTGGGGACCAGAGGATGCGGTAAATTAGGGAATTGATGGCGAGAAAGTAGGGGTCCTCGATTGAGGGGTTTCGGGATGCAAAGAAGGTGGCATAGACGTATGATTTGGGTCCATTGGGGTTATAGTTGTGTGGCGCTTGTTTGCTCAGACTGGTAAAAGTGTTGACGGGCAGGTTGAGGGTGAGATCCTTCTGAAAGTCGAAATCGATGAATGAGGTGGGTGGTGTGCTAGTGCTCTCAATAGCCGGCAGTGGTGTCTCACTCGAGGTCGGTAGATTCAGTATACTTTTCGATGGCAGTAAACTAGATGTTGGCGGGAGCTTCCCCGATACTGTGACATCTTTCAATAGTGGTACTGGTGAAGACTTATCGCCCTCGTGACTTGAGTGCTGTTTTGGCAAGTCATGTGTATGTTGAGTGTTTGTTGATGGACCGGTATGTGAGTTAGCCGGACCGACGCTTAGTGACATAGACTCATACTGCGTGAAGAAGTACACGAGTCCCAAAAGGAGGAGAGTCGCTACTAGAAAGTGTCGTGGCCGCTTCATGGTGTCGGGTGGCCAGCAGCCTTTACGTGAGCATCCAAAGTGCCGGAGCTACGTACGCTCAACACGCTCCGCGGCAGTACCCATGTACCAAGCTCAAGACCAACTGTTAGGACGATGAAGTTGTGGTTCACGGTGTGTAGAGTAGCCTAGAGAAAGAACCAAAATGGCTGAGTGATCGGCGACATGTGAGCTCTTGTCCTGTAAGCTACTGAATGTAAGGAACATCACGACGAAGACCCCAGCCACTTACATTGACCGTGATGAAGACGGGTGAACACGGGCTCGAGTGTACAAGAACGGCCCCACCTCCGCCTTGAGGCTTCTGAAAGGTCGATTGTCGCTAAAGGTGCAAGGGCCCGCTACCCCGCATACTGGAACCCTATGTTCTTGGGGACAGTAGCGCCGGAACCAAGGCCCTATACAGTAAACCAATAAAAGATTGCGCGAGTTGTCACTCAGAACGTTGAACAGCCTCGCCGTGATGCTGCAGCGGCGGCGGCGGGCCTGACACTCCGAGGTACATGTGAACACACGTGAATGCGCATCATGCGAGCAATTATGTTGAGGCCAGGCATGAACGGAGATGTAGTTGAGTTTGTACCGTGATAATCGTATTGATGTCATTGAGAGTAAATAGAATTTGATTGCTGTATCGACTTTATCGCTTCAGTGATTGCGACTGTGGAGCCAGGGTTTGCTTGTAGAGCCAATTAGAGAACTTGACGCTTGGCTCGTCGAAAAGCTTCGTGACAACTTCCGCAACGTATAACGTGACCGGAAGGTTGATGAGTTGCACGGCCCAGAATGCTAACTCAAAGCCCATGGGTCCGTTCATGGTCAGAGGGAATATGCTGATCCACTGAGGGAAGTGCTTGTGTCCGTCTTTCTTGAAGCCCACAGCGGCATAAAGTCGATCGGCCAGCACGGAAATGACAATGCCGTGGACGAGGTAGAGTGCGAAGGAGATGCGTCCGAGATACTGACAGAAACGCGTCTCGAAGAACCGCTTGAGCCATGGTAGCCGAGGAATAGATGCGACAGTGAGAATAGCAGCCCAGGTGAGGTAGAACCATTTGGGATCCCAGACAGCCTGCGGCTTGAACATAAAAAGCCACGACCATCCCGGCGAGGAAGCAAGCAGGTTGCGATATTTATCTCCATCGGGAGACTCGCACGAGGGCACACCACCAAGATACATGGCGATGAGGAATAAGTGAAAGAAGATGAACTCCTTGAATCCCTCCAGTTTCGCAAGGAAGCGGGGTTCTTGATCGTCCTGAGCCAGAAGGTCGAGATCAGATAACAGCATGCCGCCCATGAACAAGGCACCATACCATCCGTCGACAACGTACAGAAAGTAGACGATTAGTGCGACTTCGCACCACAGCCTGGCATTCCTAGTGCATCTGGATAAAGCAGAAACTACGGTGTAGACGATTATCGACCCTTTGAACTCTGTACAGGCCATCAGTAAAGTAAACACATGAAGATGGTGTGGACTTACCAATCGGAATTGACCAGAGATGGCTATTGTATTTTTTTGTAAAGTCGAGGTTATCTCCAGTGAGAAACACGAAACTGTAGTTCTTGAAGGTTTGATACCACGTCTTGAACTCTTCGCCCCATGAATCCTTGCGTTCACCGAAATGAACGTAGATATTGGTCCAGTGCCGAATGATCATCCATGAGAGGCTGAAACCGATGACTGGGAGATAAAGGCGAAGCCATCGACGGAAGAGTGCAGAACCGACAGTGTCTGCTGATATCATGTGCTGGCCTTTCTGGATCGATCCCAGAGACTTGACAGAAAGGACGTAGCCAGAGATGACGAAGAAGATGGATACCGCGAAGTGTCCGCCTGAGAAGAAATGGCGGATAAAAGGTAGAGCTGCAAAGTAATGGCGACCTGCGTAGCCAAAAGAATTCTCGAACACCGAGTTCCCATGGATATCGTTCGCGTAAAGTTGGTTGTGGTGAAGGTATACTATGAATGCAGCAAAGCCTCGTAAACCGTCAAGCCACGCTGTGCGCTGCAACAGCTTCTTTGGGCTGCCCGGCCGTAGAGTAAGGAATTCTGGGCGGACAACATCAAGGCTCCAGCGGGTGGCTCGCACTGGCTTCCACGTTGCGCTGTCCAACCTGACGTCTTCCAGTTGGCCGTGGTCCAGTGGTCCTTCGATCTTCGTCGGCATGATTGAGGTTGAGTTTGGTCGTGTATAGGAAAATGCGTTCAGATTATGCGCCACCTCTGATAAGTAGTTCAAGGTCCCGCGTCTTTCAGACATTGCGTATGCTCATCACACTCCGAGCAGCGCCGCACATGCGCTAGTCAGTTTGGGAACTTCAACGCAACGAGCCCCTGTGCGACAGGGCGAACATCGGACTAAGCCTACCAACTGATCATGCATTGGAATGACTGCTCTTAGTGTATTGTTAAGAAGCCAAATGTAGTAGCAGGAACATGTTACCGGCCAACGAGCGTTGAGGCGATGGTCCCAGCCGAGGTGCCGAGGAGGCACGGCCCTCCGAAATTCAGCATGTTGTGAATGTCAAATTCGCGTGATGCGGGGAAGAAACTAATTTCGGGCCCACACTAACGGCAAGGCTTGGAGGGACGTTGTTGGGGATCACGAAGGACTGGTCAGGTACAAGGTCGCTGCAAGTGCGAGCCGGTTCACACCCTGAAACGTGCAAGTAAGCCGCTGCACGCACAGGGTTCACCCGTACAAGCTTTAGCTTGGTCGCCTTAGACTTCCTTCCTTCGCTCATTGGACCGAAGCAACGAATCAAGTCTGGACTACCCCTTCGGCGGTTGTCTTCTACGCTTTTAGCTTGTGATTATGACCTGTCGAGGATGTACGTACCAAGTCTGCATGTTTGTCCGGCCTCGGGAAGTCGACGATCAATGAGGCCAAGAAATATGGAGCGGTAAGGGTCGTGTGGCAGGGAACTCTTTAATGACGGGTGAGAGGCGTAGGTCCTGTAAATGTGTGATTAACCTCAGGATGCGCACTCGAACTTCCCGTCCACCTCCACTCAAGCTCCACCTTGCCAACAAGATGCCTACGCACTCCCCAATTGCCTCTCACTTCCGGAGCAGGTTCACTACACAAGTCAGGAGAGTCTTACCCGCATACCTCCTCATCATCTTCCTGGTCCTGTTCTTCACTAACTCATACTTCTTCACTGCTCCTGTTCGCGCTGCACACAAATACAGGCGGGAGAGGAAGTACCAACATCCAATTCAAGCAGAATTGAGCGTTATCCCTCGAAAGATCTGGCAGACCTGGAAGACTGGTCCTCTAGCTTTCGAGCAACGTGATTCGGATTCGGCGAAGACATGGCCAGCCAAGAATCCGAGTTATCGATACGAAGTCCTGACCGATGATAACGCCTTGGCGTATGTCGAATGGCATTACGGCGAACACGGCTTCAATCGCCCAGACATCGTCGCTCTGTATCGAGAGCTGGGTATTACTATCATCAAGGCCGATCTCCTGCGATATCTCGTCATGTATGCTGAAGGAGGAGTATATGCTGATATCGATGTCGAATGCCTCCGACCCGTCGAAAGGTTCATCCCTGAAAGGTACAACGAACACAAAGTCGATATGATCATTGGTGTGGAAATCGATGAGCCTGCGTTCATTGACCATCCTATCCTAGGCCCCAAGTGCAAGTCGTTCTGTCAATGGACCTTTGCAGCTAAGCCGCGATTGCCAGTCATGATGCGCTTGATCGAGAACATCCAGGAGTGGCTCCACGACCTTTCGAGGGAGAAGGGTGTTCCCATTGCGGAGCTTCAACTCGACTTCAACGAGGTCATCAGTGGGACGGGCCCTTCGGCTTTCACGAAAGCGGTGCTCGAGCAGATGACTGCACAAAACCACGGAAAGGAAGTAACATGGGACCCCTTCCACAACCTAGCAGAGTCCAGGCTTCAGAATGGGATACTAGTTCTGAACGTGGAGGCTTTCGCTGCAGGACAAGGCCACTCTGACTCAGGGAACCACGATTCGCGAGGCGCTCTCGTGAAGCACCACTACCACGCTTCTGGATGGCCTTCCCGTCACCCCCGCTATAGCCATGCCATGTACGGTGAGGTCGAACATTGCAATTGGAAGCCAGAATGCGTCGCGGAATGGGTAAGTTGCCTGCCAATCCATCTTTTGAAAGTTTGATTTTGACTCTGTACAGGACAAGAACGTTGCTGAATGGGACACGCTTGATAAGGAAGAGCAGGAGAAGCGACTGGCAGGTAGGCCGCCTCCACCACCTGCTTGACCCATCCAAAGTCCAGTGTTTACCTACTCATCGTTTGTGGTAGAAGTGCGACAATCCGTCAGCGATCGCGCACGTCGCCAGTGAGTCGAATGGGGACTGAATGAGCCAGCTGGAGGTGAGCTGAAGAGTTGAGAGTTGAGGATCGGATATAGATCTCGTTTGTTTCCTGGTTGCGATAGACGAAGTTCATGCGGCGTTGCGGTGTCAAGAGGAAAGAACTGCGCGGGGATATCATACCCTTTCATTATCACCGCCAGCACGCATACATTAATAAGAACGCGGATATACGAAAGCCGAACAGCCGAGAAGCTGGGGTTTTAGTTGCTTGGCTTGTGATGTTGACGGCGATGACAAGTACCTGCGGGACACAACGACAGCTACGGACAGTATGCCAAGGGTCTAACCAGATTCGAATTAGCAGAGTAATCTGCTCTTTTCCTCAGCCAGCCCTCTTTCAATCACCGTGGCACTTATCACATCGTCTGTTCTTTGTCCCAACTCTGCGGAACTCAATCCAACGGCCTTGCGAGTTGACTGCAACCGTACTTAGTACAGAACCTAGGTCAGTAAACCTGCCGCGCAGCGCTCTCGGCCACGTGCCTGTGTCGATCACTGTCTAGGTGATGGGCAGCTTCCAGTAGGCAAGGCGCAACAACGCGTCTCGGACCAAGACTACCTAAAGAACGTGTCTGGTGGGATGTCCGGTAACCATAAGAATGTTGAGCGGATGCTACGTCATGATTCTCCGGGTTGACAAAAACATTGAAGACAGCGAGCAAAACAGTGCTGAGCACCAGACAGGATGACGATCCCCAAATATATGGTGACTAGTTCACGATTTGCACGCTAGATATTGTCTTCTCTCTACCAATTAGCACATAAGCAAAAGAAACAACACGACCCCAGAGATCCACTTTATCTAGTACTGTAGAGCCGCATATTAGCGGTGCCCAAACGCTTTGCGAGTGCGAGTACGAAGGAGCTCGTTTTTTTTGGCCGATCACCGAACGCACAGGCCACCAAACATGATTGCAGTTCACAACGCCCATAGTAATCCTCACCAAAACAGTGAAATCAACACATTTTGCAATAATCTGACTATGTGAAGCTGCTGAAATACACCCGACCAACACCAACTTCTGGTCGACACCTATATTGTTCCCCAGGCCTCCTGGCATCCCAAATCCATCAGAATTCATCTCAGCACACTCCCAAGAGCCATTCCCTCCATT